ATATTAAGCAGAATATCAAATTTGAGGAATATGATGAAATAATTCATCAGTATATTTACCGTATATTTCTGAGGGTCAGACCGTATATATAAAGGGTATGGAAAACAGGCAAAAACAGTCAAGACAAATTGCAAGGTTCGTGCGAACCCTCACCTCGCGTGTGAGGACAACATATCTTGCAGACAAAATCGGCAAGGTACATTGGGTAAATGGGGTACACTTCGCCTTGCATGCGCGGCAATTTCTGGGCCGTGTTGCCTGTCCTCCATACCTCTTTTTCCTCACATTATGTAGCCAATGTGTAGTAACCATGTAGAATGTGTATATACGCGTAAGTTCTCGAATCTGTCTGACGGTGTTTTGAAAACGGGAACTAAATTTCACGATAAAAATGTTAATTTCACTAAATAGCGTATTTACGGAGCACATTAAAAGAAGAAAATAATATCAGATCAACGCGCTCTTTATTCGTTGAGCGCCGTCGTGTTTTCAGTCTTGAAAACCATATAGAATGATACCTGGAGTAAGCAGTTTGCGATGTTTTCTCAATCACAAGCGCGTGCCGCATGAACGCAACATTCGGTCGACGAAGCTCTTAATCGGTGGCACTGCTTTTGCTCAAAGTATAAAAAGTATATATAAAAGTAGCATATTACAAAAGTAATATGCTTAAACACAATCCAATGTGTGCTGAGTTAGTGTCTTGCCTCAGGGTGTCGAAATTTCCAGTATAAGGCGTACTTAGCAAGTGCGTCGATTCTTCGGTCCTATTCAGATCTGGGTATGGGGTATGTCTCCCAATGACAACTGTGGGGACTTTCACTGCAATAACGGGTTTAACCTGCGATTTTTTTCGCCCAATTTGCATTCGCAGAATTATGAGCTTAACACAAAGCTGCCTCTGCGAGCCAAGGAGCAGGAACAGGAACAGAAAGAGCAGTAGCAGCATGTTGGACGACTTTGATAAGGCCAGCATCGTTGCCCATGCCGATGACAATGAGTACATATCGCCGGCCACCCCGGAACCCCAGGTGAATCCGGAGCCGGAATTTGCCCATTTGACTGAAACTAAGCGAACGATTCATGATGCTATAGCCGCCCTGAACGATGACAGTTTCGACAAACGCATCGCTCGTCTTCTCTCGCAGTACGAAGGGTGAGTGTGGCTGGGAGACGGGGGAAGGGGGGGAAGGTGCTTATTTGGATTATTTACTGTATACTTAATTGGATAGGGCCATTCGGGAGGAGTTTGAAATTGCCCAGTACTCGCCGCAGAGATGTAGGAAATTGGCCCGCACTCTCACCGGACTCACCGATGTCATCCACACCATAGGCAGGTCGGTCCGACATGATAATGCCTATCGCCAACGCATGTGCAATATTGTGGCCTTCTACATATCCTGTGAACTGTGCTCTGCCCAAGAGCCAGTCGAAAAGGAAGAGCTCATCATCAATCGAATCAGTAGTTGCCTCAAGCTGTATGTAGAATACGGCGAGGGCGGCGCTGGCGTCCACAAGGAGCATGTTCTCCGCACTCTTCTGGCCGCACCAAAGTTGTTTAATCGGGCTAGCATTCTATCGGTGTTGTACAGGTAAAGGTCGTTAGATATACATAGCGCTGTTATTTCTCTAAATTTGTATATTTATTCCTTTCCTTTCCTACCCTTCCTTTTCAACTTGTATTTATTTTCTGTACAGCCGCCTCTTTCCTCATTGGTCTATGCCTAGCATTATGATTCAAGCGGAGCTGCCGGACAAACTTTACATCGAATATATTTTAATATTTTATTACTGGCAACGACTCGAGCCCGATGAGGCAGTCAAGGAGCGGATTGTCGAGTTCGCCGACAAGTTTATGCGGCCCTCAAAAACACTGGCCACGACCAGTAAATACGCAGAGTACTGTACTTACAGTGTCCGAGCCACGGCCACGCGCTCTATATTGAATCAGCTGCGCCAGAATAGCTGCACAAGCCTGCATGCGGCCATCAAAGTTGAGAATCGGCCGCCGCACTCCAGCGAAGTGGTGAGTTGTGTTTATTTAGCTTCCCATTACTTTCATTCTCTTCGGTTTAACAATGATGTCCCAGTAAAAGGTCTGATTCGGACAAGCAGATGGAGCAAAAGGCTCCGCCGACGCAGTTAGTCGCGTGACAGGCGGAGGCTGGCTCCACTCGGCTGTCCCAAAGTGACTACAATCTCAGCTGAGTAACGAAAATGGCCCCCACTAGAGATGGCTCTAGTTTTCATCAGTTTAACACAAATGTTTATATTTCTATGAATACTGCAGGTAATCAGTTCGGATGATGAGGACAGCTGCCCACTCTGGAGCAGCGTTAGGTCGAGGACGCCAACGCCTTCGTCCAGCCAGCATCCCCCTGTCTTTCTCCAGAATCTCTGCAAAAATGCCCGCCAGCTGGAGCCCTGTAAGAGAGCCTCGGCTTTGTTTAAAGGCATCGATAACACCGTTGAGATTGTGGATCTCCGCGATTCCGATGATGATGTAGAAATGTTCTCTCTCGACTTCAATGTGCCAGCCAATGTGGATGGCAACAACTCGAACTCAAATTCAAATTCAAACTCAAATTCAAATGATTCAGCCAGTCAGTCCCTTGGGGAAGATGACTCTGTGCCCGTCACGCGGATATATCCGAGCAACCTGAGGACCTATGAGCGAGGTCCAAGTGCTGCTGCCATCTCTGTCTCCGAACCACCACCACCCACCACGTACATAGTGCCCCGAATAGTCAATAGCTATAGCTGTCGAAGGGACAGCCTCCATCTGGTGTCCACAACAGCCCCGCATCTCGTGGATCAGTCGGTTCAAACGACCGTGGATGAAGAAGAGCTCGAGGAACAAATACAGGAAGAGGATGCACTGCCCCCGTGCCACCTCTACTCGGACAATCGACTACCGGGCACAACCACAACTAAAACCACCGACCTGCTCTACTCAGTCCATAGAAACGCCGACAGTCGCTTTCCCAGGAGCAGCAGCGCAAGTAGCAGCGATGCCAGCACCCACCAGCACCAGCACGTACATCACTGCCGCCAGCCATCTAGTCAGAATAGCAACTGCAGCGAGAGTTCGATGCAGAAAAAACAGGTTACCTTTAGTCCCCTGCACCTGGGTAAAACTGCCTCGAGAGCCAGCACAGTCGCATCCAAGAAGGCAGATATAAAACGGTTCGAGACATCGCCAGCCTTAAAAGCGGACCGCATTGACAATCTGAAGTGGATGGCTCTCAAAGGTAAGGGTTAAAAGAGATTACTTACAATGTGTTCATGTACTTAAGATTTTTATTTCGATATCTGTTGCAGAGCACATTCAGGCCAGCGCCAAGATGTTCGCCAAACTGAACGCAAGTAGTAACAATTGTGATAGTAAAGGAAGATCCAGTGGTTACAAAGAGATTACCGAGATTCCGGGGAGCATGGCCTCGCCGGTCAGAAGTGCGCCCAGAGCGGCCCAAATCACCGCCTCCCAGCTGACACCGACTACGAGCCATGCCTCCAGCTGCACGCCCACACGCATGAGAGGCACACCCCGAGGGCGAGGGGAATTGCCCACGCCTCCAGCGTCTACGCACAGCTCGGCCAGTCCATATCAGATACTCAGAGCGTCCACCGATACCCTGAGCTCTATCGACATGGAGAAACTCGAGGGGAATGCTAGAGTGTACAGCTTCAATCGACGCCTGTTCTCCAAGGCAGCTAACGAGCATGTGAGTTTCTACAACCAGCTGTTGAGCGTGCAGCGGAAGAATCTCCGGCAGCGGAGATTGGCCAACAGCACCAAAAAGAGTAATCCTGTAGATCCGAGGCAGGAGGAGCTTATAAATAAGGCCAGGAAGCGGTGCCAGCAGCTACGCGCTCTTAATGCCAAGAAGCGAAACGAGGCGGAGCAGCTGCAAAAACACCTGACGACCATAAGGAATTATGCCATACGGGGCAAGCCCATTGTAAGACTGAAACGTTGCAAGCTCAATGTCTGGGCGGGAACTATCGAGAATTCGCATCGATTATCCACCTCGTTAAATGAACCAGTGAATGGCGGTGAATCGGGTAAGGAGCCGTCTGAGGACAATCAGCAGATAAAGAAAGAGAAAGAGGAGCAGTTGGAGCAGAGTCAAGCCAAGCAACGACGTCGAAGGGGCCACAGCGTTTGGAAGCACATCAAGAAAAAAAAGAAGCTTTCGTTGTCCTCTCCAGAAGTTGTTTCGGACACAGTGCCAGTTGAAGTTCCAAATCCGAATCCATCGCCAGAGTCCGATGTTGAATCTGTGACCGAGCCAGATTCAAAAGATCCGGAGTCAATGCCAGCGGGAGCGGCAGCTCCTCAGGAACCAAAATCCCTTCCAGAGGTTGGCATGGAGCTAGAAATTCAGGAAGACGGCCTGGGGGCGGATGACAGCAACGCCGTGCCCTCCCCCGCCCACAACATCGAATTGGTGACCAGCAATGTGCCGGTTTACCTGCTCAACGGGGAGAGTCGCGATGTGAGCACCCCTCTATCCAGCCAATTCAGTAGCAGCGGATCCACTGAGCCGGCAGCAGCTAATGATACCTTTGTCCCATCGAGAAAAGATTAGGTCTTCGTCCTTTCCTTTCCTTTCCCCTAGCCTGGATAGTATTTTAGTGTTTTGTTGATATTTAGAGAGTATCCCTATCCTGTAAAACTGTTGTACAGTCTAGGTATATTGTCTTAATGCAGTTTCTAGAAAATTACGAATTACGAATTGTTGAAAGTTATTATTATTATTTTGTATTTTTTTTACATCTTCCCTTGCAATATTTCCCCTTAAAATAAACACGAACACGAACCAAAATATTGTCAATTTAAAGCAATGAAATTAAATAGAATATAGAATGAATAAATTCAACTATAACCGAAGCCACACAGTTGACTCTTTAGTTCGAGTCAGCATGCCAAAGTAGACATAGGGGTCGCCCTAAAAAAAAAAACGAAAATCATATATTTTTGTAAAAATCGTTCTCGTTTCTCTCAAGCTACTTCAAGAAAAGTATATATAAATGGAGAGAAATCACAAGAAGGGTAGGTTAACCACTGAATATAAACATGTGTCTATATATCAATATCTCAATCCCCCCAGGCGGCCGCATTCTGGTCGAGCGACAGCAACGCTTATCGATGCAGAACGGAAATTGCTTCTACATTAGAAACACGCAGACCCAGGTGCGTGAGGTCTTATTTCGCACAGCGGACAATTTGGGAGTGGATCGAGGATCCCTCATCAAGGTCCCAGACAGAGAGACCCAGGCTCGAGAGCGCCAGCACATGAACCAGCTGAACAGGCGGATCAAGTATGAAATAGACCAGCTTAAGTTCTTACGCCGCAATATTATACAAAACCCCGTCGAGTACAAAGCTTCAGAGTCGTATATGGAGCTGCACGATAAGGAGTTCTCCGCGGAAGAGTCGTCGGATGAGAGCCAATCCTGTGACACTGGTGACCAGCGAATAATACAGACCCTGAGCTGTACAACCGTGTTACACACAAACAAGAGGTGCAAACGAGCTGAAGGTGGCTGCAATTACATACCCCGGCAGAGGAACAAGTGTCGCGACCTAGAGCCGCGATCTGTACATCAGTGTGATTATGGAAACAGCTCACGATGTATCGCCTGTTTTGCCGGTGCGCAGCAACAGCTTCAAGACGATAACAACAACGCATGCTGCACGCTGCAGCCAAGTGTAGAGTCGTATATGGAGCTGCACGATAAGGAATTCTCCGCGGAAGAGTCGTCGGATGAGAGCCAATCCTGTGACACTGGTGACCAGCGAATAATACAGACCCTGAGCTGTACAACCGTGTCCCACACAAACAAGAGGTACAAACGAGCTGAAGGTGGCTGCAATTACATACCCCGGCAGAGGAACAAGTGCCGCGACCTGGAGCCGCGGTCTGTATATCAGTGTGATTATGGAAACAGCTCAAGATGTATCGCCTATTTTGCCGATGCGCAGCAACAGTTTCAAGACGATAACAACTACGCATGCTGCAGGCTGCGGCCAAGTGTACCCATACCTGTAGTGCCCAGTCCGTGCTGTCAGTATCAGCCGAGCTGGGCGTGTGTCTTACCGGCTCCGTTCAATCCGCGAACGACGACCGACCTGAACACTGAGGACTTCTGTCGCAGTTGGTGTGCCTGCGTCATGCCCGACCGTGCGCAAAAACTAAAGCATAGGAGCCACCGAGCTTCGGAGGACCCATCCCGGTCGAAGAGCCGGAGCTCCTCAAAAGGTAGCAGAGCGGTGGATGAAAAGATACGCAGTAAGCTGAAGAAGAGCGGAGCCGCAATCGACACCTCCTCGCTGGACCAGTACAATGTCGAGAGTCACGAGAAGCTTCTGAAGGTCACAATGCGGAAGGAATCCAAGTCAAAATCATCCACACGCAGGCGGGGATCGAAGTCCCAGGCAGTAGTGGGAAAACTCAAAACAGAAGGGAAGGAAATAGACGAGCAAGCGGATAACACCACCAAGGGCCAAAAGTTCTTCGAATACATGGACAAGTACGAGAACGAAAACGAAAACGGCGACGCCGGAAGTGAACAGGGAAAAGCAGGCGAGGGATCCCAGCTGGAATCGAATCCCACCTACACTAGAATCCCACATATAAAGCGGGAGCCCGGGGAATCAAAGTATGACGAAATCGCTTTCACCCCTGATAAAAATAAGGAGTCGGCCTGTCTTGACTCTTGTCCAGCAGTGAATTGTAAGCCCCCGCAATCAGCATATGAGGAGAGAGGCGTCTGCGACAAGGAAAAATGCGTTTGCGTTGGCCAGAAAGACAAAACGGAAGCAGAATACAAATACCAACACCCCGCACAGGATGATGGACGTGAACCGAAATCGGGAGAAGAGGGAGTCTGTGTTGACTCTTGTCCAGGAGGGACTTTTAAGCCGCCGAAATCCGCATATGACGAAGGGGTTCCAATTTCCACAGCTGATAAAATAGCTGAGAGGGGCGAAGCCGTTTCCCACAAGGAAAAATGCCCTTGCGTTACCCAGGAAGTCCAAACTGATGATGAATTCGTCAAGAAAGAGACGAGGCTGACTCAAACGGATCTGAAGTTGCTAGAGGAGCAACTCACCCAAACTGACCCCCAAGGGAGTCAACACGAGGGACCTGCGCAGACCGACATGGGCGGCAGTCGCCTCGATATGCTCACCAAAAACGATCTCCAGGGAAGTCAACAAGAGAGCGTTCCAATTTCCAGACCTGATGAAACAGGTGAGAGGGGCAGAGCAGTGTGCCAGAAGAAAAAATGCGCTTGCGTTTCCCAGGAAGCCCAAACGGATGGAGAATACACCAACGAACGCCCCGTACAGGATGATGGGCGTGACCCGAGAGCTGAACAAAAGGGACTTCTTGACTCTTGTCCACGAGTGACTGGAAAGACCCCGCAATCAGCATATGACGATGAAGTTTCAATTTCCACCTCTGATAAAAGAGTTGACAGGAGCAAAGCCGTGTGCCGCAACAAAAAATGCACTTCCGCTGCTCAGGAATTTCAAACGGATGGAGAATACACATACCAACGCCCCGCACAGGACGATGGACGTGACCCGAGAGCTGGACAAAAGGGAGTCTGTGCTGACTCTTGTCCAGGAGTGACTGGAAAGCCCCCGGAATCAGCATATGATGAAAGGAATCAAATGTCCACCTCTGATAAAAGAGCTGAGAGGGGCAAAGCCGTGTGCAGCAACAAAAAATGCGCTTGCCTTCTCAAGGAAGTACTAGGTGATGGAAAATTCACAGGCCAACTCCCCGCTCAGGAAGATAGAAGTGAATCGAGATCTGGACAAAAGGGAGGAGTTCCAGGAGTGACTGGAAAACCCCCGCAATCAGCATATGACGATCAAGTTTCAATTTTCACACCTGATAAAACAGTTGAGAGGGACAGAGCTGTGTGCCAGAAGAAGAAATGCGGTTGCGTTGCCCAGGAATTTCAAACAGATGGAGAATACACCAACCAACGCCCTGCACAGGATGATGGGCGTGACCCGAGGGCTGAACAAAAGGGAGTCTTTCTTGACTCTTGTCCAAGAGTGACTGGAAAGTCCCCGCAATCAGCATATGACGATGAAGTTTCAATTTCCACCTCTGATAAAAGAGTTGAGAGGAGCAAAGTCGTGTGCCGCAACAAAAAATGCACTTCCGCTGCTCAGGAATTTCAAACGGATGGAGAATACACATACCAACGCCTCGCACAGGATGATGGACGTGATCCGAGAGCTGGACAAAAGAGAGTCTGTGTTGACTCTTGTCCAGGAGTGACGGGAAAGCCTTCGCAATCAGCATATGACGATCAATTTTCAATATCCACCTCTGATAAAAGAGTTGAGAGGAGCAAAGTCGTGTGCCGCAACAAAAAATGCACTTCCGCTGCTCAGGAATTTCAACCGGATGGAGAAAACACATACCAACGCCCCGCACAGGATGATGGACGTGATCCGAGAGCTGGACAAAAGAGAGTCTGTGTTGACTCTTGTCCAGGAGTGACTGGAAAGCCTTCGCAATCAGCATATGACGATCAAGTTTCATTATCCACCTCTGATAAAAGAGTTGAGAGGAGCAAAGCCGTGTGCCACAACAAAAAATGCACTTCCGCTGCTCAGGAATTTCAACCGGATGGAGAAAACACATACCAACGCCCCGCACAGGATGATGGACGTGATCCGAGAGCTGGACAAAAGAGAGTCTGTGTTGACTCTTGTCCAGAAGGGACTTGTAAGCCCCTGCAATCAGCATATGACGAAAGGGATCAAATTTCCACCTCTAATAAAAGAGTTGAGAAGGACAGGGTGCGTCGCAACCTGAAATGCGATTGCCGTGCCCAGGAAGTCCAAAATGATGAAGAATTATCCAAGAAAGTGACGAGGTTGACTCAAACGGATCTGAAAGCGCTAGAGGAACAAGTTACGCAAACTGACCCGCAGGGGAGTCGACAAGAGACAGTCCCCCAAACCGATGTCCAGGGAAGTCAACACGACGGAATTACCCAAGCCGATCTCCAGGGGAGACAACACGAGAGGCTCGACCAAAACGACCTCCAGGAAAACCAATACAAAGGACTCGTCCAAACAGAGCCGGAAATCAACCAGGAAATCGGCAGCGGTAAATCGGCTATATCGGGCGTGGCCGTCAGTAAAGCGGAACAATTTTCGACATGGTCGCCAAATGATGACACAGATGTCCAAGATGTCCAAACTGCATCGCAGAAAGAGAAGAAGCAAAATCAGCGTCAAGACTCACCATCAGCTTTATCAAGGAAAATTTATAGTGCTCAATCCCCTTCTTCGCAAAAATATATGAAATATATTAGTCGAGGATCCCTAACAGAGCAATCTGAACAAGATGCAGATGCAGAACACCGTAGCAACAGTCGCCGCTATCCGGCTAAGCAGTGCCAGTGTAAGCCAGTGTCCTCCGGCCCCAGCCAACAAACGCAGGTCCTCGAGGAACCCAAAGAGCAACAGTACCTAGATGACGACGAAGACATTCCAGTTGGTACAGCGTGTCCCTTAAAAAAGTCTTCGCCATTCTGTGATCCATTGCCTCCGGCGGCTAAGTGTGACCTTCATCCAGCGGGATGTTACTGTGACACCAACCAACCAAAGGTCGAGAAGCCAAAAACTTCCGGTAGAGCCAAGCATACAGAGCGATCTAGGAAGTCGTCGCCCACGAATACCAAATCCCAACAGAAAGGTCCCGACAATACCAAGCAGTATCAACAATACGAGTCCACGTATCAGTACAGCTACGGGCGCTCTGAGGATGCAGAAAATGTAGACAGCAGTGGTACTGGTACCACCAGTCATAATATGGATAATAAACCGTCTAAGGTTCTCAACAAGAAGCATGTTCAGGCACATGGCTGTGACACTGATTGCAGTGGGCGTAGTCTCTCCGGATGCAACATCTCCATAGACAGCTACCTTGGGCCACAGGCAACGTCCTCGCGTCTTATAAATTATCAGTACTCAAATGGCAGCACATATAATCCGCCCAACCAATCACTAGTTCCAAGACTCCCAGCACTGTGTCAGTTGGCTGGCGCCTTCAACTGTGCCACAGCCGATAATGATGCGTGTAAGCAAGTGGTGCCGATTTATGTCTGCGAGAAGCGTACACGCTCTGTCACCTTCGAGGATGAGTGCGGGAAAGTGCGGGCGATGCGCAATATTGCGGACAATATTCGAAGCAGAATTGACTGGGAGCGGATCGTAAAGACACGTATGAGCCAGTCGGATGGCGATACCGACAGCACTAGTCAGTCGAACGCTGCCTTCGGAAGAATGTATTCCACCGATGACAACAACGGCGGATACTCTTGCCGTAAGCGAAAAGATATATTTATTTCCACTTTTCCTACCTCATTAATCGTATCTTCCCAGGATCCAGCAACTCTGCCGCCACCGAGATTACCTGCATGGGGTCAGAATACCAGACTGTATACGGGGAAGACTTCAGCAACTACGAGGATGATTTAGGGTTGCCGCAATTCGCACACTGCCCCTGCTTGCTCAGAACCTACGTCAGCCTGGCCTCCATCTGCACGAACGACAGCCGATCCATTCTGCAGGAGGAGGAGGAGCAGAAGGAGTAACGTTAGCACAAATTTTAATTTCGTTTTTACAATTTTTATTATACAACTTCGAGAGCCTCTAAGAACATAAAATTTGAGTTAAAATGAAACTAACGAACAAAATTAATGAATAAAAGGATCGAACATGTCTACAAAGTTTCCGAGGGCACCCTTGGACTGACTTCACGCGTACGGGCCCTACAGAAACGATCCTGCTCGAGGTTCTTGCGCAGTTCACGGGCCTGCTCCTCGTACTTGGTGGCCAGTTGCTTCTGTTGAGTGCAGCGAAGACGCTCCTCCTGCAGCTTTTCCTTATTTCAAAGGGGGAAAGGGAAGGGCCTAGTGTGTCGTCTATCAAGATTGATTCACGTTTGCTTACCATGGTCTGTTGGTACAGATGTCGCAGTCGTTCCATCTCGTTGTTGGTCCTGATGCCGTCGTCATCCTGACGCTGTTGATCTTGGTGCAGGTGCTCCAGCAACTCGTCCGTGGTCGCTGTGGCCACTTGGTTGACGGCCGCCGTCTGTTGGAGTTCGTCGCGCAGCTGCTTGCATTGCTTGTCCAACTGCGAAGTTGATTCTAGTTATTGTGGTTGTAGTTATACCGCTAGTTGGACTACCACTAGCATGGATTAGCATGCGACGAGGCAAACTAAGACTAGGGCCTTAGCGAGGATAGTGGTACGCATTGGGGGACGAGCTAAAGCTCACCTTCTTTCTAGTTTCATTGACTTCATTCAACTCCGCATTAAGCTTCTCCTTCTCCACATCCAGCTTGTCGCACAGCTCTCTACGAGCGTCAAGATCGACCTTCTGGATGCGCAGATCGTCGCGGGCATTCTCCAGTTCCTGCTTAAGGCAGCGGGCCTTCGCCCGGGCGGCGGTAAGTTGTACTTCCATCTCCTTCAGTTTGCACTGGCAGCACTGCAGATGATCCTTGAGGTTGCGCACCTCGCACTCCAGCTCGCAGATCTGACGCCTGAAACGATTAGACTTTAGCCCAAGCCGCAAAAGCAATGTTTACTTACTTTGATTCGGCTGCCTCACACTCCAGGCTGTAATTGTTGCCCTCGAGCGCCACCTGTTCGGTGGTGAGGCTGTGGAAGTTGTCCAGGAGTTCGTCCCGCTCCTTTTCCTTAAAGTTAGAGCATACCTGTCGGCATTAGTTTGGCGGCTCGAGTACTTGTCTCTTATCCACAACTTAAATAACTAGACTGACCTTTTGCATGAGCAGGTCCTCGGCCTTCTTAACCTCCTGGACGTAGTTGTGCAGCTGCTCCTTCATGTTCGCAACCTTCAGCTCCGACTCCCTGAGCTTCTTCTGCAGCGTCCTGGCCTCCACCTGGGCATCGGTCAGTTTGTCCATCAGGCGGCTACAGCGATTACAAAATGTGTACACATGTACATTGTATTATACAAAATTGCCATAAAAAAACTACATATTAATGGTCACTGTGCGAGGAAAAAACTTTGGCTGAGCGCGGAAGCAGTTCTATGATCGCTGCGGTAATGTCTTTTTTGCTCACCCATTCTCTGCTATGGCCTCATCGCGGCTGGCTTTGAGTGCCACAATCTGCTGCCGCAGCGTTTTACTTTCCGTTGAAGTCTCATTCAGCTCCGAGTCGTGCTGTCGAATTTGGTTGGTCAGTTTGCTGTTTTGGAGAGAGTGTACACATAGGAAATCGATTAGAACTATTCACTGTTCTACAATCTTGACACACCAATCCTAGGCTTATCATTGTTTTCCTAGACCCTCGATCACATACATCTTTTCTCCCCTGTATTGCGCCCGAATATTGAATTATCATTAAGGTTCGGACAAGGCAAGACCCCGTCTGGCTGCAGAGCTCCACCAATGCCAAAGACTCGAGGAGCCTGACCCTCTCTCGGGCGCCCCAAAAGCAACCAGACACAAATATACATGTGTGTCTAGATATATGTAGATATATGTGAATGCCAGGCACGTAGCAGGCACACATCCGCAATTCGGATTGAAGCTCAAGAACACACAGCTCACAGAGCAGTGAAGTCGCCATCGCCATCGCCATCGCCATCAACGTCTTTGTCTGTCAGTCATTAAGGCTAAACAAAGTTCAAATACCCGTCGGGGGCTGACGCAGAACCCAAAAGGCTAAGAGAAAGAGAATGAGGGATATACTCGCAAGTATATACATATGTACGGGTATGGGCATGACATGTGTATGCTCGATGACTGACATTTCGACGCCCGCTGTTGGCTGTCGGCTGTTGGCTGTTGGCTTTACGGCCAAAGTGGTTAACACATGGCTACTAAATCTTTGACATAAACTATGCTCTGCAGCTTGTAGTTTCCATGCAAGAGCGCGCTGGACGCTAAGAGCGAGTCGGGCAGGCCAGCAGAGTGTTGGCCGGGCTCAGATGTTTGTTACCTGCCTGAGCGAACGGTCGGCTCAGTCGGTCGGTCGGTTAGTTGGTTGGTTGGTTGGTCGGTCGATTGGTCGGTATCGGTCGAGTCGCGTCGGTTCTGCCTTAGGGAATTGAATTGTATGTCTTTTGGATGATCGCGTTTTTGATGTGTTTTTTTTTATATGTTTTGTTTTGTTATTGTGTTATCGTTTCGTTGCGGGGAGGACGCTACAGCCAAATCAAAATCCAAATTGAGCGCACTCCAACTTGTTTTTGGAAATTCACGAAGGAGTTGCAAAAGGTGCCTAAGCAAATAATCACTAATCATTGTTGTGTGTCGAGGCGAGAATCACAGGAGACGGAAGATTTTGATTGGATGTAAAACAAAAGCAAAACCAAGAGCCCAAACCAAACCCAAAGCCAAACCCCAAACCTGTTGCTATTACAGCAGCTAACAACGCAACCTAAGACTGGCCAGAAATCACGCAACTATCCGCCAGCATGGATCGGATACATGTATATGGGGAACTGGTGCAGAGTGTGGCACCTCTCGTGTCCACCGCTTGGCTGGCTTCTGCGGCGGCGGCTGCGGCTGCTGCTGCGGCTGTTGTGGCCGATGTGTTGCCTGCCACTGTTGCAGGTTTCGTCATTTGCTCTTACATAAAATGGCGTTTCGATTATGAGCAGCAGAAGATTTCTGGCCAAGCAGACGCAAGGCGAACAGAAGTCAAGATAAATGGGTATTTGGGTCATGGTTAACAGCGCACGAACCGTTTACTGGTTTTTCTGTTGTGGTTTTTGGTTCGTTTCGTCTCTGGCTGCGGCTCTGACCGGGGCTAGTTCGAGTCCAAGCACTGCGATAATCAGATGCCCCAGAGGGTTGGCTAATTCAAATTGGACTCGCTTCGGGGCCTGTGCCTGCGTCTGCGTCTGCGTCCGCGTCCGCAAAAGTGAATTGATTTATAAACAGCTGCCCCCGACAATAGAAAAATCATCAATCATCCGGTATAATGAGAGGCGAGCCGAGCCAAGCCGAGCCTCCTCCTCCTCCTACCCTAGCCCCACTCTACCAAACAAAAGTGAAAATCCATTAGTTGCCTTCCCAGCTGATGCCAAACTATTGGTCCTCTTGCTCTTCCAGATCCACCATGAGACGTCGCAAGCTGCTCATCTGCTGGGCAGCCCTCCAGGCGGGCTCAACCATGATTACCTGCCTGCTGTTGCTGCTGACCAGCTCACAGCACGGCTATCAGGTGGCGGCCGGCATTGTGCCGCCACCCTGGAGTGATCCGGCCACGAACCCCTGCGCCAGCATGTCCGGGGGCTGGCAGCTGCTCTACTGGACGCCGCTAAAGAAGTGCTTCAAGATCTTCACTCTGGGCTATCCCTGTCCAGACACCATGGAGCTGAGTCCCACACCAGTTAGTGCCAAGCGGAAGGATCTTCCTGCGGCCGAGTGCCGCTGTCCGCCGGGAACTGCTCTCAGTCCTCTGACCAGCTCTGTGTGCCACAAGCTTTACGAGCGGGGTCCGTGTCAGAGCACAGAATACTTTCAGCCCCTACCAGATCAGGCCAAGAGGTGAGCCCATGGAGGGATCTGGCTCATTCACCATTCATTCACAATTTCCTCCTCATCCTAGGACTGGCAACCGGTGGGGCACCTGCAAGCGTCCGTTGCAGTGCCCCGATGGAATGATCTTCTGGCCGAGAGACAACAAGTGCTATACGCGACGAAGTCGTGGACCCTGCAGCCGGGGAAAGTTGCTGGTGCGCAACGAGGACGGGCTGGCCGAGTGCAGGTGCGAGGATGCAGGCGAACTGGCCTTGTACTACTCTCCGTCGGAGGACTCGTGCTATGAGCACTATACCAAAGGACCTTGCTCCACGCCGGGTCACATTTTCATGCCGGGTGGTCGGTGCGACTGCCAGCAGCATCTGCCCCAATATCATGCCCCTCAGCAGATGTGCTTCGAGCTCGGTAGGGTTCCATTTGACAGTACAGTAGTCCCCCCTCCTTATTCCAAGTTCTCTCCTGATTTCAGATACTCCGGGACCCTGTCCTCCTGGACACATATTTCGCATACCCGACAATGCTGAGGCGACGACTGATGGCTCTTTGCAACTGCTGCCTCGGGCCAGGTGTCTGTGCAAGGAAGGCTACGTGCCCTGGACCGATGGCATCTGCTATCGCCTGTACACACGGGGACCGTGCGGTGCCAACGAGTTCCTGGTGAATGCCACCTCCTGTGTGCGCAACTTTTGCGGCAAGAATCGTCTGTACTTCCCGGCCGAGGACTCTTGCTATCGAATAGGCTCCCAGGGCCCGTGCTCGCTCCATCAAGTGGTGATCTTCGATTTCACCGCGCGCCCCTCGCTCGACGGCATCTCCTACAATGGAATGTGCGGCTGTGCGGGAGTACTCACTAACTTGGACCAACAGTGTTCCGGCACGGGCTCCGGATCTGGCTTCGGCTCGGGCGCCGACGTGGAGCAGAACATCTGCGAGTCGACGCCTGGCATGGTCGAGATCAACGGCCAGTGTCACAAGCTGTACACCCGAGGTCCCTGTGGGGCTGGCCAGTGGCTAGAGCCACTCAAGAGTCACTCCCAGACGAATACATCGATCTTGGCCTTCGGCAGTCGAGCCAAGTGCGTCTGCCGCCCCGGCTACACGGCCACGGAGGCGGACCAGAGGGGCCTAAGCAACTGCAGTGCTCCAAGCGTGAGCCTGGCGAGGTATTTAACGATCGAGCGACACAACTCAAAGTTCCTCAATGATCTACACTCCGGTTCTCCCTCCCTAAACTAAATGTTAATACCAGCCTTTCAAACTATCCTTTGTAGTCTCTGGGTCTTTGTCTGGGTCTGGTTTTGAGTCCCCGCATGCCTACTCTCTTCATCCTTCTCTTTGATCTTTTGTGATGCATGCCAAGTGTTTTTTGATCGCAGTGATCCATTTGTTATTCCATTAACCATTTTGTTCTTGTTGTTTTAGGTGGTTTTTAGAAATATTCGGGTAACCTTTTCGATGGTTTCGCAGCCACGGGGGATAGGATTGTGCCATGAATGTATTACAGCGACTAATATACGAGTTGTATTTAAGATAACTCTCAATAAGACAAATAAAATAAAGCAATGTGCAAAATAAACAAGAATACTACTGTGCCTTGCAAGGACAGACGTTCAACGATTCTATTCAGCCCTAAGGACGAGAGGACGTTGACCCGTGATGTCTGCGCTATCAAGTGGCTCAAGCGACACCAAACCGATGCCGGTTACGCGTGGATCCCAGGCGCAAGCCAACCGATCGGGGGCGCGCTTCCGCCTCAAACGAGTCGCGTGCAAACAGGAAATAAAGATGTTCGAGTAATATTCGGGTATAAGGTGGGGCTTGGAATTATAATCCAAGCAGGAGACCAGACCCTAAGCAATGCTATAAGGCAGGAAACACACTTTACAGTTTTTAGTCGATCCAATGGGGCAACACACGGACCGGACAGACGTTCAGCGATTCTATTCAGGACTAAGGACTCACCGCACTTGCTCCTCCAGTTCCTTGACGCTTTGTTCCAGACAATTCCGCTTCTCCTTGCAGTCCTTGAGCTCGTATTCCAATTTATATGCTCGCTCGGTTTTGCCATCCAACTGATGCTAATGTTGACGAGAAGCATTAAAGAAGATCGACAAAAAGTAAATAGAATGAAAGGGGAGCAGAGCTCTGGCCTTTTACCAGAAGAGTGTCTTTTTCAGTCTCCAGGCTAATGTAGGTCTGGCGCAGGGCTCCGATCTCGGCGCGCAGTTGGGTGACCTCATTCCTGTTGGATTCGCGACTGGAGTCCAGTGTGCTGGCCCGGACATCTGCCGACTGTCGCTGACGCTCGGATATCATAAGTTTACCTTGGAAGTCGGCTATAATTCGCTCATTCTGTTCATTGAGCATGCTGCCAGAAGGTTGATGCATTACGAAATTTACTCATCTTGATTAATAGTCAAATCAACTTACGTTATCTGACCGATCTCGGTCTTTAGCTGCTCGCTTTCGGCTTGAAGCGAGGCCACGCGATGCCTTAGCTGGGCTATGTCCTCCTTGAGCAGGGCTATATTCGTTTCCGCTGGAAGCCGAGCTGAGTTCAGTTCCCTGTTGTCGCGTTCCAGCTGCCGCAAGCGATCATTGAGATCCTCGTTGCGCTGCCGCAGGACCAGCAGCTCCTCGGCATGCAATTGAACAGAGCACAGCTGCTTCTCCCTAATCATGTCCCGCTCGCAGCGCACTCTCTCCAGTTCCGACCTGGCACAATCGCGCTCCCTTTCGACCCGCCCGATGGCAGCCTGTACGCAGTCGCTTCGATTGCTGTTGTTCCCAGAGCTACTGGCGGTGGACGGCGGCAGGGTCTCGTAGTGGGTGTTCTTTTGGGGCGAGTATTGAAGTTTGTTGGAGCACAGCTCATCCCGCAGTGTCCGCAGCTCCTCGTCCTTGGACTTCAATTGAGCACGCAGGAAGGCTACCTCTGACTCTGAGCCGGATCTGGCCATTATCCGGAGATATTCCTTCTGGAAGAAGTCCCGCTCGGACGTCAGCCGTATCTTCTCTTCGTTGAGGGTGACGGAGTTGTTTTCGTTATGGTCCTTCGCCTCCTTTTGCAGCTCCATTATCTTGGCATGCATTTTTCCAAGCTTTTTCTTCTGCTTATCAATGATGGTATTTAATTCCTCCTCGCGACGGGTTAGCAGATTAAGACGTTCGTTCAGATTACGCTTGTCACAGGGAATAGCAATAGGAGATGCTCCTCCTGTCAGACGCACATCTTTGAACCTTTGTTCGTTTCGCTGCTGCAGCTGCTTCAGCTCGACCTGGAGATGCTTCACCTCCAGTTCACGGGCATCGATTTCCAAATTGGCCTGCTCTTCGACCTGTAGGGCTGCCTGCTTGAGCTCATCTAGGTTCATTTGAAGCTGCCGCTTGTCCTCGTCTGAGCTTAGGGCTCTCTGCATGGCATCGTGCATTTTGTCTTGGTACTCGCGCACCTGCATCATCAGTTCAGCCTTCTCGCGCTGCAGCAGGTCAATGTCCTCCGATAAGGCACCCACTTCCCTGTAGCAACAGTCCTTGGCCAAAGCAACGGGCGGCCGTCCCCCAGATAGCATATCATTCAGTCGACGAATCTCCCGATTGCGCGACTCAACTTTCCGCTTGTAGAACTCCAATTGTTCGCTGGATGTGGCTAGATCATTTTGCAGCTTGTCGAGCTCCTCCTGGCCGCTGGTCTGTGTGACTGTCACCCCATCCTGGGTGGTTGTCGTGGTCTTTTGAAATACTCCCGCATTGCATTTCGTACATTTGAGTGCAGTGCCAAGAACGCAGGGCAGAATGTTTCCAGCGCGTACTGTGGTTATGAAAGGTTTCTTAGCTGAAAAGAATCTCCAGCATTATACAGCATCTAGCAGTGGAGGAAAATTCAAACATACTCTGTCGGGTGGACGACACATGCGTTCGTTTGCCAGCCGTCGAAGACGTGCCAGCCAGTTGTTTGTTTAGCAAGGCATCTAACTGGTTCTGTAACCCCACGTTATGGCTTTGCAAGTGTTCCTTGTCCGTCTCCAGACTCCTCATCCGTCGTTCGGCCTCTGGCGATAAACATTTTTAAAAGTTTTTCCCAAGATAAGGTTCAAGATCACATACCACACAAGCGCAGCTCGTAGTCCTCGCGATCCCTAAGAAACTGCAAGTGGAGCTCATTGCATTCAGCTAGCAGGCGGGAGTTGTCGCACTTGTAGGGTTCAACGCCCAGCTCCCAACAGGTTTTCTCCTTTAAAGACACAACAAATCGTAGCTTAGCAACCGCTTGACCCATTTCCTTAATAGTAATCTTAGTAGGATTAGCTACTGGCTACTGGGAACATATTCATATGTGGGTACCTCTAGCAGATCGGCAACTTGCTTCTTTGTGTCCCTAAGACATTCCGTCGTCTTGACCAGGTCACCGAAAATTGCTTGCACCAATGGAATGGCCAGGACGGGCAGCGTCTGGTTGAAGCCCATAACATCCAGTTTGGACCGCAAATCCTTGAAGTCGCCATCGTTAAAACCATTCATGGATAACTGATGGCTTAACTTTCTATTGGATGTACTCAATTATTGCAATAAATAAAACAAACAATAAACAAAAATAATGCGCCAAGAGTTAAAAAGGTACGCTAGCAGTGTGACCGTAGAAATATACTTGACGAAGTCAAGTTCTGTTATACATAATCCTCGTTTTTTATTTTCCGTGGAATATTACTAGCTATATAGAACATTTAGCCATGCCCACATAATTTTAGAACAAAGATGAATAAATTTTCTACACAATTGGTTAGTTTTTAGTCCTTGCTTTTATTGTATTTTGGCTAAAACAAGGTTTGAACAAAATAGTTCAACAAAAAATCAGTCGCAATGTTGCTGGTATTTAAAAACATGATGCGTGTATAGGCCTTTGTACACCCTATTTCTTTAATTTTATATGTAGATCAAACGCAATTTATTAAGACCTTTTCTCAAATTGACATGTTTTTGACTTATTCATGTGTATTATTAGTATCTTGTATATATTTATCTCGATCCTGTTACCTACTGAGCCTTGGAAGACAAACATTTTCTCAATTCTATAACATCCATTACCCCCAGGGTATGTGTGCATGGAATTAGCAACATGTTTGTGTATGGAATGAGACTCATTGTTGCAATAGCGAAACTGCGGCGAATCGGGTATTGCCTATATTTCAAGCTATAGATGCCCACTTAGCTTTATCCCATAGATAAATGCATTTTCTACAAGATTGCTTCTTTTAATTACCTTAATGTATTATATTTTGACCAAAAAACGGTTTTCAAGTAAATGTTGCTGCAACAGTGTGCATGGAAATAGCAACATGTTTGTGTATGGAATGAGACTCATTGCTGCTAAAGCGAACTGGGGCGAACTGCGGCGAACTGCGACGAATTCAAATTCCTCATATTCTTTGTTCCGTTGAATAATACTATCTATATGGAACATTTAGCCATGCCCACTCAATTTTATACGATTGATGAATCAATTCTATACATGATTGGTCTATTCGAAATACTTGCATTTATTGGATTTCTATATAACATTGAAAATTAAATTAATAGATTGATGAAATTGACAAAAATACCATGGGAGCGCGGCGAAAACCAGTATATCTACAGTATGACCCTCAGAACAGCACCGAAATATACGGTCTCACTTGAAAAATATACCGAGTGGTGCGCGCCAAATCGAACTTTTTTGAATGTGAGCGACAAGGATTTAAAGGTTGTCAACCGGGCCTTTATCTATGCCCACATAATTTTATCCGATTAATTAAACTATTCTCAACTTGACTGGCTTACTTTATATAATTGCTTTTATTGCATTTTGCGTAAAGGTTTTAGCGAAATAGGTTTAACAAAAAAAAGTTTTAGACTACCGACCGGATAATACCTAGAACTGCACGTCAAATTATTTGAAAGTGAATGAGTCACAAGTGAATACAATTTAGTGGAATAAGCCATGCGCGGAAGTACGATTTGAGAAAGATTTCGTGACTTATTCGCACACATTTTAATAATTTAAATGAACGGTCAAGAATGTGCAATTAATAGCTGACAGCCCTTCTGAATCGCAAAATACATACATGCGAATATTTGACTACTGTGAGGAAGTGTACTCCTCCAAGATCATCCAACGCTGAGCAAAACCAATGAAAGCGATATCCTCCAGCTTTTCGTATTCCACCTCGCTTTCGTGTAATGAATATTTATAGTGCTATTGGAAAAACGCTTTAAATTAAATAGTAAAATAGCACAAAAGTTGTTTAAGACTAGATTTTGAACAATTTTGTAGTTGTCAAAAATTATTTTATATAGTGAAGTATTATACTCAGCGTAAGCGCCCTTTTTATTTCAAACTTAATGTTGTACTTTACTGCACTGAACGAGAGGAAGTGTGGGTAAACGGAATAAAGTCATTAACAAATCCACTCGCCGGTAGGGGCGCCACATTTCGTCGTTCAACGGAAATTGCATTTAAATTCAAATTCAAACTTACTCGACAACAAAACAATAAAAGTTCTTAAACATAAAGGGAGCTTCGTTGTCCGATATGAAATTACGCTCTGGCTTCTCAGATGAGAAAGGATTTGTGGTCGGAGGCAACACAATATTCAAATGACGATTCGATTGACCGACGAACTGTGCCATGTCCAACGGAGCTTCGTATTTGGTATAAGAGGTGACCACAATGGGGCATTTAAGATTAAGAGAGGCCTGTATGGTGTCAGGCCAGGTGTCCTCCAAGGCATATCCCGTCGACCGATACAGTCCCGAATTGTAAAAGCACACTGTTGATTAGAAACGAAACTGATTAAAAGAAGTTGGTCTAAATGCGAGTTCTGCCACACTGTTATACCCAAATCTGGTTGGAGAAACTGCGGCTCTCGGCAGTAGTCGTGATAGAGATTATTTTCAAAGTGATAGTTCACTGTCCTCTGAGCCTTACGACACAAGCGACAGCATCTTAAATAAAATGCAATTATCAGTTGGATCCAAGTACTCGAAATATTCGAAGACCTCGCATTCGCTCACTTGATCTTCTTCAGTTGCTCAAAGGAGATGTTATTGGGATTCAGTTCTGGTCCTACGAAGACCACATTCAGGCATTTCAGAGCTGGCATTATGTGCAGAAGGAAGAGCTCCCATTTCTGCAGCACATCGACCTCGAATTCGATCTCAGCTCCTATTAGATGAAGCGTCAGCTCGCTGTTTCTCAAGCGCTCGCAGAGCTTCAGGGCAAACCAGGCCGTCAGGGGTCCGGTGGAGACCTGGGTAAGGGCAGCATACTCACACTCATCAACGACATCTGTTAGTGGAAGTGGGAGGTGTTCATGGCGGTCCAGGCGCTTTTCATTCTTGAAGGATACTCACTAAAACTAAGTTTTTTCATCATTTGCCTCGAATTGCAGCAGGCCATGGGCAGCTCCCGGAGAACCCTGTTGGGTAGCGACGGCTCCAGCCGTCCAAATTTGGCCTGGAACATGACAAAGGCCTTAAACAGTCTGTAGGCCCCGCACCACTTGGCATGCTCAGGACTCCGATGGTCTGGCTTGTCCCTGCAGGAGGCGAACTCCCCACAGCCGCCACAGAGTTGAAGACGCTTAAAGCGATGCTCGCGGCACTTTTGGTCCCCGCAGATGAGGGGAAAGAGTAGCACCTCTTGCTCCGTGGGCGAGAGCGGACGATTCATTTCCTTCTCTACCTGCCGTATGCACACAATCCGATACGAACGAAATTGCTCGGCACTGAACGCACCGCACTTGTAGAACATCTCGTGACCTACATAGATTCGAGCAACAGGCGGATAATTGGCAATTAGCTTGATTTATGGTTCGTGGCCGCCGACGGCCGACGGCCGGCGGCCGGCACCGCTCACCGCTGAGGTCCACTGCCTGGCGCAGGGCATAGCACAGCTGGCGATGGTCCTGATCCTCCCTCATATGGCTGGGACTGCAGTAGTAGCTCAATCCGCAGCGGGCACAAGGCAGCGAACTCCGGCCGCAGAGATCCGCTTTACAGAGCTGCAAGTCAGTGAATTCGGGGGTAAAGTGGATGCGTTTCTGATTGTGTGGTGCAACTGTCACTCACGTTGCACAGTGAGGCCATAAAATATTTCCGCGGCTTATATATGTATTCAATGTACTCGGCCTCATCGTCGGAGGACTCAACATCGCTGGGAGGCGCCTGGCTGAACAGCTTGCTCAGATTGCTGAACATCGCCGCTGTAGGCGATTCCCCACCGCCTAAATAGGATGCAAATGCAACGTTATACACGAACTCTAATTTAAGGGAACAGTCTCTAACCCATCTGCAATCTGCTGCCCAAGCACTTCAGCAGCTCGTTCACTTCGTAGCCCCTGACATCCTTCGATTGCTTGGCAGGAGTTCCTGCTACTTTCGGCACTACTGGCTCTGGGGCACTCGAAGTGGGAACTGCTGGAGTCCTCGGCTTCCTCTCATCCTCTTTGGCTTGCTTTGATGGCTTCGCTGTCGCTGGTTCAGGTGGGGCGCCAGTAGGCTCGTGTTTCTTGGAAGTAGGAACCGCGCTCTTGGCCAGCAGCTTCCTACGCAATAGCTGCTGTATCAGCTTGATGGGATCGTTGTCTGGCCCTGGCCCCGCTTCCGCCTCCTGGGTTGTGACCACTGAAGGGGGTTTTTCTTCTGCCCCTGCACTGTCCGTCTGGTCAGACTGCACCTGATTGCACTTGTTCCTCGGACGATTGCGATGCCTTGGCTTTTTCTTTTGCACGCCTGTCTGCTGCATGGCTAATTTTCAGATCAGTTTTGCTCAGTTCTGTTCTGTTCTGGGTTCTAAATTTGCCTGCCTGCTTGCGTACGTAACTCAATTGAACGACAATGAAGAATGAGCATTGTTCTTGGGTTGCTGTACGCTCTGCCCGAACTCAATTGGCCAGCAGCCATCTCCACCGCAAGTGGGCCCAAATCTACAAATGTACGCCCTGCCCTGGCTATTTTTGTTGAGCACGGGCCTCCGCCGCATCGAGTACAGACAGCAGCAGCCGGCATGGGCATGGGTTAGCATTTATTATGTCCACGAGGCGTTGGACTAGTGCTCTGCTCGTACGAGTATGGTCACAACCGCAACCGTGAACCTCCCAAAAGGTAGGAAAAAGCTCATTCCATGTGATATTTATACCCGATACTCGAAGAGTATAGGGGCATATTAGTTCTGCGGCGGAAGTGGTTGTGTGTAACACCCAGAAGGAAGCGTTTCCGACCCCATAAAGTATACATATTCTTGCTCAGCATCAATAGCCGACTCGATATAGCCATGTCTGCGCGACTGTCTGTCTTGATTGACGCCTGCTTCTCAGAGACTATAAGAGCTGGAGCAACCAAATTTTGTATGCTGTAATATAACACTGTTGCACGTGTATTTCAAAATTTCGCCCCGCCCCCTTCCGCCCCTACAAAGGACGAACATCTGTGGCATTCACAATTTTTAAGATATGAGAAACCCGAAAACGCAGGATTATAGAGGATGACTATATCTACCAGAATGCCTTCCATGCGCTTACTCGCTCTCCCTCTCTCTCATGTCCCTGGCGGAGGGAAGCGAGATAGCAACACAGCTGGGCTGTTGTTGGTGGGATAACATAGGGAGTGAGAGAGACAAAAGTAGAGGAACAAAAAATTGATAAAATAGGTCATTAGGTGGAAAGAGGATAAGCCGAGGGCAAGAAATAACATTCGAACATAACTAGAGTTCGTGGCTCCTCTTTTTATACCCGATACTCAAAATGAGTATTGGGGTATATTAGATTTGGGGTAAAAGTGGATGTATGTAACGTCCAGAAGGAATCGTTTCCAACCCCATAGAGTATACATATATATTCTTGATCAGCATCAATAGCCGAGTCGATTGAGCCCTGTCTGTCTGTCCGTCCGTCCGTCTGTCCGTCCCTATTAGCGCCTAGTGCTCAAAGACTATAAGAGCTAGAGCAACGAAATTTTATATCCGGACTTCTGTGATATGTCACTGTTTCAAGAATATTTCAAAACTTTGCCCCGCCCACTTCCGCCTCTACAAAAGGCGAAATCTGTGGCATCCACAATTTCAAAGATACGAGAAAACAGAAAACGCAGAATCGTAGAGGATGACTATATCTTCTAGAGTGTAAAATCAGATCGTATAATTATTATAGCCAGAATCAAGAAAACAATTTCATTCTCTCTCGCTCTGTCCCTTTCTAACACACAGGTTTCATGGTCGGTTTTGCCAATTTCAAAATATGAGTTCAAGGATCTCAGAGACTATAAGAGCTAGAGCAACCTAATTTGGTACCCACACTCCAGTGATATAGGACCTTGACCGTTTTGTGTCTAAATTTCGCCACACCCCCTTCAGCCCCCGCAAAGAACGAAAATCTGGGGCGTATACAAATCTCAAAAACTATTAAGACTAGAGCCACCAAATTTGGTATCCGCACTCCTGTTAGATCTCACTATAAAACTTATATCTCAAAATTTCGCGTCCACAAATGAGGAAAATCTAAAAACGCACAGTGATAGAGAATGACCATATCTATCCGGTTGCTGAATCTGGATCAGATCGGATAATTTTTATAGCCAAAAGGAACAAATCTATTTGCAGTGACTATGCAGCGCCTGACGTCACGCTTAGACTGATTTTCCGTCTCTCTCGCACGCACTCTTTGTCGCGTCGTGCAATGTTAGCGCCGTCTGGTGAAGGAGAGCCATACTGACTAAGTATCGGGTATAAATGTAGAGTTTCGGTCTCTGCAGCAACTCACAACGTTCCCCCTCGTTTTTTTTTAAGTTTGATGCTTTCTCTTTCCTTTTGACGCCGACTGGTCGGAAAGGCAGGCTGCACGGATTATTGCTGTACGGTCAAGCTTTCAACCTTTTTTAATATAATTATCTCCATAATTAAGATACCATAATGTAATTTTACAGAGTTTTTGCGGAACGATTTACTTTGAAATTCTGCGCCGAAAATAATCAAAAACAATAGTTCTTAAAATGTAAATAAATCACTAATACAAAAATAGCGGTAATCGTTTCTATCAAAATTTGTTGTCAGAAAATATTCGAATTCCAATACCCGGTATAGGAAGATTTTCAAAACGATAAAGAAAAGAAAATTAGCTTTGCTTCTTTCAAGAAAAGTGCATGAATTATCTTCCACACATTTTCACACAAAATGTCTTTCGTATAATCACTGTGTTGACATACATTTATGCAGAAGATCAGATTTATATTATTGTTAAGTTTTACATAAACTTTTCAATTTGAAAAACTGCGCCAAGAGCTTCCGTTTATCGGAATCACCCTAGGACCTCAGATATTTAGCATTCAACTTGGCATTAAACGAGGTTAGTGACTAATGGGATTCTTTTTGATTTTTCATTAAAAAGATAGGCGAGGCTAAACGGCTGACTATACGATGTAGAAGCGGTGCTAAAAAGCTGTTAAGGGTTTATGGTTTACTCTTCTCCGATATCTTCTCCGTGGCCATTGGTGGTGGTCGGCCCAACGCCAACGCCCCCACATGCGCCTTCAATGTCTGACGACATGGTGCTGATGGTGCTACTGTTGCTGCTTCTGCAGGCATTTCGCGAAATTCCATTGGTCGGCGTCGTCGTTCCAGTTAATTGGAGGGACTTCATCAATTTTGTCGCTCCAACGTAAGTCTCTTCCTCGTCCGAAGAGGCGTCTGAGAGCTGGCGGGGCGACAGGCGGCAGCCGCGCTGGATATACTGCTGAAGCCTGTCCACGGAGGCCAGGATCAGGCCCAGGAAGGGTGGCGATGGCTTAAGGGGACGCGACAAGTACTCTGGATGGTATTGGGTGGCCACAAAATATGGATGGTCGCGCAGCTCAATGATCTCCATGCGTGTTTTGTCCACGTCGGTGGCCACAAACCGCATCCCGTGCTCCTCCAGCTGCGGCACATACTTGGGATTCACCTCGTACCGATGCCGGTGCCGCTCCTCAATGGACTTTGGGTTGCCATACAGCTGTCGGATGATGCTGGTGCAGCCCTCGGAAAAGACTGTCGTCCGCTTGCCCAGGCGCATGGTGCCGCCCAGCTGGCCGGTGTGATGCTCCGGCATGTCGATGACCAGGGCATTGCCCGTTTGTGGATCGATCTCCGTGGTGTTGGCGTCCTTCAGGCCAAGCTTGTTGCGCGCAAACTCAATCACGGCTGCCTGCAGGCCCAGGCAGATGCCCAGCATTGGCTTCTGGTTCTCCCGCGCCCACCTGCAAGCCCGTATCTTGCCCTCCATGCCACGCGATCCAAAGCCACCAGGCACCAGGATGCCGTCGCTATCGCACAGTCTCTGCCATTCCTTGTGGTACTTCGACGGCTCGCTCACCAGCGTCTCCTGCTCCAGCTGGCAAGACTCGATGAACACTAGCACCAGCTTGCGGTTGGCCGCCAGTGCAGCGTGCTGCAGGGCCTTCACCACAGAGGCGTACGAGTCCGCGAACTTGGTGTACTTGCCAACGATGGCGATGCTCACCTCACGCCGCACCGTCTCCGTGCGTCGGGCCAAATCTCGCCAGTGCTGCAGACACCTAAAACCAAAACGATAGAGGTTTAATTTGATATCGAATCCTGTCTGTGGAGCATCCCACTCCCTTGGTCTGCCCACTCCGACTCACTTGGTGCGCTTGCTCATGTCGATGTTCAGCTGGAGCCGCTCGTTGAGATACTCGATGACTCCATTCTGCTCCATCAGCAGCGGGACATGGTATATGGAGTTCAGATCATGGATGCAGATCACCTGATCTGGCCCCACGTGGCAGAAGTTGCTGATCTTCTCCTTGACCTCCAGTCCAATGGGTTTCTCCGATCGGCAGACAATCAGGTCGGGACTGAGGCCACAGCCGCGCAGCTCCCGCACCGAGCTCTGTGTGGGCTTCGTCTTGGGCTCTCCGGTGGCCTTTGGCAGCGGCACCAGCGACACATGGGCCACACAGAAGTTCTCGCGCTTCACGCGGAACTGGAACTGCCTGAAGGCCTCGACGAAGGGCATGCCCTCGATGTCCCCAATGGTTCCGCCCAGCTCTATGATGCAAACCTGCGGCTTGGAGGAGCCCTGCACAGGCGTCTGTGCTACGCGCTCCACCCACTCCTGTATGGCATCCGTGATGTGGGGCACAACTGAAGGGGATGGAGGATAGTGGGGGATCAGTTTTTTCAGCTTTACTCATCTCAGGCATTCATCCACTTACCCTGAACAGTTTTTCCAAGGTATTCCCCAGTGCGCTCCTTCTCGATGACCAGCTTGTAGATCTTGCCTGTGGTTATGTTGTTGTCCCGATGCAGTGTGATGTCCAGGAAGCGCTCATAGTTGCCCAAGTCGAGATCCACCTCGGCGCCATCATCTAAAACGTACACCTCACCTGGGGGAAGATATTTGAAAATGTTTGTGAAATGAGAATTAGCAAATGCCATCATTCATCGATCCGTGATCCGTGATCCGTAGACCATGCCGTTCCTCCCAAAGATCTCGAGCCATTTGTATGTTTACGGTTTGTAATGTTTACGGTTTATTTTCAAGGTATTTTTGAGCTTAGGCGTAAATGGCGCATCCCCAGGACGGCATCCCCCGGAGAGTGGCGCTCAACTAGAAGTCAATCAAGTAGCATGGCATATGGACAAATACGGTCTAGGACTATGTGCTTACGGCTACGCTACACTACGGGGAAGGGGAGGGATTTGTATGTACAGTCTTATGGCGGGCGTTCTTATAATGGGAATTTAAGGAGGTGCAGGAGGAGGAGGAGGAAAAGCTAAGGAGGAGAACCACTACTTTGACTCCTCGAGATCCTCCTTGTAGAGCTCCTTGAAGATGAGTTTTTGTATCTTGGTGCGTATGCGCAGCTTCTGGGCCGCCGTCAGTTGCTTCATGTACGGATGCAGGCTGAGCAAGTAGTGGTAGTCGTCGTCCTCTGGCACCAGGGGTGTATCCATCGTCGAGGAGCCATTGAAGTTGCTGTCCTCGGAGAGCCGGGGTCGCTTCAGCTTTAGTGCGGGTATCAGCCCATTGGCATAGGAGTGCTGGGTGAAGCTGAGGTGTTCGCCACTCGCCCCCCCGCCGCCGGAGGCGGTGGCAGTCGCAAAGTCATCGCTGCGCTCTTTGGCCGTGTGATGCCCGGCAGCGAGTGTGGCTAGCGGATGGTGGGCCTTGTTGTACAGCGGGGGCGGGGATACCGAACGCTTGGCGCCCAGTGGCCCCATATTGCTGGAGACCGAGGAGGCGGACGTGGACGTGGTCGTGGCCGGCGCCAGGACTGCGGCTGATCCGCACTGCGCCACTTGGGCCGAGGTTGTGGTCACCATCGGCGGCGGGGAGCAGTGGGCGGCCGGTGGATCCAATAGTGTCTGCACCAACGTCGCCTGGGACGGGGCAGGGTGCGGCTTCTTGCTCAGGTCCTGCGCCTCCTTCTCCAGCTCCATCAGCTGGGCGCGCAGCAATCCTGCCTTGAGCAGGGCCTGTTGGTGGGCCTCCTCCTGCGCCCTCAGGACTCCCGTGGCCAGCGGCGTGGTGCTCACTTGGTTTGTCTGATGGGCGGCCGGAGGCGTGGGCATGGCATCCTCTAGGGTGCCCTCACTGTCATCGCCGTCCGCCTCGCCATCCATTTCATCCTCGTCATAGTCCTCGTCGCTGTCCTGCAGTCGTCGTATGAGGCCGTTCGTCAGGTCTGGCTCCACCACAGTCTTCTCGCAGTCCTCGCTCTGCTGGTTGAAGTAGAAGGACTGATCCTGCTCGTTCTTGGGCAGGCGATGGCGCATGTGATCGGCTGGGGAGTGGAGTGGAGGACATGAACATGAACAGGGACATGGAAATGGATTGGCTGTTGGCATGACGATGACTCACTTAGGAAGAGTAGGGCGTAGTAGTGCAGCCACTTGGACTCGAAGGTGGCGGGATCCAGCAGGAAATCGCCGTTGTCGGCACGCGGTATTCGCTTGTACTCCACCCGGAAGTTGTCGCGCAGCCCCTTCCACTTGGCCTTGAGCACAATCTCTGGCAAATAGAGAGCAGAGCGACAGATAGAGATTTGTGTTGGGGTGCGCCCGGCTTTTTGTTCCTTCGAAGCGTTACTTACTCGGCAACTTGTGCGCTCCGCTCAGCTCGTCCCACATTTGCTCGAGGAACGCCTTGTTGCAGTGGAAATTGCGATTCCATATGGCCGGTCGCTCCTCGATATCGTGGATGAATTGCTCCACATTAAGCACAATTGTTGATTTTTTTGGCGCCATCTTGGCGCGTTCTCCGTCGAATGTCTCCCACTTCCACTCTCTCTTTCAATGCACTTTTTGTCTTTTGGTTTTTTTGGTTTTTTGTTCTATGTTTCTTGGTTTCACTTGTCTCCCGGCTAACGGTGAATACTAAATGCATGTTTATTACAATAGGCCACACACACACACACACACACGAGCACTACCACCATCAACAGCATCAAAGCAACAGCAAGAGCAACAACAACAGCTACGCTGAGAGCTCTCACTCTCTCCGCCCTCACACACATCACCTCTAGCACTGGCTCTCTCGGATGGCTATTGGGATGCGATCTGAGAGCTACGCGCCCACTCAGACCCACCATCAGTGCACCTCCACTCTACCAACTACCAACGCCTTGTCGGCAAGAAATTTGTCAAGATATTTCTGGATCCCTGACCTAAAGCATAGTCAGAAATGTTCCCAAACAGTAATGCTTTCCATAAAAAAAGATGATTACGGCCCTGTTTAGAATGGCAGAATGGTTTAGCCGGAAGCGGAGCTAACCTAAAGCACATTTTAAAATAAAGAACAAATGGTATTACTTTGCGAATATGCACATATGTACTCGCAGCTGGCATAGCAACGAAATATTCGTGGTAAATACCAGACACAGTTGCAACGTGCAGCAGTTGCAACGGTACAGTGCGTTTGTTTCTTCGAAGCTTTTGGAACAAACTTCGGATCCGATTTCGTCTATAGTGCTCCTCAAAGCCTTCTGTATGTTGACCGGGGAGGGCAAACGATGAGTGGCTAGACTTCGGGGACGACATTGTTGAAGGCGACTGGCATATCAAGAAGGACCGCCCGTAAGTTCCTGTCGCTGGGACTACTTAATAGAGTGTGCAGCTTACGAGGATTGACGTACACTTGCGGTGCCCTAGAGATGTTCCCAACTCTCGAAGGTTCCGAGTAGTTTGGGCGACAAGACTTTAGGTGTTATGTATGAGATTTGCATGCTATTTTCTTTCAGCCAGCCGCTTGGCATTTGTCCAAATGCCTAGCTTTTGCCTAGAATACTTTGAGGGCAGTTAATGGGAGTTTTTTCCAAGCGAACTGCATGGATACAACCGGTGTAATATAATCGGGTGCCGGTGAAGCCATTCACTGGGATACATTTGAACATACTCGTACGTTCTGTGAGGACAGAGGACACAACACAATGACTTCATTAAGATTCCTTCGTAGGCCTAGCCAAATCGAGCAGAGCGCGACCAGCGGCACCGACAGCGACAGGAAATGCTGCTCTGCTCTGCTCTGCTCTCCATTGCCATCCATCGCAAAAGCCAGGCAGAGAGCAAGCAAGCGAGCAAACGAAGGAGAGAAGCAGCAAAATCAAATTATAAACACGCCAGACCAGAGACAGCGACAGACGGAGACCGAGACCGAGACGACGACCAAGACCAGCCAACAGTTACTCTACTCCTCCCCATCCCCATCCCCGACCCCATCCCCATCTACATCCACATCTACAACCATCACTCCCTCCCGCCCCACCTCCCCCTCCCCCTCCTCACACTCCAGCACCATCACTCCACGGTGCGGCCAGCGTCAGCGTCTGGTCTGGCCTGTGCATTTGTGTGTGCTTGTGTAAGTGACTCAGGCGCAGGCGGCTTTCAGTCAGTCATGCAAAAATGTTTGCAGCCGCCGCCGTTGCCGTTTCCATTGCCTCGCCGTCGCCGTCACCGTGCACAGAGTGCGAAATACTAAAATGGCAGCAGCAGGGAGTGAAGAGTGGAGAGTGGAGAGTAGAGAGGAGAGGGGTTGATGGAGAGACTGAGACCGGGAATGGGAATGGGAATGGGACTGGGACCGTGAGGTGGCAGAGAGTGCGGTTGCGGAGGGCAGGCCAGGCCAGGCCAGGCGGCGGCGGCGGCGGCTGGCTGGCTATATGTATTCCAGCGAGCAAAAGCAATTTCTGGCGGCAGCTAGCTTTTGCTGCAGACGGAGGCCAGGCCAGGCCGGCCGTACAGACCAAGCCAGACAAATAATGCGTCACGTTGCGCAGTCGTTAAATTTTCGTTTTCGTCGTTGCCGTTGCTGTTGCCGTTGCCGTTTTTATGTGCAAAACTGCCGGCGACAGTGTGTGTTGGGTGAGGGCACGGGCAGGGGCCAAGCGTTGGGGGGGAATATGGCTAGAGGGGGCTTAAGAGCAGGCCCAGCTGCGGCTGTGGCTGCGGCTGCGGATGAGGTGCTTGAGCGTGTGCTTTTGTGCTGCTGGTAGCCAAGAATTTCGTAAGTTTGGCGGCCGCTGAGGAAAGTTGTGAAGCCTTGCACACACACACACACACACGCACACAAAAACACGCAAACTGAACCGAATTGAGGAGCTGCTGGGAAATGGAAATTGGCAGCGAATCGAACGAGCAACAGTGGAAACTCAAAAAGATGGCGATCACAACCTGAAACATTTTCATTGGATCTTTCTTTAGGGGATCTACTGTAGGAGGCCTCCCCTGTACCGTGCCGGAAGCCTTTCCGAAGAGTGCCACTGAGATAAGAACATCCTCAATTCTACGCGAACATTTATAGGTCAGATCTTGAACTGCACAAAGTATTGATCTGGCAGAGGCGCCAACAAATCCGTTAAACTTCTACAAGTGAATCTCCCCCCCCCCCCCCCTGCCATACCCACAATCAGCATCAGCAAAGTGCTCTGCCCCTACCCTCCCACTTCTTCCCCACGCCGTTCAAATTCAACTTAATCGCTGGCAACTGCCGCTGAAATTAGCCCAGGGGTAGAGAGAGGGCATAGGATAGGACCACGCTGATGGAAGGAGTTAGTTACCCCTCCCCCCTCTGCCCCATCAAAACTACTGCTCGGAAAGTTGCGGCTGTTTTTGTTGCTCTATGAAATCGATAAAACGCGCACACACACACATGAACACACACACACATACATACATACAAGTGTGTCCATACATGTGCGAAATTTGCGCGCGAGGAGCAGAAAGCAGCTAACGGTGATGTGCTGCGGTGTGGGTGGCTGGCCCAGTCGGCCCAGTCGGCCCAGGCGGCTGTGGGTGGGTAGGCGTGTGCGCGGGTTACCGTTAAAGTTTATAATAATCAAAAAGTTGATGCGCGGGCCACTGTCCGTTTGGCCCGTGTATTCGGCGCTATCCCGTTCGTCAGAGAGCGTGTGTGTGCCGGCCGATGAAAGCGAGAAACGACAGGAGGCGCCAACCGAAACCGACACCGACACCGACACCCAATTCGAACCAAAACGAACCACGAACCACTGCTGATTGCAGTCAGCTTACAACTGAAATTGAAAATTCAGCAGAGCAAAGTGCGAAGCGCCGCTGCCGCTGCCGTTGACGCGGCTGTTGCCGCTGCCACCGCCACTGCTGCCACGACAGGCTGCAGCCAGCCCAAGTCCAAGCCCCCCAAAAGCCAAGCGAGAGCCAACAAAACGTGCCAACTAGCGGCGGCAGCTGAAACGACGACAACGAAAAAAAAACAACAAAAAAAAACACACTCAAACGCAAAAACGCCAGCGAGGCCCAGGCCCATGCCGGGGCCAGGAGAGCCAAAGCCAAAGCCACGCCACAAGCTCTTGCCGGCGACACACGGACACACACAAAAACATGCTACATACCTACATACATATACATATAATGTACTATACATATAATGTAGCTGTGCATGTGTGTGGGGTTGGGTGGCCAAGGGGGCCGCCAGGCCAGCCAGCGCGCACAAACGCTAAAAACGGCCGCCGCCATCGTTGACTGCCAGCCAGCCATCGCCATCCAGCCTGCTTTGCTTTGCTTTGCTCTGCTCTGCTCGCTGCTGCTGTTGCTGCTGCTGCTGTTTCTGCTGCTTTTGGGCATATTATTGCGCGATGGCGACGTTTGCCGGCTATCCAGCACGCACACACACTGGGGCAGAGAGAGACCAGCTGTCTGTGTGAGGTGGAGCCGGTGGAGCAGCAGCAGCGGCAACAACAACAGCAACAACAAAAACAACAGCAGCAGCAGCAGTAGCAGCAGCAGCAACAACTGCGCCAACGACAATCAACGCGCGGAAGCGAGCGAAAAGCATAAACCATGAAGAGGTGGCAGGAGGTAGGTGGGGAGGCTCGTTAAAATCACGCGACAGGAGGAGGGAGAGGAGTCATGGGCAGACAGAGAGGCAGAGGCCAAGCAGAAGCAGAAGCAGAACCAGCAGCTAGGCCGCGGCAGGTGCGGGTGCCGGGTGGCGGGGGCGGTGCAACGCTGCTAAAGCGAATCGATGTGAATTTGGCTGTAGATGGCGCCTGCTCGTCCCACACGCCCCGACATGGACAAGTGAGACGGGGTTGGGGGTGGGGAGGGGGTAGTTCGGTAGGAGGTTGTAACATTACTGGAGGGTGGCTGGAATATATGTATGTGAGAGGCCAAGTCCAGGCTGTGATCCAAATTTCATTTCTTATGTAATTAAATAAAAGTTTAATGCTCAAGAAATTCAGTAACCTTATGTAAGCGTAACATAATTTTTCAAAATTCTATTTATATGTGCATAAATATCTACATATGGATTTATATCTATTTTGTAGTTTTGGCTAAGATTGATATCTACCGAATACGACAAAATATGTACGTGAAGATGGAACCTTTGGTTCCATATCCGCATATTGCCGCCATATTGAGATGTCCTGCGATCGAGAGTCTACTTATAAAGCTATCAAAACCAAATAACCAACGGCAATAACGGGTCACGAAGCGAAGTGATGGCTGAACTGTATCGCTTCAAAAGAAATTAATACAGATACAAATTTCGCGAAAGAGAACCATTTCTAATGAAACGCAGGATGGAAGCTTGTGAAGCCATAGAACACACGCACACACGGAAACATATCAGTGAGAGTACGGTAGGAGTGTATTTGTGCCTATGTTGACAGCTGTTGTGCGTGTAACAGGGGAATGGGAGGCAGAGGGACCCGGAGGAGCCACTCAACCTCAGACGCCAGCCAGCGCGTAGCAACGGGCCACATCCTGAAGAGTAGCAACGAAATGGTATTTTCCATTTAATTTTTGCACACACACGCACCCACACACATACGAAGTCGAAGCACACGCACAGGGCAGCGTCAAGAGAGGAGTGGAGTAAAGTGGAGTGGGAGCAGAAACAGGCGCAGGCAGAAGCTTTATTGTCGTCGCGAAACGTGAGCGTAACGAAAGCGCAAGCAGAAGAGCGAGCAACAACACAACTGCGAAAGCAACAAAGCAAATGCAGGCCAAAACGACGGGATGGGACAGTGGCAGGGGATAGGCGAGAGGCGGCAGTTAATGGCAGAGCGCAAAGAGCAACAGCTGCTAACGATGTTGACGCCGATGACGGCCCAACGAAACACACACAAACGCACACATTCACACAAAACCAGACGGTCAGACGGACGGAACGGATGGAAGAACGAAGCAGCACCACCAGCAGCAGCAGCAGCAACAGCAGACGGTTCGGTTGCGTTGCCTCTTTTATGGCTAAAAACGCTAATGTGATGGCGACCATGCTGCTGCGGGGGAGATGGGAATGACAGAGAGCAGAACACGCAAAAGCCTCAGCAGGAGCAGGCCAAAGAGGAAGAATTAGAGGCAGGAGAAGAAGCAGCGTCAACGACAGCGACAGATGATGGCCGAGGCACAAAAACACACAAGCCATGTAGAAGGCACCCTCGTGGAGGCACAACTCGCTCATAAAGATGGACGGCAGACGGAACGAAGCTCGGGGGCCAGCGGCCAATATGGCAACCCATGCCATTTCCATCTCCATTCTCATCACACCCACCCAGGCACACACACACACACACGCACCCACAGAACACACTGCAGAAATTAACGTAAAACAAATGAAGCACACGCGCACGCATGTGCCGCAGTTGGCGCTGACGCCTACGCCTACGCCTACGTCGACACCGCTCTCAAACTTCCTCTGGCCTCTCGCCCCACTCACACCACACCACACCCTCTGCACCCAACACCCAGCACACCTAACCGCACCAATACTTTCGCCGTACAGCAACAACAACAATAAAACAAATGAGCAGAGCTGCAGAGAATGCAATTCGACCCCCAAAAACGGAGAGAGCAAGCGAAAAATGCAAATGACAGGAAGCCGGCAGCCAGTAATCTGGTGTGGTGGCGTCGCAACGGGGTGAAGGGGAGCAGTGTGTCTCAATTTACAGGAAATTCTGTCCAAACATGCAAATAGACAAGGTAATACTTACCGAGTATATATAAGGGACCTAATAAAAGCTGATCAATTTGTATATCCTTAGACTTGATGTTTGAAATTGGTCAGATGTTTGTAGCGCACATAACTACAACATCTCCAACTTCGCAAAGAATTATTAGTGCTTACATACATATGTATATTCTTAATAAGTCGAGTCGATTTAGCGATGATCGTTAGTCCATCTCTTTCTATGTAAGCCAGCGGTCGGCTTTATGTGCATAAGTGCGCTGACCTCATTTACGTTTTGCTTGCAAAAAAAAATTCGTGCCGACCTCTGATGTAAGGTATTCTTTAAGTTCTAAAAATATCTTATATTATTGGACATAGTCTTATTTCGTGAATCGGCAGATTATTTGTAGAAATCATAGAATCCTTGTATTTTAAGGGCATGCAACTAAGACTTTCTCTAGCAACTTATCTAAATATTTAAATGTGAGTAAAACGTCAGTGCGGCTGTCACTCTCTTCAAACAAAAGTTTGTGTGGGGCACCCTATTATGCTGGTAAAGCAAGTAAGGCGAAGGGAAAAGGATATGCGGAAAATGTGTTCAACTTCAATGCATACAAAGGCTACTCTTTAAGTCCGTAGCCTAAAAGTGAAAAAACGACGAAATATCATTGAAAATGATTTTATTGCTCTTCAAAATATTATCCATGATAATGTATGCACGTTAGCATCCGCTAAAACCATTCACCAAAGCACATTTTTCAGTGTCAAATTATGCTGTATCTCACGAGCGAAATTCTTCTTGCCGGCCAACTGTTCATGCTATGCTGAATGTATCTGTGTCCCTTTAATGCCGAAAGATGCCTCTATCTCATGGTATTTTATATGACATAATTGCAATAGCCAATCCCGCACAGCACACATTTTTCCGGTGCAACAGGAGATTCGTTCTTTAGCGAAGGACGCAATACTTCTGAAATTGTTCTACCAGTTTTTCGCAGTGGCAATGCATGGTGCTTCATTACCAAAACTTGAACTAAACTTGATCGAAAATCGTAGAAAATCATGACACGAAAATTTGCATGTGTTGATTTCATTTTTATCCAAGAGGCATGCTTCGTTAATCGTTAAACTATATAAAACGTAGAATAAAAAGTGCTAAGCACGATGTGGTCAAGAAATGCCAAACTTATAAATGGAAGTGTCGATTTTGACCTCTTCATATTAAAAGCAGCCAAGTCTACGGAACTTTTGGAACAGCCCTCGTATGCACAATACAAAATTATGATCTTGCTCACTTTTGTATACATATGTACGTTGAGTTGTTGACACGTGTAGATGGGCCCTTAATTTCCAGGAGGTACCCATGTACATACGTATTCGCCCTCAACCACACACATGCGAACACACTCGAATTGGCACGTTGCATAGGCACATTTCAGTTGCGTTGCAGTTGTTGCTGCCGTGCCATTTGCTGTAGGAGCTTTCTTCTGTGAGTGTGTGTTTTGTGTGTCTGTTTAGAGTGCAGCAGAACCGCAGAGTTGTTAAGTTACCTGTAACCTCGCAGAAAATATAATTAACATTCAATTTAACAGATAGCACCCTCTCCTAGGACTGCATGAGAAAATACCAATTTATGAACTTTCGGTTTTTTTTTTGTTTCGTTTTATTTATTATCAAACAAATCGATGTGCCCGCGAGCGTACATATTTCGCCCGCCAATACTGCCAACCCCCCAGCACATTCCTTTAATCACACAACCTGCGTCAACAGTAAATACAAGCAACGAAAATAAGCAAGCAAACAAAGCAGAGAGGCTAAAACAGGAAAGGAAAGAGTAAAGAAAAACTTTCATTTTCAATGTCAAGTGCAAGAAAAAGAGAGCAACAACAGCAACGAAACGGCAAGCAGCCGGATGCCGGCTGAGGGCGACTTTTCGAAAGAGAGAGACATAAACAGAGAGTAAGCGCTTTAGATACATACATATGTATATAATTTTGTCGTCTTCCGCGTGCTTGCAAAAAGCCGCGACGCAGTTGTTTTACTATAAGTACTTACAGTTTGTATATTATGCATCTTGTTCCAACTTGTAATGTATACGATCAATCAAAATTGTTGCTTTCAGTCAGTGAAATCTTGATAAATACAAACAAAAATACTACAGCAAGACACTCCCACACACCACCATGTGGCGGCGGCGCTGGCAAAGTTGCAACAAGCCGAGCCGCGTGACCTTCGACAACAACAACAACAAAGAGAGAGGAGGCACCTTCTGCATATATGTATATACATGTATCGAAACACCCACACAGATGTCCTCAAATACAGATAAGATGTATTGAAAAATTGCCAAGAAAAATCTATGCACATACATACATACATATGTATGGATATTTTCCTGATACTGCACGATACTCTTAAGCAAATGTATATTTATATTTATGTATCTTCATTGTTACTGGGCCCCATTAACTCACCATGCTCGTAAGGAGAAAACGTTCCAGCATCTATATTGATGTAAGGATCAATTTTGATGGATGTCACATCAAGTTGGCACGACTTGAGCAGAGTTCCAAACGATGAAGCAATGACGCCCTTGCCCACACCGCTTATGACGCCGCCAGTGACCAGGATGTATTTCATATTTGCGCACGTTTACTTCTCAGATTCACAGATGTAGACAAATATACAATCTCTCCTGCACGTGGCGCGTTAGTTTTTTTTGTTTCACGGGTTTATCGAATTTTTACATTTTACATTACCATTCTACATGGTTCCTACACATTTGCTACATAATGGAAGGAAAAAGAGGGTGCGGACATCAGGCAAAACGGCCCAGAAAATGCAGCGCATGCAAGGCGAAGTCTACCCCAACTGCCAATGTACTTTGCCGATTTTGTCTGCAAGGCACACGCGAGATGAGGTTTCGAACGAACCTTGTAATTTGTCTTGACTGTTTTTGCCTGTTGTCCATAATCTTTTTTAAAGTCATTATTATATACGGTCTGACCCTCATAAATATATCGAAATATACAGTATATAGATGTGCCAGCTCATACCAAGAAAGCGTCACACGTCGATTTCTCAAAAGGAGGTCCCAGGGACTTCAGCTCTGGCTTTAGGGTACGGTACTAGCCAGCCAGCGCAGCGGCGCTTTAGATGTGTTAGTATATGAGTATGTAAACTTTTAATAGCAAGGTTTGATTATATGTTTTTCTTTCTTGATCGTCGTATTCGAATGAATGTGCGTTGTCCTCGACAAGTATCGATATATCGAGTACATTAATATTTCTTATAATACTATCGATGAGTAAATCTTAAACTAATATTCAAATCTTATAAACTAATATTCATATCTTACAAGTATGAGAATTTCGCATGGTTTTAGGTTTCTTGTTATGTGTGCCTCCAGCATATATATTTTAATGCATAGGTGCACGCCACCCACTCGATTGCTCAAGAGGTAGTTCCGAGCTAGTTACCAGTAGAAAGCCAGCAACTAGTTCCCCACTCGATTACCCGTAGCTAGCCCTGACCTAGTTACCAGTGAATAATACAAAAATAAAAATACAATGTCTTCCAATATAAACGTATAATATTAAATTGTATGTAGCTTAGACTAGTCCATTTCCATACATTTCTTTTTGAAAAACTTCTCTTCCATCCTCTGCATTGCTTTCCGTAAAATGCCTTCGGGGTTCTCCTCTCCAGGCGTAATACATTCTGTAATTATTTTTTTATTTTATAATTTGAACAATTTTAAACTCTAAAAGTGTAAATGGTATTTTACCTAGCAAAGCTGAAAAAAATTCCTTGTGGGACCTAAGTGCCTTCTTCCCTTGGACCCCATCGACATTATATGCCAGAACGATTTCCTCGCTCATAATAAAGCTTAAACTGCTTAAAACGCCAGTTGGCTGCAGAACTGATTTCATTGCTGTTATCTGTAAATAAACCATAAAATATAAAGATAAGACAGAGAAGGTCATATAATTTAGAGTACAGATTTACTTACATAAATGCTCCTATTTAATTTTATTTTTTCCTCCAATTCTATTAACTGCTCCTCAGATTTGATTGGGAAATGTTCCCGAATGGGATTCATTTCCCCTTTCTCCTTGACCAGCTGTTTGATCAAAACAGTTTGATCAGCCAAAATTTGGAGCACTTTTTTTAGTTGATCTACATAAAAACAATGTTGTTAATTAATTTGATTATATAAATACAAATATTTTTCTATTAATCTTTATAAGTCTTACCACGAATAGCTACATTCTCCAATTGCAGAGTTTCTAAAAGTATATAAATATTTAATTATTCCACTATTCATTGGAAACAAATATTTTTCTATTAATCTTTATAAGTCTTACCACGAATAGCTGCATTCTCCAATTGCAGAGTTTCTAAAAGTATATAAATATTTAATTATTCCACTATTCATTGCAAACAAAGTTTATATTTACCGGTTGTTTTTTTGAGCTCATCTAAAACGTCCGAGCATGTTTTACCTTCCTCATTTTCTGGAAAAATCGTATTAGCTTTTTTTTTATTATGAAATAAAATATACTTACCATTGCTTGGCATGGAAAAGCCCATAACTTTTTTTGGTGATACACATGCACGCTTTGGACTTTGCTTTATAAAGCACTGACTAAGTTCATCATTTAATGGCGATTTGTTTGGCTGAATCTCGGTATTTTCATAAGCTAATTCCTTCCCTTCTATCTGAATTCCTGTTTCACCCAATTCTTTTTCTTCCAATTTTCCTATCACTTTTCCTTCACTGCAAAGCGCTAACTTTTCAAGGTTAGCTTCCCTTTCCCTCTTTCGGAGTCTACGCAAATGCCTATTGCTTATCATTTTGTTTCAAATATATAATATGTATATCTGAACGTATTTCTTTATTAGTTTATTTATTAATTTGAAATTTGTACTTTTTTCTTTATAATACTTTATATTTTATACTTTATAATTGATATTAATCCGATTTAAACAAGAATAACTCTTCCAGCAAAAGATCACGAACAGGAGTGAACAAAAATCAACGCAAAAAGCAAACGCGCGGAGAATAAATACATTTAGTTTGTGTCTTGTCTCTTGCGTTCCACGAGCGCAAGTACAGTAAAATATCACGATTATATTACCATTTTGATGCATATTGCATGGCGTGGCATCGGTTGCAACTAATTGAGTGAGCACTGTATTGTTACTCTTGTTCGGGTTTTCTTCATAATTCCACGGGATAGGGGTTAGTTGTCGACTTCGAAAACAAAACGAAGGCGGCTTCGTTTTTCGGTTCTTTTTCGACTGGTCCGCGTTCGCTTCCCGCGTAGCTAGTTGCAGAACTAGTACATTGTAGTCGACGAAGACCTGGTCCGCGTTCGAATCCCGGGTAACTAGTTGCGCGGTAAACGGCGCGGAACTAGTTCGATAGGGGTAAATTGACCCCTTTGGTTCTACAGGGGTGTCTCATTGTTGCAGGGAACTTGTTCCGACGAAAAATCCCTCCACGAAGAGAGGATTTCCCACCACAAAATAGAGACAAAATCAAAAAAAAAAGAGAGCAAATCCCACCAAACTTGAGCGCCAAATTGAAATGGTTTGAAAGTGAATGAGCGACAAGGACTTAAATGTTGGTAAACGACCGACAGGCCGTTAGATTCAAATCACGGCAAGAACGATGTTGGGTGCCGAATAAATGTAAAAAATACCCATTGTAGCGTGCAAAGCATTTTATTGTTGGTTGATAGCCCACTTTGGGGTGTGTTGCGATAATCGTACGTATAAAATAATTAGAAAATGGATTATTCTGTAAATGTAAATGCATGTCAAGCATGGCATTGAAATCTCGCGACGCCGATTTACTTTGTGGCCTCCTGCTGCTCGAAGACTGGGTACTGCGCAACAACCTGCTCCCAGCTGGTACGTGCCGTGGCCAGGTCCTTGACAACACCGACCACCTGCTCCAGGCCCACGCGCACTTGCTTCATTGTGTTGCGGTCACGAAGAGTGACCGTGTGGGGTTCCTTCAGCGTATCAAAGTCCACGGTGATGCCGTAGGGTATGGCAATCTCGTCTGTGCGGGCATATCGCCGACCGATCGAGCCACTCGAGTCGTCCACCTTGTGCGACAGCTCGGCCTTGGTGAAGCTCGAGGAGAGCTTCTTTGTGTAGGGCTGGAATTCTGCATTGTTAGACAAGGGCAGGATCGAGCACTTGAGAGGGGCCACCAGCGGTGGCAGGGTGAAGTAGCAGCGCTGATCATCGCCTTCGCGGCACTGGAAGCTGTGCTCCAAAAGAGCATACATAATCCGACCGATACCGAAAGACGGCTCTACCACACTCGGGATGAACTCCTCCACGTGGACCGTTTTCGAAGAATGCTTCACGCTGATGGTATCTTTGGCCAGCTCGTGAGTGTTTCCATCGGCCAGGATCAGCTTGTACTGTCCGTTCGCGTTGAGCTCTTGCTCCGCCCTGCTGATCTCCTCCAATGACAACTTAGCCAGGGCCTCTGTTATTGTTTTGGCCTCCTTCTTAAAGGTCTTGCCCAGCGCTTGCTTGTTGGGGACGATCTCACTGACCTCCACCGTCTTGGGCGCCGGCAGACGCTTCTCGGCCACCAGCCGGACACCGGTGGCAGCTGTATGCTGGCCCAGGTCGTATGCACTCCTGTCCGCACAGCCCACACACTCCACCCAGCCGTATGAGGTGAGGATCTCGGCGTCCCAACAGTCGCAGGCATAGTGGGCCATCTCGTTGCTCATGTGCTGCCGGAAGCGCAGGCATTCCGGCTTGATGCCAATGGCCAGCAGGAACTGTTGGATGCGGGCCATGTAGTAGCCCAACGTCTCGTTGGCCACCAGCTTGGCGGAGACGGCTTCGCCAATGGCAAGCTGCGTAGCCGACTTGCCGTCCATTTGGTTGCAGGCCGAGTACAGAGTCATCTTCTCGTCCTTCACGTTGCCGAACTTGGGATGGTCCTTCTGTGTGGGATCACAGAAGTGCTCGATTTCCGCCATGGTAAATTCCCGCACACGTATCAAACCCGACCTGGGGGAGATTTCGTTGCGGAAGGAGTTGCCAATCTGGGCCACGGCGAAGGGCAGCTTGCCCTGGTTGAATTCCAGCAGGCGCTTGAAGTTCACAAAAATACCCTGGGCCGTCTCAGGACGGAGGAAGCCCTTCACCAGGCCAGTGGGTCCGATCTGGGTTGCAAACATCAGGTTGAACTCGATGGGTTCGGTCAGGTCGTTGCCAGTGAGGGGCGACTTAATGCTGTACTTGGCCAGAACATCGGCCAGCTCTTGCTTGTTGAGACCATCCAGCTTGATGATGATGTCCTCGCACTCTGCCTGCAGCGCTGGGGTGGCCTCCTTGGCCTTCGATAGCTTCTCCAGGGCCTGCTTGATGAGATGATCTAGTCGGAAGCATTCACCGGTCTTGACGTCCTTTACCATCAGATCAGCAAAGCGCTCCACATGCCCAGACGCTTTCAGAACTGGCTCCGGGGTGAGGATTGAGCAGTCAACCTCCAGCATCTGCTCTTCCAGGGCAAAGTACTGACGCCACAGTGACAAAATATTCGACTTGAGGGCACAGCCCATGGGTCCGAAGTCGTACTGGCCGGTGATGCCGCCGTATATGGCAAAGCTCTGGTCGTAGAAGAAGCGACGCTTCAGCAGATCTTCCATTTTGGCTCGGTCGAAGCTAACCACGCTGGGGGTCAGGGCCAGCTCTTTATCCTCGAGCAACTTCTTTCTCGCCTTCAGCTCCGCCACTGCCTTTTTGACGTCCAGCTCGGCGGCACCGGCTTCTTTGAGCGATCGCACCAGGTTTCCCTGCTCCTGCACCCGCTCACGCAGCGGCGCCAGTTGTGCTTCAATCTCTGGATTCGACATGATGAAATCTGCTGCCTTCGCTCGTAGTTTCACGCTGCGGTTCTGCTTCTTGGAGCCCCAAGTCTTTGGCTGGGTCGGAGAGGCGGCGGCGTGGGAGGAGGTTGTGCAGAAAAATAATTTCGCGTGTGCCCTGCTGGCAATGTGCTCGCTCCACGTAGCTTTGGTTAGCTGGTAAATAAGGCCTCTGGCGCTGCGCTGATAGAAGAGCGCTTTTAACAACTGCAATGACATAAAGACGAATTTACTTTTGCATCAATGGCACGCGAATTTACATAATAAACTTGAAAATGACTATTGAAATACCTTCACTTGCGGCTGCAATTTTTAACTTTTGTTTCTGTGGCGGCGGCAACACTGGCCTATGCGCACAGTGTTGCCATTTTAGCCTATGTGAGGCCACATACCCTGGGGGAAATGAATGTTATAGAATTGTGAATACGTTTGTCTTCCAAGGCTCAGTAGGTATCAGGATCGAGATAAATATATACAAGATACTAATAATACACAAGAATAAGTCAAAAACATGTCAATTTGAGAAAAGGTCTTAATAAATTGCGTTTGATCTACTTATAAAATTAAAGAAATAGGGTGTACAAAGGCCTATACACGCATCATGTCTTTAAATACCAGCAACATTGCGACTGATTTTTTGTTGAACTATTTTGTTCAAACCTTGTTTTAGCCAAAATACAATAAAAGCAAGGACTAAAAACTAACCAATTGTGTAGAAAATTTATTCATCTTTGTTCTAAAATTATGTGGGCATGGCTAAATATTCTATATAGCTGGTAATATTCGACGAAATATCAAAAACGAGGAATATGTATAACAGAACTTGACTTCGTCAGTATTTTTACGGTATATTTTTAAAATGAGATGGTATGTTTCGGTATATTCCTGATGGTCGGACGTGTTTTGTTTTAATTATGTTTTTCTTGCGCGTTTTTACGTATAATTTGCTCAATTTTTAATTTAGTTAAACAAAACTTTGATATTGCTGCGCGGAAAGTTGTAGCGCTTGCACGAATAGACCCTGGTATCAAACGAGGAGATACAGCATATGTGCATTAAAGTGAGTGAGAGGACGCCGCGTTGCAGTGACAGTGACGCTATGCTGCATTACTAAGGAGAAAGAGGAGCAGCCGCAGCAACAAAAGACGCAAGGTGTGCTTCCCACCTAGGTAAGTGCTTCTGTGATGCTTTGCGGCAGAAATTCTCATTTCTTTCTATTCCCTCGTCGGCAGGCAGGCTTTCCTCAAACGAACGCTGGCGAAAAACAACTACAAACTACAATCAAGGTCTTTTTAGCGTGAGTCTGAAGTTTTTTTATTACTGCTTGACCCGTTTCTTATTCATTACTTCATGCGTGGGCTTTGTTTTAATCGATCTATGTAAATTATGCATAATCTTTCATTTATTAGTCGTAAGAGTAGTTGTTCCGTTTCCATAGTGTGTGTGTCTGTGCGTGTCCCACTCTCTTGTTACACTATTTACAGTTTCAACAGAGAAGGCTCACTAATTAGAAACCAACCCCCACAGGGCTTGGCGTCTGAATGAAATAACGGAAGGGAAACAGAAAAAAATTTGAATGTGATCTGATCCCTTTGGGCGAGCAGCCACTGTATTGGCATTTTTGTCGAATTTCGCACGTTTGTTATTAAGTCATCGCCGGAATAGTGTAAAAAATAACTACTACATACATATGTGATGTGACTGGGACTGGTGATGGGAGAGGCTCATATATCATAGTCTTATTTTCGGCAATCTGTCGAGGCTACGCTTCATGGTTTACAGTGGTTGTGGTGCGTGATAAAACTGGCAAAGAGCAAACGAAACTTACGTCTGTACATACATCAAAAATGTCTAAACTAGTGCACGTCTCTAATACAAAAAGCTAACTCTGAACTAAAAAATACAACAAAATATGCAACAATATAAGAAACATAATAAACCAGGCCAAAAGGCGACTGATCAAAGACTGCTTATGTTCCTTTTAGGATCACAAAACACGCACCGCAACGCAACGCAAACCAACCAAAAGAAGCGCTCGCTGGCCTGGCGATGCAATTGAAACCGCCCAAGACAAGAAACATGGCCAGTCTTAAAGATGAGGAGCAGGCGGCGACCACAAGCAGCAACAACAACAACAACAACACAAATAACATAAACAATAACCACAGCAACAGCAACAGCAACAGCCAGAATGAGGATGAGTTGAAAGTGAAGCGGGAGTCTCTGGAGGCGCGTAAGCAGGCCCTGGAGCAGCGCCTCAGCGAGAAGAGTTGGCTGTTGCAGCAGATGCAGAAGCAGGAGTCGGCCATCATCAACGGCAACTACGAGCAGATGACCATCAACGAGTTCTTCTCCCAGCTGGCACAGCAGTACAAGCACGAGCAGCAGCTCCAGGCCCTGACCAAGGAGAGCAGCTCAATCCTGAGGCGCAAGCAGAGCACCACCAGTCGGGAGAGTCGCGAGAGCCAGCAGACCAGCAGCAACAGCATCAACAACATCAACAACAATCGCCAGTCGGAGACGATGTCAAATCGCAGCTCCGAGTACGACAACTATCAGCCAGCTGGGGGCGTGGGTGACATGCTGGTGATAGGCGTGGCACAGCAGCAGGCCCAGCAGCAGCATCCGATGGTGAAGAGCGCCCTCAAGAAGCGGCCTACGCCAACGCCAAGCCAAATGCAGTACATGAGGCAACAGCAGTCCCATCACCTGATGATGCCGTATCAGAGATCCCAGCCGGATGTTATATCCATGTACTCGGCCAACTCCTCGAACGTGGCCACGCTGAGGCAGCCGCCGCAGGTGTCGCCGCAGCAGCAGCCCATCATAGTGCAGTGCGACAAGTACTACTTGTCGCCCACGCATCAGATCTACAATGACTGTGGCTTCATTAAGTCCAGTCAGAATATCAAGAAGTACGTGTCCCCGCTGGCGTCGCCAGGCAACCACAGCTACGAGCAGCAGGCGCAGCATGCGCAGCACAAGCATCCACAGCACCGTCAGCTAGATGCTATCTCCCTGGCCCCCAGCTATGCATCGGTGGACATGGATGCGCAACAGCAGCAGCAGCAGCAGCAGCAACAGTATCGCTGGCGTTCCCAGTCCCATATCGCCCCTTTGACGCCTCCACAGCTAGGGATCATTGAGGTGAAGTCGCATTCTAGCGACATGCTAGCAGCTCCTTTGCCAAGTCGCTATCCGCCGCACGATGAGATCTCGCTGTCGTCCTCCTCGACCACCATCGAAAAGAAGGCCAAGTCGAAACAGTGGCTGGAGTCCTCTCTGGATGGACCCGCTGTGATTCGCCAGCTAGACTCTCAGCCACACAGTCCAGCCGGGAGCAGCAGTAATGGGAGCTGCAGTCAGGCAGCGGCAGCCACCAAACCACGGGCCAAGCTCTCCTCCCAGTCCATGTCGGTATCAGGGGCCGGTGTGGGTCGTCACTATTCCATGTCTAATCAGCGGCCAGTGCAAAACTACCCGAGTGCCAGCTATGCGGTGACCACCAGCTCAAAGGCGCTGCTCAGTCAGTCCACATCGTATCTGAATGCCATGGAACAGACGATGGGCATATCGGTTTCGTATCCCCTGGAACCCCTGGAGATACCGCCATTCCGCCAGCTACCCCCCAAACCCAATCAGATGCAGCCAACACCGCCTCCCAGGCCGCCGCCAGTTCAGCAGAGTCACAACAATGGAGGTGGGACTGGGAGTGCGAGTGGGATTGGAAGTGCTATACAGACAGCGCTGGTGTCCCCTCCGTTGGCCGTTGCTACGGCCAGTCTGTCGCCGGATATACGTATAGAGTCGCCAAAGAACATGACCGTGGTGCAGCAGGCCACTTTTCAGCCCTACAAGGAGGTGACAAAACCCTTCGAGATGTCCGACTTCTACAAGTATTCCACCAAATTCAAACAGAAGGAGGTCGGAAGACCCGAATGACCTACAAGGATAGTCGGAATCTATGGAATAGCCGCAATTTTGACCCTTTTCATGTGATTAACAAAACAAACAAATTTGTAGACGAAACTACAAAGCAAAAACCGCACAAGAGCTCAACAAAAATACAATTTGTTGCACCCCGTTGTTCAAAAATAATATTTATGCAACTATTTAGGACTAGCTGAAAATTTACATTACATTTAATGAATGCTCATTGAAATTCGCCAAATTTACCATTGACATATCTAAAGCTTTTTTTTTTATACATTTAGAAGATATATACAAAAAACCAGGACAATATTATCCCCAAGGGGAACAGACATTTGCCTTAACGCTGTTGTTGCCTTGAAAACATAGCATTTACAAAAGCCTAACCATAAAGGAAAGATATTCCGATTAGCCATTGTTAAAGAGTGTATCGCATCAGATACTCGCGCACATACACTAATCTGAAGATATTTTTTATATGAATATACAAATATATTTATATGGATGAGCTTGTTTAAGACTAATCCGACTAATGACACGCAATTAAGAAATATAAATAAATCTTTTATATTAAAACTAAAGAAAAATTGTATTGCCTGTTATATGATATATAATCTTAAAATATGATATATTGTACTATATTTGCATATGCATTAGAGCCCTGCATGAACAGGCAACCGAATCGATTCGATGTTCGCTCTGTTAGAATTGGCGTCTCAGCTTTCTCATTGCATTAAAACGCTCGCCCTAAACGGACTGAACGAAGCAGATATCGTAATCATACAAGATACTTGAAGAGCATAGGGGTATATTAGATTTGTGGGGAACATCAACTGTTTTTAACTTATAGAAGGAAGCGTATTCCGTATATATGTATATCCTTGATCGGCAACAACAGGTTTGTTATAATAATGGTACATATCTGTTGATAATATCCTCGAGTTGTTATACATTGTACTGGAGTTACTTTTGGCTTGCTTCCGCATAGGGAATAGGGATGATCTTTGGTCATCCCTTAAGAATAATCTTTGCCACATTCTCAGTTTCTTGGCCTACCAATGCCGTTCTCAAAGATCGACTCACACTTAAGTATCTGATTCCTTATCGATTGTTTCCATGGATCCCAAACCTCTGCTTGAAACCTATTTTTAGAACAGGCGATAAAACTTGTCTCATTTTCTCTTTCTACCACATCTCTTTCCTCGTCTCTAAATGTACTGCGGTGGTTCTTCCTCTTGCCCTGTGACTCTCTTTAGTAGAAGTTCTCTTTCGAATCTCAGCAGCCCATAGTTCTCCGCAAAGTGTTCTGCTTTTGTTTACGATTGATTATTTTTAAACAATTTCATGGTGCGCTTCAGTGAGCTGCACCGCCCCAGAGCTCTCTCCCACAAGAACCAAAAATAAAAGAGTCTTTTTTGGTGGATCGGCTCGTCAGTTGCATTGGACCCGCGAGCGATTACGTGCAACTGTGCTGATCGGGTGCACTGTCCTCTTTTCAATTCCGGTCTCCGGAATTTGTGAATTACTTCACTCAGAACCAGGAAATGTTTGTCTAATTTAAAGGAAACCAAATACCGTAGCTAGTCCCCCTAAGTGTGTTGTGTTTTAGTTTAAACGAATCAAACCTGAAATAATTTGAATTTTTACGTAAAAATTTGTACAACATAACCTGCAACATAGTTAGTGTACGTGTGCCCCCGAGTCCCCGTGTAGTGTGTTTAGAAGTAAATCAAACAGAAATTAATCCGAAGAAAGCAGAGCCAACGAAACGATCAACAACAAAATGCATCACACTCGTCACACATCCTAGAGGGAAGCGAAATATGCCTAACTGACAGTCGCAAGTGTCAACCCAGACCCAATAAGAGCGGAGCGGCCAAGTGTGCCCATGTGGGCCCGGGAACACGAGGAATAGGCTGTCAAATATTTGGTTCAAGGCAGATCGCAATGAATCTATATACTCTTTATGACTGGGTAAGACCACACATGTCCGTATTGTGCAAGTATGGAAAGCCTTTGAGTACGGGCATGACCCCGATGAAGACCCAAACGCATCCATCATTCTCGCTGCCGAATGGGTTCCACTTCACATTACATACAGTCCACAAGCACAAGAACAAGAACAAGCACGAGCACGAGCACAGCGTGGTGGCGTCTTGGTCCGTCTGTTTACAGAAGAGATCGAAACTGAATGCGCCTTTGAACTTTCGAACAGGCGTACAGGGGGTCACATAGGCTTTTATAACGGAAGAAAATTACTAATTTCTAAAATACAATAATGGGTTAAGTATGGAAAGCCTACAGTACGGTCTGAAATAATATACAACCATCCTCCGGGTTCGTAAATTTATACGAAAGACATCGAAAGTGTAAATGAAAGCACAAACGACATCTATAGCCCATGCCCACTTTTGACATCGATATCTAATCTCTCAACGTGTATTCATAATTTGCTGTTGTTTTGGTTTATTTGGGTGAAGTGATGCGAAAATAAATTTTCCTATTTCCTATTGTATAAATAAAAACTTTAAGCATAAATGTATATTTATCTGCTATGTTTAATTCATTTTTGAAATGGCAAGCTCATTAGCAACCGGTTTTAAATCACAAGAATCCTACGATTAGCGAAAATTGGAGCACGCTCTTTTGTGATTTGACAGTTAATTCGCATCTTCGTATTCTCGATAGCCGTATATATGTATATTGTTTCTAAAATACAATTTTATTTTTTTAAATTAAAATGAAAAAAAAGTGTGCATGTATTGGAAGCTTGTCCACCCTGTATAAATCAAAAAAAGTAGAAATTATAAAAAATATTCAGTTTAAAACAATAAACAATAATAATAATAAATCATATTTACATTTTCTGAGTTTGAATTAGACTCCGAATCGGCGGATATCGAATCGAAGCTCTGAATCGAAATTTGTTTTATTTTTACCAAATGTAAAGACTATTTGTAATAGAATAATGGATCGGATACACAAGAGCTTTACAAAAATCCTTCATCGTGTGTTATACATATAAACCAGTGATCAGATCGGCACGCACGCAGGCCAAACGGATCATTGTTTAGGGCCAACCAATGTTATACACGTGAGCGGCAGCGCACTTTCCTATTCACATAAGATAGGGCCTTGCCGACCCCTGATATAACCCTGTAGTACTGGTGGTGGCGATTGGCCAAGCCCGAACTACCTAACATACTCTATGAACTGTAGGAACTCTATGGTAAGCGAATACCGAACCATCCACGGTACCCACCGCGTACCACCCAGCCAGCAAGTTTGATGGGTACCCATGTCGTCAACCACCAGAGGAGTACCCAGATCACTAGTTCTCGGTAAACTATGAGGTGTCCCCATGGTCCCACGTCCTAGGTTATTGCGGGCAAAAATGGAAATGGTGAAAAACTTTGCTTAGGGTTTGTCCGGGAAGTCCTGGTGGTCCTCCGAAACCAGTGATCGGATCGGCACGAACATTCACATGTTTTGCGATGCGTTTGTTTGCGTAGACAGCAGGCAGCACGGAAAGTTGTATTGGTGCCAGCCACTGTTATACACGTGTACGTGAGCGGCGGCGCACGTTCCTATGCACATAAGATGGCGCCTTGCCGATCGCTAACGCTCGTTGCATGCATTTGTATTGTATTTTCTTGTAACTTTCGCTCACGTGGACATTTTCGGCAATATACAACACTGCATACGTTTGCTAAACGACATGGTGCCTAAAAACAGTTGGAAAATGTTCATCTTTATGGATCCACCACGGTCGATGTAGTTCCGTTCTATCGTTATCAGTTGCATAGGTATTATATTATTCGCATTATCAACTCCACGCCATCTACATGATGGCAACAAATGTTGCCCAAAAACACGACAAATGCCAGCGCCTATACTCCACATATAAATGTTGTTTATAAATAAAAAATGGGAGCGCGCCTACGGTGCACGGAACCGCTTGGAACCGTGTTGCAAAAATGGTCTCTCTCTCTCTCTCTGTCGCTGTTGCTCTCTCTGGGGCCTCGCCTCTCTTTTATAGTTTTTTTCCTTTTGATTTCTTACGGATTGACTGACGAATTTCAATTGAATGCCTCTTCGGGCAGAGCGCACGGCGGCGCTTTATTTATAAAAGAACTTGCACTGCAGGCGGTCGCGACGTTTCCGTCGCTTCTCCGAGAAAAAGATAAAAGTGCGGTGCCAGTGCCAGTGGCAGTACCAGTGCCAGTGCCAGTGTAGAGTTGTAAAAATACTATATGTAAAAATGAGTATGAATATATTTTCATAGCGAACTTTTGCACAATGTGACACATAAGAGCATTGCAATGGTGCATGGACTTTTTGAAGTGATTGTAAATTGTATTTAATTGAGATAACTTCATCATTGAATCGAATTGAATGAGAGGCGAACATCAAAATGGGCAAACTGCATGTGAGTGTTTGTGGATAAGTGATCTTTAGCATCTGTGGGTCGTCTCCGGTCGCCTCCAATGCACACGAAACCCCCTATATTAGGGCCACCTACAGTGCTGGCAGAGTGTGGAAATGTTGATGATTTAATTATTAATAAATGAAAAGCCGAAATTCGAATACTATTGCCAGATATTCCCAATGATTAGTTTCCTGTTTTGCAGTTTCTTATCTAGAATTTATATAATTTCTTCCTTGGGGTTCCTTGCCTGAATAATGCCTCTTCTCCTTTCCCGAACCTCCGAAACCCTATTTCATTGTCACCTTTACGCGTCGCGAATCGTTAATTTAATCATTATTTGCGTAATATGCGTGCCAATATAGAATGTCCATAAAAAATATCTTACAGAAAAATCAAAGCAAGAAGCACCATTAGCAGGAAAGTTGGGCTAGGTCCTCATTCGCCTCAATAAAGGGTGTGTGTTGTTATTTGTTGGCAAAGTGCAAAATGCTCAGACGCTCCTCCACCTGGATCCTGAAGCCTGAAGTCTGAAGCCTGGAATGTGTGTCACACCCAAACAACAGCCCAAAAAGAAGGACCAAACTATAGCAACAAATTGAAATTTGCGAGCAGGAAAGCGAGAGTTTTTCCCTGTCGCACGGCGAACCCGTTGCCATGACTATAAGGGCACATTGTTATCCTGATGTGCGTTATGGTGGGATAGAAGTTTTGGGCTGGAACTTCCTGCCTGGCTTGTCTTTGTTCCGACAAGTTCAAGGACGTTCAAATTGGTTTGTTTTGTGGGTTAGCAGATACTCCCAAGTCCCAAAAGTTTGTCAAGCGTTACGCTCTGACCCACATAGCGTATGCGTAATATTGAAAATATTGCTTCAAATGCATTTGCATTGCCTTGGTGCATGCCCCATTGATACATATACATGTGTGTATATTGTACATAGATACGGGTATTCTAAACAAACGATCTCATAAGATATCCAGCTGTAAAATGTAATTGGAAAACGCCTAAATGTTTCCACACACCATTCGAGAACGGATGCCAACCCATGTGTGGCACACGTTTCGAACAAACACCTTCCCTGCCCCTGCCGCCATAGATCACTCAAGTGGACAGATTCTTATTTTTTAATTAAGTATTGCGGGCAGGTCTAAATATAACTAATTCAACCATATGCAACTTCTCGCAGGGAGCTGCTCTATTGCAACTCTATTACCAAACATAAAAATGTTTCGAATGTTTCTAATTATAATATTAAGGGAGATAGATCCCAGAAGCAGAGCAGATCAGAGCAGAGCAGAGCACAGCTGCAATCCATCAAACCAAAAGATGCGTGGGCAGCCTCCACCTCCACCTCCATGGCTGGCTGATACACACTTGAGATACGGGTCAAGTGGAGATTGGCAGGGGCTCGAGATCGTTGTATCGTCTGTATATCATATTCCCAATGTTTGCCCACATATTTTGCCGAGTAGATGCGGTTGGCTAGTGCCATTCACCCAAGTTTAGTGTGCCACAGACACAGACGTGATGGCAGACCCCGAAACCGACAAAAATCCTGACAATGCGTCTCGGACGTCGACAACTGGGTGACATCATTAAGTGGAATTAAAATCAAGAAAAAATGAACATGAAATAGATGGCAACAGAAGCGTGCTTGCCTCAAACTTGTGGCACGCTCTATGCCAGCACAAAGCCATTTGTTATTTTTCTATTTTTCATTAGCCAAGACAATAATACGGGGAATAGCTTCTGGTTCTATAAACTGAAAAGGCTGTGCACTTGTCCCGGTCAACGCCATCTAGTCTTCCAGGTGTACACACATACTAGAGTCCTGTCTGAATCCACAGTATTCAGAAAATCACAGCACAATCCTCATGCCTCTTAATTTCTTTCGATCATTACGAACCCTGCCTTCAGTCAGATTCGGATCGGAAAACGGCCGCACCCAGACAAATATATGTTTTCAAGCAGAGTGCAAAGCAGAAAACCAACGAGAGTGAGCGCGAAAGAATAACCGAAATTTTCGGATCAAACACAGTAAATACGAGGGGGAACGTTGTGAGTTGCTGCGTACACCGCAACTCTACAGTTATACCCGATACTAAGTCAGTATGGCTCTCCTCCGGCAGACGCCGCTTATATTGAACGACACGACAAAGAGTGTGTGCGAGAGAGACAGAAAATCAGTCTGAGCGTGACGTCGGGCGCTGCGTAGCCAGTGCAAATTGATTTCTTCCTTTTGGCTACAAACCTTTTTTAGCAACCGGATAGATATGGTCATTATCTATGATTCAGCGTTTTTAGTTTTCTCGTATCGTCAATATTGTGGATGCAACAGATTTTCGTCATTTGTGGGGGCGGAAGGGGATGGGGCGAAGTTTTGAAATATTTTTGTAGCAGTGACATATCACAGAAGTCTGGATCCAAAACATCGTTGCTCTAGCTCTTATAGTCTTTGAGCACTAGGCGCTAATAGGGACGGACAGACGGACAGATGGATGGACGGACGGACAGACGGACATACAGACATGGCTCAATCGACTCGGCTATTGATGCTGATCAAGAATATATATACTTTATGGGGTCGGAAACGATTCCTTCTGGACGTTACACACATCCATTTTCACCACAAATCTAATATACCCCAATACTCATTTTGAGTATCGGGTATAATTACGATATCTTCTTCGTGCAGTCCGTTTCTAACTGAATACCGAATCGATTCGATGTATACTATATGTAGAAATAATCGAAACCATTAATTTAGTCTTAAATGAAGACGGATAAGTCAGCCAGCTCATACTTATAGCTGGCTGGCATAGAAACGATCGATCCGCAAGGGTATTTCGAGAATCGACCCCCAAAGCGCAGCCTTCCTTACTTTTCAGTTTCCATGACTAAATTTTCATGATGATTACAGATCACATCATTGCTCCGCACGCACAGCGGCAGCGTCAGCTACAAGGCAATCGAGGCAGCCGAAGAGTTGCCAGCCACATCTCCAGCAACATCCCCAGCAACATCTGGGGCAACATCACGCGTGACTGGAAAGCAGCAGCCACAAAAGCGAGGCGAAGCATCCACAAATGTGGAAGTTGAGTTCATACCCACGCTAAATTTTCTGTTCGCGAAGCAACCAAAGAGGCCGGCGGCCGACGAGGCCCAATCGCAATCCATAGAGGAATTGCAACATGCTGCCAGCGAGGCTGATAACGAGGCTGATAACGATAACGACTCCACGCACACATACATAATCTCGAGGAGCAGCTTGACGCCGGCCCTTAGCAGCTCTAGCAGCTCCAGCAGCACCCCATACGCCGTTACATCCACGGACACTGCGGAACTATTGAGGCGGCAGAACAATCTCAGTCTCACGGAGGAAGATCAGACCGTATCCACGTTTAGTATTGAGCCGCCCACCAGTTCCATGACAATTGAGATGGCCGAGCAACAGACAACGACAACTACAACGACAGCCACAGCCACAGCCACAGCCACAGCAACAAGTAGTGCAGAGGTGGCAGGTACAACAACGACGACTACCACAAGCAGCAGCATTGAGGAGGACATCGAGGAGGCCATCGAGATCAGTGAGGTGGAGGAGCAACTCAGCTCCCACGTCGAATCCCTGTCAGAGGCGGCTGCGTACGGCAGGCCCAAGAAGCAGGAGCAACCAAGTGCCAAAAGTTTGAGCAGCAACAATGATGATGACGAGGAGGATGCGGAAGAGTTTCGCATAGATGATTCCCAGCTCTCGGGGGGAAAGTTGGCTCAGCATTTCCTTACGCTGGACGATGAGAGCGAAGCAGACGATGGTTCCAAGGTTGAGGTTAGTCCATCCTCCTCCAATGATGATGATTTCGATATAAGTCTGCCGATGGAGCAGCCGAAACTAGTGCACTCCCGCCATGAAGACGAAGATGAAGAGGAACAAGAAGTCGTGGATGAGAGCCTGAGCAACCAAAGCACCACTGATGATGTCTCAGAACTAGCCGAGGAGCCGGTCCTGGCCAGAGACGAGGAGAGAACTGAGGCCAGCCTGAGTGTAAGTGCTGCACCAGAGACACAGGTGGAAGAGGAGGCCCAGCTAACCGAGGAGCAGGATCATTCAATGGAGGAAATCGTGGCCACCAACGAGTCCATCGAGGTGACCTACGAAGCCGAGGAGACGGCCAACACATCACAGAAACTGGATCAGATAACAGATTTAGATGAGGAGCACGAGCAGGAGCACGAGCACGAGCAGGAGCACGAGCACGAGCACGAGCAGGAGCACGAGCACGAGCACGAGCAGGAAGCGTCAGAGCTGCAGGACGAGATGGAACGGGATGCGGTCAGAGCCACATCCAAAGTGGAAACGCTCATGCTGCCCATGCTCCAGGAGTCTCGGGTTATTGAGAACAAAGCAGCCAAAGCCTTGACCACGATGTACCTTCAACCAGAGCCACTCGAGCTGACCATGCTGAAAGTGGACTGCGAGGATGATGATGATGACGATGATGAGGAAAGTTCCCTGCAGCTGATGAAACTGCGCTTGATGGCCATGAATCAGCAGATCCTCAGCGACAATGGAGTTAAGCTCTCACCCACAGCGGAAGCGGATGGACAAACAAATAGCAGCGCCAGCAGCAATGCGGAGCTCAAGCAAATGGAGCGCGTGCCCCTGTCAGAGTTCAGCAAAGATGTGCTTGAGGACATAACCGAGGAGAGCGAACGACTGCTCTCCCTCAGTACCACCATCGAGGAGGAGCAGGAGCAGGACCCACCATCCCTATCCGTATCCCTCGACGAGTCAAAAACACTGCTGCAGCAGGCGGCCAAGGCATCGCAAGGCAGCCATTCCAGCTTGGTGAGCTTGAACATGCTCAGGCAGCTGGAGGCCAAGGTCCAGGAGCTGCACACCCAGCTCGAGACGAAGGACAACTGCCTGGCCTCGCTGAACCTGCAGCTGGAGGCGGTTCGCCGGGAAAGCAGTGCGGGGCCAGCCTCGGCCCGGGACTCCAGCTCGCTGATGACCAACTCCACGGAGTACCGAACACTGCAGGAGGATTTTGGTGGCCCGGTAAGCGATCCTTTCAAATTAATAGACCTATACTTATAAAGCTATCCCGTAATTCCCACAGACGCTGGACATGTATCTGGAGGTGTCCCGCAGAGACGAGATGATTGCCAAGCTGACCGAATCCCTGCAGCACTCGATGAACGTTCGCGGAGAGCTCCAGGCGGACACAGATCGTCTGGGAGGCGAGGTGCAGAATCTGCGCCGGCAGCTTCACGAGGCCATTGATGCAGTGAAGCGCTCGAGTGTCGTGTGGCAAGATCAGGAGTGCAATCCCGGCCAGCGCATTTCGGAGATATCCATGGATCTGATCAGCGAGAGCGACGATGACCTAGATCGTCACTTTCTTACCGACAACGAGGAGCGAGGATCTCGCAGCTCGAAGGAGCGACAGCTTCCACTTCAAACTCAGCCCATCGATGACCTTGGCATCCAGCCCCTTCTGCCTGAGTGGACGCCGGCGTTCACCAAGCAGATCGAGCAATTCCAGACCTACCTCCTGCCGCAAGAGCAGCGGCTCTTCCTAATGGTCCAGCGCAAATTCGACGACTACCTCGGCCAGCAGTTGGCTCTAGTCCGCGAGCAGTGCTCTCAGGAGTTGAAGATTGCCCGCGATCAGTGGGAGAGCGAGAAGCAGAGAAATCAGCAGTCCCAGCAGGCCACACACGCAAAGGAGGTGGAGGAGCTGCGCAAGTACTTCGAGCACAAGTGTGCCGACCTCGAGAAACAGTTCTCCGACGATGTCTTCTCACACAAATCCCAACACCTGGCTGGCGACAGCTCTTCGGAGTGCTCCGAGGTGGATCAATTGCCAGAGGAGGTCGTGGCCTCCTCCGCGGCCGTGGCTGCCTCCTCCAAGGAGACGTCGCCGCGCAAGCGCAAACGGGCCGAGCTCTTGCTGAGTCCCAGTCACAGGCAAATGACTCCATGCGGACTGGATTCCCTGGGCGAGTCCACGAGTCCAGGAAAGCCTAACAAGGAGGTAAGTGGCTACCATTCTATCCGATTACATTTTCAAACCCCAAGATGATGCATCTACTCTTAGAGTCTAGACCTGGACGCTTGGTATTTCAATATTGAATAACTCTGATAGCCGAAGGCTTTCCCAACACCCACACAGCTTCTCCTGTTGTTGAAAATACTCGCTTAATTTCGTCAGATATCTTTCATCCGACAGTTTCTCCCATTTTAAAGAAAACGGATCCAATGATGATTTTCTCGTCTTTCAATAGTGCTTCTCCGCCCCGCCAGAGAGGATCACATTTAATATTTCCCCTAAAATCGAATCGATCCTTGCGATGGTTCGTATTTCCACATTGTAACCGACGTGGCTTAACAATCGCAGAATCGTGCAAATGTATCGAAGTACCGGAGGTCTGAATTGGAGACCTGCATGAATCCACAGTATTAAGAAAAACACAGCTATACTCAAGCCCCTTTAATGCTTTCGATCATTATGAATCCTTCTTTGAGTCAGATTCGGCTCACTGCGAATCACTAAAAGCCGAGTGCAACGCAAAGCAAAAAACCAGCAAGTTATTGTGTTGTCTGCTCATTCTCTCTACCAGAAAATCAAATTCAGAGTGAGCGCGAAAAAAACCCGAAATTTTCGGATCTGGCACAGTAAACATGACGATACTTGCTTCGTTCCTGCCCGAAGAAAGCGAATTTCGAATCGATTCGGTTGCGTGTCTTGCCTGAATGCCGTCCCTGTATTTATCCATGTATTTATCAAACGTACATTAGAAAGCAACGATTTTCCGTTTTTTAAAAGGGAGCATACAATTATCAATAGCAATACTTGTTGATTGGTGCAGACATATTTACGATTTGAATAAGCTTTATCTAGAATCTTTAAGAGATTTCCCCAACTATTGTTCCTGTTACAGCAGCACTCTCAGGACATAGCCGAGCTGAAGATCTTCTACCAGACGCACATGCAGGAGATGAAGCGCGCCCACGAACAGCAGGTTCGAAAGCTGAGCGATCGCATTAAGTTTTACGAGCGCCGGCAAGGAGACGATGACTACAAGGTAATGATCCTCTTTCACACAGAAGTATTCAAGCAGTATTCAAGCAGTGTATTCGCTCTAATCCTGATTTTTGACTAACTCCGCTAACTGCATGTCCATTCTTGTCGTTTCTCTGTCGTTTATAATCCAATAAAACAAACCACTAAACACCACACCTACTGTAACTACCTGCATCCACACGACCCACCGTGGAAACAACAACAACTAACCCGACCCGCCGATGCGCAGCCTGCCCCCGAATCTCCGCCTCGTACCTGCCCAGATGCAGCCGGGGAGGAGGAGGGTTCGCCGACAGCGGTACCCAACGTCTCGCTCATCATCATTGACGAGGATGAGCTGAATTTCAACAACGAGTCCCAGGTGATTCAGCGCATTATCGAGGAGTACGAACGGCGGTTGCAGGAGCAATTGGCGCTCGCCCGGCAGGATATAGCCAACGAACTGGAGCAGCAGATTCAGGTAAGTGCATGGCATGGCATGGCATCGCATGGCACGGACTGCGTTTCCCCGACATCTAACTGAAGACTCTGCTCTGTGTGTGTGATTCACATCTCACTTTCCCTGTGCAAAATGTACGTCTTTATTTTTAACAAATGCGCGCGCGATCCCAAAAGAAGAAACGTGCGAAATCTTGTCAAGCAGCCAAAACAAGAAGCAAAGCAGCATGAAAGCAGCATCATGCTGCAACAAGCGGTTGCCAAACGAACTTTGGATTTCCACTTGGGATCTGTGGCTGTGGCATCACTTTTGCATCATTATGTAGCATTAAATCCGACTGCACTTTCATACCTGGGCTGTTTTCTATTTTAAGGCCCAGTCAGTCGTCAGTCAATGATCCCAACCGGAACATTGACATGCACGGCAATCCTTCCAGCTGATCCGATCCCCAACAGCCCATCTCCTCCCTTTTCCCACTCATTGTTCTCGCCAAATATGGCGGCCACATGTCGACTTACTTAGCGAGAAGAGCGCTTCCAATGGATGGCGATTGTCACAGACATTTTGGCTGTTGTTCTTGTTCTGGACGAAAATAACATAGGCGAAGGTCAAAGACTGCTTAGGCAGAGGGATACATACGAGTGTACAGACAAGCATACCAGATCCGACCCCACACCACTCCATACAGAACCGTTTTTGTTCAAAAATATTTCCTGCCCCACTTATGCTGTCAAAAGATGGGGGCTGTGGATATCTTTCTGTCTGTTTGCCAACAACATTTCGCAGCCATTCTTCGTTGACAATTGTTTAAACCAACACAACACACACATATGTATGCACATTCATATACATCCATACATATGTATAGTTTAATAAGAGCGCGCCAAATTATTATCGAAGCACAAACATGTGCTCGGCTGTTCCTGGCCCACTGTCACATCATACACTTCACACTACTTTAATCAGGGCTGGAAACGGAGCTAATATCGTCACAGCCGGAAGTGTGTAAAATGCTAGCTCCCCTCAATATGAATCAATTGATGGATCAGCAATCGAAAAGGGAGAGGAGAGTGGAGAGTGGTGCAAAGCACACACCCCGCAAAGGAAGAGTGCATGCAGTTGTTCTTTTCGATGCTCAAACCCCGTTTGAAATTAACGCTCATAAATTTGAATTTGCTTCCACACGCTCACACCAACACACCCATCACGTAAGCACACATACTTGTACACCAGGGAGAGAACGATCGGAGAACGACGACGCTCTCTCGGGCCTTCTCTCTTTCTGCTTTAAAATGGGTGGCCTGCCTGGGTGCCCGCTCATTTTATTCCGTTATTTCAACGCGTGCGTGCGTGTCCGTAATTGTCGGTTCTTGGATTCATTGGAATTTACATACATACATATATGTGCATATAGTGAAAGACTTTGCGGGAAAAAAATCATATTATTCGCGGCGTAAATGAAAGAGATCTTCAAGTGGTTTTGCGGAAAGAAAATTGGCAAATCATTGCTGAAAACATACACAAACATCCTAATTAAGTTTTATTTTATGGTGAATTTCCATTGGAAATTAGTGCGAGTGTTTGCAAATTCAAAAGCTAACGGTGTTTTGGCGATTGCAGAACTTTAAAGCATAGATACATACACGTATACGTACACAAAAATAGGCAAGGTAAGGATACAAGGTGAAGGGGAAACGGGCATAAATAAACAAGCGTGAAAGGGCGAACCACTTGAGATTCCCCAGTCTAAACATACCATCACTCAAACCCATTCAAAATTAAACCCTGTTTAAACGGAAACAAAAAAAAAACACACACACACAGCTTGTGACTTCACGTTGTCAAAGATACGATATGTCTTCCCCAAAAGATCAGAGAAGTCGTTGCCCTTTCGACAGAAAAAGAATATAAGAACCAAGAAGAAGTGGTCCATTCCATTCCAGGCCCCTGCCTTGGAGTTTATTTTTGTTTAAGGCGCAAATTTGATTTCCTACGGAGTCTTTGTGGTTTATATTTAGGACCAAAGACACAAGATACGACCGAGTAATGGCTAGCTAGTATCGATTTTCATATTAGTCGAGAATTTGCTAAGTGAATTTTAATTGAAAAAGTCTGGGAATCAAAGAACCAGGACCGCCCCTTAGATTAAGCAATTATCCAAATCAATTAGAACGTGCATATATAAGGGCTGGTACGGCATTCGATGGATCAATCAAAGCTGCCCTTCAGGCTTTTCTGCCCATGGATCTCGACCGAATTCGTCCAGTGCGGATCCTGCTCCGCATACTCCGTTGGACCCGGGTCTGGCCCGCCTCTGGAGGACCGGCACCGCAGCGTGGTTGGACCAACTGGAAGGGCTATCTTCTGCATAGCAGCTTAACCTTAATCTTCGTGGTTCTGCTGTGGGTGGAGGCTATATTGAGCCCCGATGTGGAGCACACGGTGGATGTCCTGTTCTTCGCTCTTACCATGACGTCCATGTGCGTGAAGGTCCTGAACAGCTGGCGCTACGCTCACGTGGCGCAGCGCCTACTCACCGAGTGGAGCAGCGCGGACCGCTTCCGACTGAAGACGTTGCAGGAGGTGGACATGTGGCGCATAGGGCACCTGCGTTTCAACCGCGTTGTCGGCGTTTACATGATGTGCAGTGTGGGTGTCATCCCCGTGCTCGTCACCCCGTGCCTGTTCGCTGTACCCAACAAGCTGCCGTTTTCGATGTGGACACCCCTAGACCTGCAGCAGCCCCTGGGGTTTTGGACTGCCTTTTTGTATCAGGCGGTGGCGATTCCCTTTGCCTGTCTGTGCGACATAACCCTAAATCTGGTCAATTGGTATCTAATGCTCCATCTGTCGCTCTGCCTGCGCATGCTGGGTCAGCGGCTGAGTGCCCTGCATCGCAGTGGCCTCCAGCAGGATGAGGAGCAGCTCTGCGCCGAGTTCTTGGAGCTGGTCAGCCTCCACCGTCGGATCAAACAGCAGGCGCTCGACATTGAGACCGTCATTTCGAAGAGCACGTTTTTTCAGATATTGGTCAGTTCCCTGGTCATCTGTTGCACCGTCTACAGCCTGAAGATGGTGAGTCAGCCCGGATCCGAATGATCCCGCAGTGACACTCACCCACGTTTCAGACTCCAGTCATTCAGGACATGGGAAAGTTTGCGGGCCTCATTCAATACTGTCTCTCAATGGTCCTGGAAATCCTTTCGCCCAGCATCTATGGCAACGAGGTCACCCAGTCCGCCGACAAGTTGCCTGAAGCCCTCTACAGCTCCGACTGGCCAGACCTTTCGCCGCGTCTGCGACGCCTGATCTTGATGTTCATGATCTATCTGAACAGGCCCCTGTCCCTGAGGGCCGGTGGCTTCTTTTACATGGGGCTGCCGATGTTCACTAAGGTACCCCAAGCCTACTAGAGGGTGTAGGGTTTAGTTTCTGCAATACTTTGATTTTCCATTCCATTCCAGGTCATGAATCAGGCCTATAGTATGCTGGCCTTGCTGTTCAATATGAACAATTAGAGAGACGAGTTCCTCCCTGAACAAATACTTGATGTTTTCTGTTTCCTCGGTTTTGGATTAGCCACGGGACTTCTCCGCTCGTTTGGAGATTTGTTTCGTCAATTCTTGTTGTGCAAAAATCTAAAAATATATTCTAGCATTGCACCAAACACATACATATATACTAGTGTTTATGTGCACCTATTTACGTATGTACGCCAGCACATAAAACGCTGAAATGCAAGTGACGAAAATAAAATGAAAATTGTATTTCCCAGTGCAGAAAATTTGTGAACCCCCCTTTTCCCCATCCCCCCCACTGCCCTTATTTTGGGAGGAATTTTAGAGAAGCAAGCAGGCAGTGCGTTTCAGATATTAATGCCAAAAAATATTGATATCAAAGCGAAGGAAACCTCTTAATTATCCTATGCGATTGTGGCTGTGAAACGCACTGTGTTTCAAACACAAGTATGTATTGGAAAATATTGAAAACAAAGAAAACTCGTTATCTGCTGAGTTCGCGACCTCTACGAGAGGGGGAGAGAGACAGACAGAGAAAGAGAGAATTTATTCGATCGCTTTTGAATCGTTATCTCTGAGCACTATTTAATTGTATTCAATGCGGCTTTTAATGGCTGATTCATTGGAGGGAAACAGAGGGCTCAGAGGGCTCAGAGGGCTCAGAGGGAGTAACACCATCTAAAAATAATCCATCCTATCCACTCCACTCCACACCACACCATCCATCCTACACCCTCCCTCGCTTCTCTTCTTCTGACTGTAGGATGGGGAAGATTTTTATTAAGATTTATGTATGTGTTTGTCTGTGGTGGCGGTGGCGGTGGCGGCGGCGGCGGCGGCTCTGTTTCTGTCTCCACCCTCAATCGACAGACACTCTGTCGATGTGATGTGTCGATGTCCAGAAAGGGAAATAAAAATGTAAATATTTTGGACGAAAGCCATAAATATTTATGCTTTGGTGAAAGCCAGAAAAAGTTTCCTTGAAAGCTACCCTGGTCTTTTCAGCGTTCTTGACATGTGCAACCGTCTGTTGCACACATTTTCCAGCGAATCATAAACAAATCCAACAAAATCTTAACAATTCCATACACAAATTGCTGCCCTTACAGAACCTGCTGTCCGAGAACGCTGTGGACGATCAGCATTGGCCCAAGGAGCTGATCTTGCTGCGGGAGAAATTTACGGCCAAGAGTCAACTGGAGATCACTCAGCTGAATATCAAACATGCCGATGAGGTGAGTCGAGGCAGTTATTCTCCTATAAGACCTGCGTACTAATTGATTTTCGATCGGGGATACCCCCTGCAGATGTCGCGCCTGAAACTGGAGTACGAGAAACAGCTGAATCGCAAGACCAAACGCCACTTGACCTTTGACTCGTCCCGTAACCTAGACCAGGTGATATGCGAGCGCGATGGCCTGCGGGAGCTGTCAAAGAGCTTCCGGAGCGTGCTCTGCCGTCTGGCCAAGTGCGTGGCCAACTGTGAGGAGGATCTGAATGCCACGCTGTCTGAGGAAGTGCAACGCCTGCTGCTCCACAGCCACAATCACAGTCGCAGTCAGGATGCCGGCGAAGACTTGGAGCAGACGCTGAGCAGCTCCCTGAACAATACGCGGCCGCTGCGTCTGGTGCCGGATGTCCACAGTCTGCTGGAGGTGGTGGATGACCCCAGTCTGGTGCAGTTCATTAACAGCAAGAGCAACGAGGACAATAGCGAGGACTTCGACCTGACCGAGTGTCTGGAGCGGCTCAAATCAGAGGCCGCCTATCTGCTGCATCTCTCCGAGGACATGCACAAGCAACGGGAGCACAACGACTCCGTGGACGAGCCGGAGAAGCAGGAGCACGAGCTGTGCTGCGAGGCGGAGGATGGCCTCAAGACGACGGCTGCTGTGCAGCAGCAGTTGCTCGCCAAGTTCGTGCGCACCAATTCTCTCAACGATCAGCAGCTGGGCGTGGCCAGTCGGCGCAAGAACAGCAGCTCGGAGGCTGGAAAGACGCACACCTCCCTGCCGCCCGATCTGCAGCAGCATGCGGGCAGCGCCTCAGAGCTCTCCTTCCAACTGGTGGAGCTGAAGAACCGCCTGATCAAGTCCGAAACGGACCGCCAGAAGCTGCAGCAGCAGTTGACCAACACCATCGATCGCAATGCAGAGCTGGGCCATGAGCTGCAGGCCCTGCGGGATCAGCTTTCGCAGCTGAACTCGCTGAACCACACGGACTACAACGAGGGCTACGGCCTGGGGCCCATGAAGAGCCTCCAGGAGCAGGGCCTGGACCAGTCGTCGGCCAGCTTTACAGCCTTGCAGGAGCGGGCCCGTCACCTGCTCTCCGCCTCGCCCGGCAGCCAACAGCAGCAACTGGAGGAGACTCGCGATTCGGGGAATGCCACCGTCATGCTGCTGCAGATGATCGAGGACTTTTGCCGAGAGGGCGACAAGGTGGTGGAGTGCGGCAAGAAGGATCGAGAAGACCTCCAGTCCCAGGTGAGTCTACGGGTCGGGGTCTACTGATCCATCAGACCTCGTTTTCCCTTACATATTACCCGTTTTTGTGAGAGCGCTAACGCATGAAAAGTACACTTGAAGAAGTCGATTAGTTTGTAAGCTAGGTTATTGCCCAGTGAGAGCCCTTGTTACAACCCCTCCTCCACTCCACTCCACTGACACACAAACAGATCGATACCGCTGACAAGCAGCTGAAGGACACGCGCCGATTCCTGGAGGATCAGGCCGCTGAGCGCGAGCAGGAACGCGACGAGTTCCAGCGCGAAATCGAGCGACTGAAGTCGCAGTTGCGCGATAAGGAGAAGGAATATAGCTCCTATGCCAATGCCTCCGAGGAGGTGAGTCCTGTCCACTATCTACGATCGCTAAGATCTCAATTGATTGATTTTGGGCTTGGTTTAAACTTTAAAGTCTTTTCCGTTTCCGTTTTGGTTTTCGTTTACGTTTAATACTCGTATATATGGTTTTGCCTTGGTTTACACAGTCCATTTCCTTCAGTCTATCTTTATCTATTTGATTGTATTCTATTTATCTTTTTACATTGTATTTCTTCATGTTCGGATTTTCCTTTAGTTTAAGTTTTTTGGATACAAGTTTAGATATAGAAATATGTATGTATGTTTAAGTTCCACTAGCATGCCTTACCCAAGAACATTTTTATTAACTGAATCAATTATGCAAAGAAACATTTACAACAACAAAATCACATACAAATTCCATGGAACATTTTACAAAAAAAATACTCCAACGTGCTCGGGCTCCGTGCTCCTCCACATGCCTTGTGCGAGTCCCTCGGGGGGCATTGAAATAAAATCAAGGGCACCGTCTAACGTACACATACGAGTGTGTATACAAAACAGAGATTTTCGTAAGCGTGTGCCGACGTATTTATAGACCTCCCGAGGTCTATATATTCAATATATTCAAGTGTGTGCGGATCCATTCACACAGATTTTACCTTTAGAGGAATATATGTATATATGTATATTTCCATGCCATTTCCATGTGTTAGTCAATTCCATTGAATTTGTATGGGGAGTTTATTAGAAGAAGCATTGATTGCTTTTTATTGGAAGTTTTGTTAAATGTTTCTTCTGTTTGTGTGATTTCTCTATCTGCATGCATCTAATCTAGCAAATTTCCCTCCCAATTCCTATTTAAACTAATTGCACACCCTTTCCCCACTGCTCCACTACTCCACTACCCACTCCGCACCCCACCGGCAATAAATAGTTGAGGTTCAAAAAGAAAAAGCATGTAAGTTGTCACTAATATGGAAAAGCACCCAGACACCAGACACCGGACACCGGACACTGCTCCTCATCACACTTCATCCCATTTCACCACACCAAAAATACGAGTAGTTTTTATCCGAATCTGTACTAATCGTGGGCTTCTTTCTTTCCCCTACACCCCCAAACCCCCCTTCGTCTACACAGTACGCCCAACTGGAGTCCCAACTGCGGGCGGTCAACCAACAGCTGAGCCAGTCGAACGCCAAGCGGGACAAGTTCGAGGTGGAGCTGAAGGCGTCCATTGACAAAATCTTTGTGCTGCGCGAGATCATCTCGGAGCTGGAGACCCAAGTGCAGACCAAGGCACTCAACGAGCACGTGCTGGACGAGAAGACCAAGCAGCTGGAGGACTATGTCAACCTCCAGATGCGGGCCAACGATGCCCTGCAGCAGGAGGTGCACAGCCTCAAGACGGATATCGGCGAGGGCTATCAGTCGCGGATTCGCCTGCTGGAGGAGAAGCTGCAGCAGGGCAGGCCGTCTGCAGAACAGAGCCTTTTCCTCGTCCAGGTGGCTGAGAAGCTGCGGGACATTGAAACCACTCTGGAGCAGAAGACCAAGGTCCTGGAATCGCTGCACAACTCCAACACCGCCTCCAACTCGGCCAGCCTTAGTGTCACCGAAGACGTCTCCGTCCATGGCGGCGGGAGTAGGCCACAGACCGCGGCGGGCTCGGGCTCCGGCTCGCCCTCGCCCTCGCCCTCGCATCCCTCTCTCACCGTTGAGGGTGTACAGCGGGTCACCGAAAAGCTGGATAAGCACACGCGCGTCGAAGAGGCCGCAATTAAGCGTATACGTGATTTGGAGATGCAACTCCAGCAGATGCGTTCCGGCTGTGTGGTGAGTAAACATTGAATTGATTGATTTCATTGTGTGAAGGGCGGAGTGGCTGCCACCCAACGGGCAACGATTCGAAGCGAACCATTTGTCTTTGGGGCTAACCTACATCATTTCATTCAAATTTAACGGCAAGAGGCTATAAATAGATGCAATGATGCTGTGCTCTCTCTCTGTTTAACAGAGAGCGCTTAACATGAGTGTGGTGCGCCACCTGGCGTTCGTTTTACAAAAATATCGTAACATAGCCCTGTTTAACATTAACTTAACATTAACACTAACAGCCTATTTAACAGTAACATTGACTGCCCAGCCTCTCGATTCGATCGAAAGTCGTGGCGCAATCGTGAAACTGTTTTGAACGGATCGGTCGTGTCTTTCCGTATTTTTCTTTTTATGTGTTTCGTGTGTCTTTCGCGAATATTTTTGATAGGAAATATTAAATAATTGAAGCAAATAATGAAAGGGAGAAATAATTGAACATGCGGGAAAAGTGCTTAGTGTTTTTATCGCAGATAAATGTCACTCCGCGAAATGTAGGCGGCATTCATGCTCATCATTTTGAATCGTTGAATGAACGTTAGTCTATTAATTTAATCCAAGAAATCGTGTGCTGTGCTGCTGGTTCCTGAAATGTTTCACGGCCCAAAAACGCCTCCCATCTTTGGTCCGTTGCGAGTGAGTTTTTGAGTCTGCGGACTTTTAATATTCGACCAAGGTTCCTCGGGCTGTCAGAGTACCCCCTCCCTCACCCTGTGGCTGTGTGTGTGTGTGTGCGACAAGTGGCCGCGCCGACAATTGATGTGTTTTCAAGAATGTTTATACATATTGTACATATGTATAGTATAGTATGTACATATGCATATTTGTATTATTTATTTGATGAATTCTGACATGGTTCATGGTTCATTGACGTTTCCTGCTTGCACTGGTTTGAATGCAAACCATGACAATAAAATATAACTAATTTAATTTGTTGTGCCACAAAGTTATCATAATGTTTTGCCCATTTCGCACATTCTCGCACTGTACTATCCGCATAGTGTGATTCCTCTGTGATTTATGGCAGATGTGGTCGCAATTTGGAACACGCTGTGTCAGAAATAGCCGCCTCCTGGCTCCTTTGCCTCCCATGCCCGGGCTGTTCCACTTCAGAAATAGACGCCATTCCCGTTCCTCCCAATAATGTTCCCCTTTCCGGACCATTCCCAGATTTGAGTGGCATGTAAAACAAATCATTTGGCACCCGTTGCACCTGCCACATCTCCATTATCCACGGAGCGTTGCACCGCACTGAGCGCAATTGAATGTCTAATATGCGGTAATTCTTCCATAAATTTATTTATGCTACGGCTATCATCCCCCGCTGAGTAGACCACGAGACAGAGAGAGACAGAAACAGAGAATGAGTGAGATAGATAGGGGGCGGGGTTGGGGTCTGTTTGGAGGAAGCTTCTGCGTAAGAACCCGCATAAGCAAAGCGAGTAAACAACAGCAGCAGCCACAAGATACAACAAGCGCAAAGGCAAAAGATACACAGATACAACACACAGTGGACCGATTCATATAGGACTACTGTGTATAGGAACCTGCAGTTCAAGTAAAATGCCTCCATAGCTCCTCTATAACTTATAACTATTATTATGGTATTATGATACCATTAGGCGTATTAGATGAACGGTTCCAACTTCTTAAAGAACTTCTGTTAGAAAATTAAATGTATTCCTCGATTATCTATTTGAAAATGAGAAGAATCCGTCAAACTGTTAAAGTTTTCACCAAGATACAAACCACTGTGCATAGCAAAGATACATATATACATTGTAATTGATGATGGAGAGGGTTAAATGCAGATTAAGGGAACGGTCAAACGGTCGGTCGGTCATTGACACCCGTCCAGTCACCCACTCAAAGGGAGATACACAACCGCATCTAACCAATTGATCACTCTCGTCCAAATGCATAGGAACTCCAACATGAGCGGGACTCGCTGCAGGGCCGCATCGATGAGCAGACCCAGAAGATATCTACACTGCAGACGCGACTGGAGGAGCAGCGACAAAGGGCCGAGCAACTGCATCGCGCTGGCACCACGGACCTCAACACTCGCGTCCATGAGCTCCAGGGAGAGGTCAAGAACCACAACGAGCAGCTGGCGGCCAAGGACAAGCAGATGGCCACCATGCGACAGCAACTGCAGCGCAGCAAGGAGGAGATCACGCGCCTGGAGGCAGAGCTGATGGTGCGCACCAAGCCGGATCGCACTGTGATGGAACGGCTCCGAGCCTCGGAGGCCGAGCTGCAAAGGAAGAGTGGGGAGATCAGCAAGCTGAAGGAAAAGATACGCACGGAGATGATCAATCGATTGGCGGTGCCGGATCTGATGGAGACCATGCTGGCGGACAAGAACGATGAGATCGATCACCTGCGCGACCAGCTGGAGGCCAAGGAAAACGAACTGCGAGTGGCCCATGAGGATGCCAGTCAGATGTCCTCGCCAGCAGCGGGAGCGGGCCCGTCTGAGAAGCAGGATGCCAGTGCCAAGCTGAGTGCACGCACCCTCAGCGACATCGGATCGATTACCGAGTTCCCCGAGCCGGATGTGGATCGTCGAGCAGCCATTCAGCTCAGTCACAACGCTCCGCTGCAGTTGAGCGACGGTGCGGGCGGCTTCCTGCACCAGACAATGGTGAGTGCCCTACCCTTACCTCTTACCTCTTACCCTCTCTAAGACACGTGCTTTCTTGCAGGAAACTTCCAAGGAGGCGGTGGCCAATCTCACGTACAAGCGCACCGATGACCTCAGTGGCTTTGTGGCCCCTTATCCGATCAACACGTTCGAGCATCCCCACTACTTCCAGGCCATGGGCATCACGGCCCAGAGTAGCGACGGCCTAACCCCTGGTCTGGTGCCGAGACAGATCAACTTTTCCAATCTGACAGAGGACTCAAAGCTGAAGACGCCCAGCCTGCTGATGCAGACCCCGGAAATGCCGATGCCCACTACCCCAGCGGATGTGCAACTGCTGCGACAGAAGCTAGCGGAACTGGAGCGCCAGAAGGAGCAGCAGCAGAGCGACATGGAAGAGAAGCTGGCTGATCTGCAGAAGCAGCTCCAGCAGGAAAAGGAGCAGTTGAGCCGGCACGAGACGACTCTGCGAGGTCATGAGGAAAGCGAGCAAAAGTACCGACTGCGCATTGAGTCGCTTGAGTCAAGGATTTTGGAGACGGCTGCCCAGGAGGCTGCCGAGAGGCAGAACCTGCGCATGGAGCTCAACTGTGTGAGCGCGGCGCATCACCAGTGCGAAAATGCGGCAGCTGCTCGCAAGCGAGAGCTTGAGGCGCTCAATGTCGAGGTCAAGAAGAAGGCGGAGCAGCTGCAGGCTGCTCTCAGGCGGTGTGCGGAACTGGAACTCCAAGTTCAGACGCTGGAACGGGACCTGGAGCGACTGAAGAATAGCGAAAACAGCTCCAAGCAGTACTCCGTGGATGAGATTGCACAGCAGGTGGAGAAGGAGCTGAACTATTCGGCCCAGCTGGACTCAAACATCCTCAAGGCCATCGAGAGCGAGGAGGAGAACAATCTCGACAAGAAGCAGCAGCAAAAGGAGGTTCAAACGGAGGAGGAAACCTCCCCGGGCACTGCGGGCAATGGAACGGACGACGAAAACTTCACCGGCGAACGGGAATTGCTCAACCAGCTGGAGGCCTTCAAGGCCCAGTTGGCTGTGGAACGCGACCAATGTGAGGCCTTAAGCAAGGAGCTACTGGGCGAGAAGCAGCACTCGCAAGACATTCAAGAGCAGGACGTTGTCATCATCGAGGCCATGCGAAAGCGTTTGGAGACGGCCCTCGATGCCGAGGACGAGCTGCACAAGCAGTTGGACCAGGAGCGCGAGCGCTGTGAGCGTCTCCAGACGCAACTGACCTCCCTCCAGCGAGCCGAGAGTCGTCGCAACAGCTCCCTGCTCTTGAAGTCGCCCGGCGACTCGCCCCGCAAATCGCCACGTGCCGACTTCGAGTCGGAGCTGGGCGAGCGCCTGCGCAGCGAGATCAAGCTCTTGGCGGCTCAGAACGAGCGGGAGAGGGAGCGATCCGCGGATGCCCAGCGCAGCAGCGAGCGTGAGCGACAGCGCTACGAGAAGGAGTTGCAGGAACGCGTGGCCTACTGCGAGCGTCTGAAGCAAGAGATGGAGAAGCTGGCCCGCGACAAGGAGTCCGCCGAAGTGGAGCTAGAGCACTTCAACGAGCGCCTTACGCTGCAAGCTAGCGAGATCCAGAGCCTCGAGGCGAGGTTGGTCACGCTGCAGGAGGCGGAGACCCGCAGGGCCAGCACCCGCACACGCCAGCACCAGGAAAGCGTCAACCTGCATGCGGAAATTCACGAGCTGAAGGCAAAACTGTTGGCCGCCGAGTCCGAGCGGGACTGCCTTGACCAGAAGGTCACCCACCTGCGCTTCGACGTGAGTCGATCTGGTCATCGCGAGGCCAAGCTGGCCGAGGCCCTGGCACAAGCCAACGATCGGCTGGCTCACAGCACGGACGACACCGTGCCGGCGCAGTTCCTCCAAAAGATGAAGGATATCAATACACTGCTGGCGGAGAACACCCAGGAGAACCGGCAGATGGCCGAGACGGTGCAGTACCTGGTGGGTGAGCGGATTGCCCTGCAGAAAAAGTGCGAGGAGCTGGGCGGGTCGAGCAGTGGCAACGTTGGAGAGCTTGAGGAGCGCTGCCGACAGCTGCTCGGTCGCTACCTCCGCGTGGAGTCGCATCGTAAGGCGTTGGTCTATCAGAAGCGATACCTGAAGCTCACCCTGGAGGGATACCAGGCCAGTGAACAGCTCGCCCTGCAGGCCATGGCCGGGGGAGCACCCCAGCGAAAGTCCAAAAAGAAGTTCAAGTATGTCATGTCAGATATTAACCCCTTTTCGATCCCCTTCTAACTTGAGCACTTCTAATTTAACAGGACTGTTGCCCTAGCCATTATTGCCATACAACGCATCAAATACATTGGACGCATCTGGCACACGGGCAAGCGAATCGTGAGCAAATCCGTGTTCACCATCACCCAGCAGAGGTGAGACCCGCCGAGAAATACCCAAGCTAATCCGCTGTATATAAAAAAGCCTGATCGTAACCAACATTGATTACATTCTCTCGTTCCCCTAAGCTCTAAGATGCCCCTAGTGACGGTCAATATGAAAGTAAAGCTAAGCAAGGGCGATTCAGCCAAGAAATAGGTTGCCACAAGGTCTGCTCCTTTAACGAAGCACTTTACTCTGATTCACCTGCATATTTATGTACCTACTATTGCAAAACAAAATACAGAAATTCTTACCTAGAACTTGACCTCGTCACCAATGTAGTTAGACTCAATTCCACTTTCAATTGGCTCGAACTCACCCATCCTTAAGATTCGCAAACTCCGACTGAACGACAACTAATCACAGCTTTAATTTCAGAAACGGAAACGTGCCCGGCCTGAATCTGAATGTGGCGCCTCCCCACACCGTACTGCCTGTGCCCAACTCGAATCTACCCACCAATAACAACATTTCGGGACGCCTCGGCTATGCGCCCATCTCTCCCCCTCTGGCCAACTTCAGCACCCTGCAACCAATAGTGCTGTCTCCGGACTACAATCTCCAGGAGCCAGCCTCGTCATTGTCCAAGAACCACAACAACGAGGCCAGTCTACCATCGCTGGCCAGGCTGGAGTGGCCGACCATGCAGAAGCCAAAGCGCGCGCATGCGCGGCATCACTAGAGGCCCGATCTGAGCCAATCCGAGCCGAATACTGTCAACCATGCTCAACCGGAAGCCTTAGGTTTTAAGCGCAGCCATATCATAAGACACTGAATCATTTTTTTTTATTTGTTTGTAGTTTGTTTTATCGCCTGTACCATTTCCCGAAACTATTGTAAGTCCTAAGCTGTTGAACCCTACTTTAAGGATGCCATGTCCCCTTTGTCCACGCCCCTACTTAGGAATGTAATCACGTCTGTAAATTTTATTCGTAGATGTACCAAAACAGTAGCCGTAAGCGTAGCCCTAATCCGTGTCCCAGTATTTTCTTTTAAACCAATCCTTAATTTTTTTTATTAAACCAGACCTATTTCTACTTGAAGGCTTTTCTGTTGATTTATTGAGAATGTTCTACACATCCATCCGTACGTATATGCTGAGGAATGTGCCTTATAGGAGTGATGTCAGTGGACAGCTCCGAATTTAATTCGTAAAATAAAATAAAATACAAGTTGACATGGAGCGTGATTGTGTGTTCTTCAAAATATCGGAGTTATCCCACTAAATTAGCTAAAAGCCCCACAAGGACAGGGCAGAAAATGCCAAGGGGCATGCAATTGGCTGCAGCTGCGGCAGCTGCAGCCACGGGTGGAACAGGTTGAGGCGCAAATATCAAATGCCAGAGCGGTTCTTGTGCCGGGGCTAACAGAATTGTCTGCACCTCAGGGCAGCTCAAGGAGAAATGAACTTTCAAAGCTTAGGAGTCCCGCGCCTTCCCACGATGCTAGGCAGGGATACACTTTCCCGAGAAGTCTCTTTGATTTGTGCCCTCAAGCTTCAGCCTTCCTTCGAAAAAGAAGACCAAGCTGTGGCTGCAGCCAATGCATCCTTCGGCGTACCCTGCTAATTACTGCCCAGCTCGTTATCAGCCGTCGCCCACCCACTGATAAGAGGACAGAGCCGAAGCGAACCGAACCAACCCGAAGGCTAGCGCCGAATGAGCGGAGCTTTCGGTGCCCGTGGCCGCCGTGGAATTGCTAACATATGGTAGCATTGAATGGCGCATCGTCTAGCATTGGCTATCCTGTCGTTGTGGCAAGCAGTTCTGCTGGCGACCTCTGTATCTGCGCTACTGCGACGGCGAGCGGCTCGCTGATTCTGATTCCCTGTTTTTGTTTTGGTGCAGCAAACCCAAATAGGATTCGTTTTGAAATATATACTGTATTGATTCGAGATATATTATATCCAAAAACCCACTCATTTCGATATCGATGTCAAGTTGTGTCTTACCTGTGCTGTGCGCGACGATATGTTCGATAGTAGAGACTTACAAAAGTAAATAAAAACAAACAATTGGAATCAATTGAAAACAAACAAGAAATTTAGTGAGATTATTCGACCAGAAGACCGAGACGAAAAAGGTAATATATATTTCGGTGAAATATTCTAATTTTAAGGACTTCTTTGCGTGCTTAAGAACTTACAGCAACGTTCCTCTCTTTTTAACGAAAATAAATTTGAAAATCTGTCGCTTAAACTTAAAGTCTTGAACAGAAGTCACATCCACAAGGGAGGAGAGGCCTGGAGGCGGATGAAATCCAATTTGATAAGTAATCGCATCAGCCAAATCCTTGAAATTTCCCCATTTAGGCGTCTTCGAGCTGTAGCCTAATCCCAGACATTTAAACACCAAAGGATCCAAGTACAGACAGAATTTTTTATGGCTGGGGAAAGCCTCAGTCTTAATGCCTGTTGAATGTGTGCCATTTGGCTGAAGTATTTTCTTTTGTGGTTTTTATTGGTTGGTTGGGACAGGTCAAAGGCCAAAGTAGTTCAAGAAACCGTTGATTTTGGTTCTCGTAGCAGGCTGCCTGCATTTCCTGAGAGCCGTCGAGAATCTGCGTGTGTCTGGGACCCTTTCCCTTTCTGCACCACTTCTGGGCTATATGTATCTATGCGTGTCGATAAGATAGCTATACCTTATCAGCACCATCCTATACATATCTGTCTGTCTATATTCGTTACGCCTCTGCAGATTTACCATTTTGGTGGGCGTTACAAAGAGTTGTAATCCTAATTGTTGTCTGTTCCCTTTTTTTTTGGTGTCCGCAACGATCTAGTGACGTCAAACATACGCATTTGGGCGTTATTTGTCCACCAATCGGAGCAATTTAAAGATAAAAAATAATGGTACGGACGCTCGCAGTAAAGGCAACAAATTGGTTAAAGTTGGTGTGACAATTTTCGAGTTTATAAGTTTCTAATTGATGGCTTACACAGTTGCCAAAACTCGACCACGGCGACTAACTTTTATTGTTGATGGCTGGGAAGTGGGTGAAGTGGGAGTGGAGGAGCACCCGACCGGACCGGACCATGGCGAGACAGCCTGTCACTGTCATCGCCCGTGGAATGGGTCATGTCCAGGGCTAAAGTTTCATCCTTTACCCAACAGGTTTATTATTGCCGTCTCCTGCTGTCTTCTGCCGGAGCTCGCACTTTGAGTTTTTTAATTGTGCTTTCCGTAATCCGTTTAAAAGTTGGTGCCATACATGCTGCTATATGCTATATGCTGTGTGCTGTGTGCTGCCTGCGGGATGGGGAATGGAAAGTTTTGATTTACTTGTGGCTCGGTCTGGACTGGCGAGCAGCCTGTCTGTCTGGTGGGGCATTTGTTTGGACGCCTTTGACAGGTACTCTTGAGTTCTGCCTTTTATAAAGCTTGTTTTTCCTTTCCGCAGCACTCGCTCATCCTCGAGTATACATACATACCCGTACTCGTACCCGTACTCGTATTTTGCGCATTTTTCTTTGTCTGCAGCTGTCTGCACTTTGTCTGCACCGAAGCTCTGTTGGCTTAATTGGAGCTGCGCTTCGAAATCAGCATATGGCACAAATCGCCTACCCCCACAAATAGTCCGCTGTTCGTAACCTTTTAACTAGCCCAACTATCAACTTATGACCAGCTGTTCCAGCCCATAAAATCTCCACCTGAACGAGCCATAACTGCACCTCACGGTTTTCTATAAAAGCCTGCAACGACCCCTTTGCTAATTAGTTGGATCTTGATCGCAATGCACTTTCTGCTGATATTGGGCGTTTTTGGTGTAGTTTTCCTGCGTTCTGTTGCTGTCAGGAGTGTGCCGGGGGACTTCTATGTAGAGGAAATGCTGCGTGCAATGAACCTTCCCACTGGAAATGACTCCAGTGACATTGGAGGGGAATCTGATTACTTTGAGACCCCGTTGGATACATCAGAAATGGATTACTACGGCTAAGCGACACTACTATGCTGTGGATATATTAGAGTAAATGTATTACAAATGTATTGCCATCTTTGTAGATCTTAGCGAATGGAGATGATAAAAGCCGTGTACGGTATTGACTAAAAGTATTGTGTGTCATCGTAGAGGGCTCTTCCATTGCCAGTGCGTTACAAAATTCCGACCAAATGAATATACCCACTCGCATCCCGTTCTTCTCTCGATTTTCGGCGAAACGAAAGCTGGGAATACTCATGCAAATTTTAGGTATTTTTTATTGTCAAATTCTATCGAACAATAGAACAGTTGGGAACACCAAAACAACAATAGATGCATACATACATACATACGGAATATAGCCGCTAATGACAACTATTCAAGAAAATCTGTCTCCAGTCCCCTGCGCCGTGCTCTCCCTTCGATCCAACTACGCAAATATGAAACTACGCAAACGGGCTTAAACATTTTCGCACGGATTCTCAAGGCCCTGGCCTGCCTGGCCTGCCGAAAAGACAAAACTTCAATTAACTTATTTGCTTGAATATTTGAGCTGATTGGAAGTTTGAATTTGGAACCGCTATAAAAGCGGCAGTCTGGACCAGTCGTGAGTACCAGTTGAAAGAACTTACTCGTTGACAAAATGCGTTTCTTCGTCGCCCTGTTGTGTGCCGTCTTGGTGGCATCGGCCTCTGGCCAAGGCTCTGTGAGGGGAAGAAAAGCCCGTTCCGCTCAAATCAAGCTGGCGGTGCAGCCGCTGGAGCCGCTGGTGCCGCTGGAGTTTGGGCCCCAGCTGGCGGTGGAGCCACAGTTGGCAGTTGAGCCTGCTCTGTACATCAAAGATCCCCGCATTGTCCCAGCAGTTCTGCCCGTAGCGGGCCCCAACGACTTCCTGCCCCAGGCATCGGCTGGCAAGCGTCGCGTCCTGCCCTTCGGAGACTATTCTGGCTACTGGCCCGACTACGGTGCACCTGCTGACAACTGGTACGGCTGGAACTCAGCTCCTCGCTACTGGAACTCAGGTCCTCGCAGCTGGATGGGCTACCCTCGCTCGTCTTCCTATTGGCCCAGGCGCAGGCTGGTCAAGCCCGTGGCTAACAGCATCCCTGAAGCTGAAGACAATGCCGATGTGGACGTCGATGATTCCATCGTTTCCGATGTAGAGCCCGTTCCCGTTCCCGATCCCGTTCCCGAAGTTGCCGTCATTCCAGAGGAGCCCGCCATTCCTGATGTCGCTGTTCTTCCTGAGGAGCTGGCCGATCCCGTAGTGTCTGCCCAGGTGATCAGCTAAATTTTTTTTTTAAATAAATATTATATAAAGCAAAGGTAATCGAAGAGGAAATCAATGCGGAGGGGCAGCTCGATAGTATTCTGTATCATAATTTTTCGAAACCTTCAAAAATAATTAATTTTTCCAAAAAAGCGATTCCAGATAATCTTTGAAAAGCTTTCCTTATCATCATTATCGAGCGAGTGAGCCGGGAGTTGGTGCACGAACGTGTTGGTGTTCCATATACAATATTATATATACAAATACTTGTCTTTATAATTATCAATTTGGAATTTCAGTATTAAATTTCCTTTATGGTTCCCCCCCAGCCACAGAGCAGAACGACGAATGTGGTATCTTATCGAGGCTTGCATTGAATATGCTATTTGTGGTATTGAGTAGAGTGCAAACACGGAGCTCAGTCGGGCGTTAAAGGTGCTAAATTAACGGCCAGCATGCTCTGACCAGCACCAGCACCAGCACCAGAACCAACAACAACTCCAACCCGACCCCGACCCCGACTCCGACTCCGACCCCGAACAGAACCCAACCAGTGCGGCCAGCACACAATCTTCCATATGGCGCAATATTGAAATATCCAATCAAAATGTTAATTCGAGGGTAGAGAGAGCGAAAAATAAAAATCAGGGAGCATTTTTTCGTTCACTTAACGGTTTTGGCATTGTTCAAATGTTCCTCGAATCGTTCCAGTTTTAATCAATCGAATCACGAATCACAGGTCCAGTTTTCAGCGAAATTGAGTGGGAGTTTATGCAAATTTATAGGGTATTTATAGCGTGAGAGATGGTTTCGGAGACCCTTTCGGCACTTGTTGATTCATTTAATACCCGTCCGATGAGACCTGATAACAGAAAAGGTTGCCATTTAGCGTCCGAGCAAGCGGGTGTCCTCCCCAGTTTTCGTGTATTTTTGTTTATGTATTGTATGTAAGTGGAGCATATTGAGAGACAATCTATGCTGGGCTGGCTCGGAGGGAGGGCTGGTGGCGGGCCGTGCTTTCTGCCGCTTGGTTATTTTTAGGGTTTTGGCATAGCTTGGATCTGGCGCCATCGGACCACTCCCACGCCACACGCGCGCTTTCGCAGCAAAAGCTTTGGTCTATGCAAATGAATGTTGTCGACGAAAGTTTCCCGGAAATGCGAAGGAAAACAGCTTGTGCCCGTTGGGATAATTGCATCAATTCGACATGCGAATGTTTTCTCATTCACTAAGAGACACATTTCCCACTCACTCCACGCCCGCGTCAATAGTTCCGCGACTTGTTTGTTTATTTGTTTGTTATTTTCGTAATGGCCGGCCTAATAAGCTGAATGTAATGAACAAACATCAGAGGCGATAAGTAGCTCGAAACGCGTTGTTGCCCCCCATAATAATTCCTTTGCACATGACAGCGTACACACACACTGAGAGAAATGACTGGGTGGGGAAGGATTCAGTTGCACTGTCGGTGACGTCTTGACACTCACATGACTTGATGAGAGCAGAGCTCAAGCTCAGCCATCATCATCACCATTGACATAACAATTGCCAGCACTTCCGTTTCCACATGAACGGCCACAGACGGTGAGTATTTGCTTGTGTGCGTGTGTGTATATTCCTGAAGGATCCAGGGAAATGTGGGCTGAGAGCAAACAAAAATTAGCGTCCATCGTCCATCGTCCACCGAATAAAATGCTTGCCCAGCAGAGAAGTCTTGCCAGGAGATCTGCTGGGAGAGGGGTCGCACAGGAAATGGATGAGATTTACGGTGTACTTAGGGGGCAGGCATGGCTCCAGGGCTCAAAGACGCAAGTTTAAAGCCCGAAAAATTAACCCACAACAGAAGTCTTTCCGCGGCTATCCGCGGTCTGTCCACGACACTTAAACCAGTGACCCCTTTCCCCCACGCCACTGGCGCTGACCGTCCGCAAACACGCTTTCTCTCTGCCCCACTCTTCCAACAGAGAGCCCGCAAAATCAACAAATAATATTTTAAAGCCAACACATTCCCATTGGAGGGGGGCCGGGCCTCCACGGCCCGGGCATCGTCGTCTAGCTCCCCCGGCGGGGGACGAGACAAAGTTTTGTAATGTTTTGTTGTACGAGTATGCAAATCAACGGACATGGGGGTCCCAGACTAGACTCGGCAAAATCTAACAAAACATGTCTGTCCATTCAGTCAACAATAATTATAGGAATTGCGCTCTTTTGCCACATCCAAGGAACTCCAGCTGGAGGCGGCTTGATTGGTATATTCATTCCATGCCATAGTTCTTCTGCTGCGATTGTCCCATTCGATAATTGCATTAAATTGTGGGGCCATCGAGGGAATGACTTTAATTGGCATCAACTTTGGCCGGACCAGACCAGACCAGGCAAAGGCCAGAGACAGAGCCAGTCAATCGGGCTCAGTAGAGCGGAGTACACATTAACTGGGCCAAAATCGATAGCAATCACAGTCACACAATCACAATCAGCCAGCCAAATTGGTATGAACCCAAATGCTTCAGACTGCAAAAATGTCACAGTCCAGTGGGGTCAAGTGTAATGGACAAGAATATGTAATGGTGGTCGGTCTGTTTACCATATACACAGACTGTCTTTGGGACTAAGCAAACGACGGAAATGGCAGCTTCCTATTGCTTTCTTGCCCTCTTCGTCGGCTGTGGATCCCTAGAAGGATTCCATTTGCAGACAAGCGTCCAAATGAATGCAATTCTTTTAGATTATGTGCCATTCTACTATTCTCTGTTATTATTCTCTATTATCTGTACTTCGATACTTCGATGGAGGCAGGTTCATCATTCAGCGCATTCTGGGGCTGACATTTGAGAGCAGAAACGAACAATTAGGCAACATGGTTGAAAAAATAAGGCCAATTAGGCCAGGTTGGCCATACATTTCCCAAGCTCCTCGAGGGGCGGGGACGGGGGCAAGGGCAAGGGGGAGACAGCAGCCTTCAATGACAACTTATTTATAGCGCGCTGTGTGCTACAATTTCAGCTGCTTCTGTGGCACGAGGCGAAGTTGAATCAAATTATGATTAAGTCCTTACGGACGCCTGTCAGGGGAATGCGTGTGTGAATATCTCCACGACAGTGTGTGTGTGTGTGACATTGATTGGCATTGAGCAGTGGGTGGCATAGGCAAATGGGGACAGCAATCGAGTTGAGCGCATGTGGATGAGGTGCCGTTTAGGCGAGGCCAGTCAGACAGGTCCATGTCCAGGTCCAGGTCCGACCTGCCACCTGCGACCAACTAATCTCATTCCCATTCTCAGCATTGAAAATTACCAACACGCGCCGCATTATAATGCAATCGCCTTTGTTCGACAATCCTGACAACCCTGATTGTTGTCGTCCCTCCGCCTCCAACTGTTGACACTTTTCGCCAGTAGCTTTTCTCTTTCACTTCCTTTTCCTTTTCATCTATGTACTTAATTTTTACAACTGTACACAACTTGTCAGTGGCTTTTCTCTTCCTTTGGCTGTCCTCGCCTGAGGACTGACTGAGAGGGAACCACCATCCCAGACGCCTTACTGAAGAAACGGGAGACTATCAACTGATCCCATTTGTTATCCATGCAACCGCAATGTGCCACAGCAAAACGTGGCAGGGCCCACTCTCTTACATAGAGCCCTGCTTTAGATGGCTTCCATCTAAAAATTATGCTTTACTAAATAACAATAGCGTCTTGGCTTTACAGTATATTGTACATATAAGATCTTTATTTGTCAACCATCCCAAAAATATGGAATGATAAACTCAAAAATGGTTTTACTAAAATTGGTGTGGGTATAGTTGAATTAACTATTGTCTGGGTTGTTGATCCCCAGCTGAAGAGCTGGTATACTCCACAGTTAATTGGTTTTCTCGGCGGGCAATTCGCTTTCGATCTCATCCAGCTCTTTGTCAGCGGCATCTTCTTCGAGGTCAACCTCTTCATCCTGAGATTCATTCACGTCCTCCTGGTCAGATCCTTCTTCAAGATCATCTTCATCTTCATCTGCTTCCTCATCGAGCTCATCCTCGGCCTCTGAGCTAGCATCGCTAATAGATTGATCCTCGTCAGATTGGTCCTCTTCGATGATGTCCTCAACAGATTCATCCTCAGCCAGATCAAAGGCAAAATCATTTGAGTCATAAGAGTTGTTGTTCTCTAGCTCTTCAACAATTTCGCCATTCTCAGATGGAACCATGCGCCAGTAGCCACCGTAGCCAGGACCCCAGTTACCCCATGACTGATTGGGGTGATGGGGACGATGGGGCTCTGCTGGAGACGGATTGACGTTGGCGCTGGCTGTGGACACTCCCGACACGATCAGGGTATTGTTGCCGAACCGGATGGTGGAATTCTGAGATCCCAAGCCTCTCAGAATGTTCTCCAGCCAGGTCAGATCGCCGCGAGTTATCTGAGGAGCTGCACTGCTGTAGGCCAGGATGCCGGCGAAGATTACAACTGCGAGTGCTAGGGAGCGCATGATTACTGATTGATGGATCGATTACTGAGTGCAACAGAAACTGTAATTCCAAAGACGCTCAACCCGGGTTTTATACCTTTAATGAGTGTTAAAAGTAGTCGGGTTGATTGGGCAAACGATTACAATACGCAAACAGCCATCAAGGTTCAACGGTTTCTAGAACACTTCCAGCTTGGGCTGAAGAAATGTAGTTGTTTTTTTGTACCCCCAAAAGCATAAAACCCAGCGTAAGATCAATTGTACAAATATATAACCAAAATTCGAGGAACGGAACCAAGCGTAATGTAATAATAATAAACATACATATCTATGAATCATGTACAGTGAAAGGTCTTTATGGTGGATACGCATACAACTCTATGAGAACTTTACGCGGTATATATGTATATAGTCTGTGGGAGTTGGTCCTAATGAGCCCCTTGATCTGAGAGACTAAAGGAGCCAGAGAAACCGGCTTGTGAGTGCAGTCTCCTGTGATATCACTACTGAATCTCACTCCATCACTAGCTCTCATCCAGTGAGAATATAACTATATAAAAAAGACCAACTAACTGAAGATTGGCAGCTACTTCGGTAAGGTTTCTGCTAAAGAAATTATGCATCAATGTAGATTTGTCGTTGGTCCTTCAAAATGCCTGGGGTGTGCAGGGTGGCTTTTTGCTCCATTGTTGTCACCAATCATTGATTCTACTTAGCAGAGTTGTACTGTGGCTATCTGATCTAGGCGTGATCTAGAGTTCTAGCACCCAAATATTTACACACAGCTTGAATTTTGTTTGAATTTTTGGCTTCAATCCAAGGCAACAGCTGCTCCAGTGCAAACACCGCCACTCACGGCCCAGTCTGCGCTTGTCTCGTGCCAATTTGCGATTCGCTATAAAAAGGCAATTAAATCGAGGACTGCAAATTAGTCAGAGACTAACGAAAGCCAGACAATGCGTACCACTTTGCTTCTAGCCCTCTTCGGATTTGTGCTGCTGGCCACAGTGTCGGCCCAGCCAGTCGATATTGACGACATCGAGGAAGACCAGAACGCAGAGCAGCTCGACGACAATGCCGATGATGGCCAAAATGAAGATGACCAGGAGTCCCAAGATCAGGAAGAGCAAGATGGTGCAGAGGGCCAGAACGATGACGAAGATGACGATAATGATGATGATGATGAGAGTAGCGATAAGAGCGGACAAAGCAACGCAGATCAAGAATAACTTGAATGGAAATTCACGTTGTTCAGCCACACACAGCTACATTATCTAATTGTTTTACTTTCTACGTGTATATTTCATTAACAGTTTGAACAACTGTTCACACAAATGCAGACACACACACACACACTCGCGCACCAAAACAATAAGCCAAGCAAAGGTTTTGTTGTCCAAATTAAATACAAATAAAATTCTGGTTAAATGGGAATAATTACTTTTGTTTTCGATAACCAGTATCCCTTGAAGGGTATCCTTAAATTGGACAAAAGTTTGCAACGCACAGAAACGGCCACTCCGACCCCAAAAAAATATAGAACACACGAACTTCCGTGCAACGAAGTTTTCTATATAACGGGGAAATAGATTCCAGAACACTTTATTACGAATTCCCCTTGAGATTTGTTACATGGATGTTCCACTATATTTTTAAATCCTTGATCATCATCATCGCCTATTCCCAATCAATCTAGCCGACCCCTGCACGCATATTATCAAATGTTTCTAGTGCAAAACGGAACAGAGTATTGAAATACTCATGGTGTCAACCACTGTTACACACGTGTACGTGAGTGGCAGCGCAGCAGCAGAACTCTCTCCAATGCAATGAGCATAGGACGCCGCCGGGCTCTGGTCTAGAGACAATATTTTTGTTTATAAACATATTGTACCACCCAAGGGTGAAATTTGTGTAAGGATATGTTGGTATTTAAACTTTTATTAATTTTATTAAAAACATCGTGTGGCTTCGGGACTATGCACAAATGGCAGGGAGCATGAATCAGTTTTTAATATTTCTGTGCAAATTAAACTTCACACTGAAAAAAAAAACGTTTGACATAATATGGAAGATCGATTATCGTATAGATGCCTGGGTGCAAATAATACAAAGTGGTCCGCAACTCTCTCTCGGGAGAGCGCTTTGACGCCATTTTTGATGTGATTGCGTTGATGTTTTGTGTTGTTTTTTATACCCTTCGCGGCTTTGTTTTCTTGCAACGAGTATTTTTATGTATTACAACACAATTTGTGGCATTTTTCCAAACGTCCGAACTAAGAAGCCAGAAAACGAGTCGAACATAGGAAAAGAAGACCCGTAAAGAGAGCACGTTGCTGGAGCGGACCGCCTCGTATAGAACTACAATATTAATCATTCCCGGTGCAAGGAACTTATAGGGGTTGAGCTTGCTTCGAAATTATTGGAATTAAAAACTAAATTGCACATAGAATGAATTGAACATGAATACTATTCAATGGTATTTGAATGTTCCGTTTGAATATTTTTTCTTTTTGCTTTATTTGAGCCCATTTTTTTCAGTGTTAGGAAAGCAACGGTCTTGCCTTCGTGGGGCTTCGGGGCTGTCGTCTGCGCACACAAACACACAAAAAATATGTGTGTGTCTGCGTGCCGACCCCTGGTATATGAACTTCCTTACTGATTTTTGTATATTGCTTTTCATTCCTATTTTCAAGATTGAATTTATGAGTAAATAATTTTGGTTTGGTCATCGTTGAAAAAGTAAAAGAGTTTCTCTTCATTGCTGCTTCGCTCAGCGCACGAATAGTTGTAGACTACTTCAGATCAGTCGACTGATTATCTCACATTATTGATTAGTTAATGCAACGATTGCACAGCTTGCAATTTAGAACTTGCTCAATGAGCAAATGTGGCAACGAAATGTAAAGAAAAAAGGGCAGTTGCATTGGCATTCGGATTCAGTTTCTATCCGACAGTTAAGGGAAAAGATGCAAGCTGTGATATTTGTCGGCTTGGTGGCTCTTCTGGCTATATAGCATATGTGACAGCACAGACCGCTGCCGCTGAGGAAGACGATAGTGGTAGTAGCTCCGGAAGTGGTGATGGTCAACAGGATCAGGTGGACACTTCGCCAATCCCTTGGTGCGGGTTTAGATGGCCTGGCATTGGACCAGCTCTAATTCGTCCACGTCCCACCAAGGTATAGATATTTTTGGAGTCCTGAAGCTGGATTGTGAATCACCACTAGTTTTTTCGAAACCCAATAGGCAATAAACAACACGTCATCGAAAAATACGTTTGTAAAACTTTCCAGTCAAACAATTGTTCAAATACAAATTTGCGTAAAACCCGATTTTGGTAACAGTCCCCCCAGTCTCATTCTGGCAAAATTCTCGAGGGTTTTCCTATAAAGAGCCGGTGGCCAAGTAACAGTGGAAAGCAGTTTTGATTCAGCTTCTTAACTCAAATTCCAAAATGCGTGCTCTGATGGTTTTTGCTCTATTGGCCTTCCTGGCCGTAAGCTTTGTGGCTGCCCGTCCAGCTGAGGACGAGGAAGCAGCTGATCTTGCTAACGACGCCCAGGAGGAGGAGGATGAGCCCGTCGATGACGAGGATACAGATACAGTGAGCAATGGAGAAGTTGAAGAAGACAGCCAGGACAGTGATGATGAAGAGCCCAGTGCAGACGATGCCGAAGACGAAGAGAGTACCGGAGATGATGATGAGAGGGACGACGACGACAACGAAGAGGGCCCTACAGTTTCGGCTCCCAACAAAAAAAGTACTCCATTTTGGCCCAGGTTCGGAGGTCATGGTCCAGTTTTAATCCACGCCAGACCTCGCTTCCTCAGCGTTGCTTAAATTGTGTATTCGATCAATGCACAACGATATCTTTCACTGAAAGAGTTCTCTGAATAAAACGTTTTGTTCCTAAAGTAAAATTACTTTAAAAACACTTGTCTCTACTTTGAAGCGAAACAGTTTTAACTAGAACGCTCATGAAATGCGTGCGTGGTGTGTTCTATCGTTAATCGGATGCTTGGGGATTGCTTTGATCTCTTCGAAACCCTTGGAGGAAGCAGGCGATATCGCTCAGGAAGACAGTGAGAAGGCATATGAACACACTTATTTAACGATCGATCCCACTGCTGAGGAAGCTCGCGATGAGGAAGAAGAACTCGGGGAAGCTACCGGTGACGACGATAAAGCTGGTGGTGAAGGAAAAGCCTACTATATAGAAGTGGAGGACGATGAAAATGATGATTCAACTGTCGATAAGCCCATCGAGGAGGAACCAATTAATTTTCTTAAATACCCAGAACACGAAACCGACCACAAGCCATATCCCCGCTTTGCCATCCTTAAAAATGGATTCGTGAATCATGTGAACCTAGACTTTTAACAGACGCAATCAATACAAAAATAAGAGACAGAGCGACGTGTTCTCAACAGAATTAGAGATTCTTTCCAGTTGGGAAATTCCCAAAGCTAAGTTTACACAGCTGTGGCCAACAACAATGATAATAAAAATAGATTAGTGCGGTTTCAGCTTTTAAATGTGTTTTTCTGTTTTTCATCATATTAGTGTTCTTTAGCTCGCTCGGAGTAGTTTTCATTGGACTGTACAAGATGCGTCTTGCCATTGCTATGCTTGCTCTGGTGACCCTAATGTTGTGGATCGGGGTCATCACCGCTTCTCAGTCGGCCTCATGTGAGAGTGTGGAGATCTTGGAGAACTACAGCTGCAAGGAGAAACCCACGAAAAGGAAGACTTTTCGATTTGCCATTTAAAAAGAGCTGGCAGTCCTTGTAAAAAGTTTTTTTTTCCGGAATTCAATTAAATTTCTCTTAATAAAACCCGAAACTCACGATTTGAATGCACTTTTATTGGTTGGATAAATGTATACAAGAAATGAATGCATAGAAGATATGTAGCGCTCACAATTAAAACCGCAATTGTTTTGTTTATCTCTCAACTATTGCAGTGACAAGGACACGCCATCAAAATGGTTATGGTTAGTTCTGCGGTCCTGGGCGCTGCCGCCGGCACCGGCCTCGCTCTCCTCCTCGCCGTAACCATCGTTATGTATCGCTATTACCTGCTGCGTAGGCGCGGCAAGGAGTGGGAGGAGCTGGATCGTTGGGAAGAGACCCGCATCATGCGAAAGCTGCAGATGAAGGTAAGCGGAGTGTTTGACATTGATATGCCTGCGTTGTGCGCGGGACAGCGGGTGGACTGGTTGGGTGGGTCCCACGGATTATGCCAGCAGCTCTGACTTTAACATGCCAGAAGCAGAGCACTTAAAGAAATGTTATGCAGTTAGAAATATTAATGTTCCAGTGCTTAGTGTCCATGTCGATTGGTTTTGGGTGTAGTATCGTCCTTGAACCCTATCTCTCTTAATTGTCGGCAGCCGAATGCTGCATAATCAAGCTGATTACTTATCTGAACTGTCTGTACAGGTAAAATTCAGAAGGTGATTTTCCTCATTGTAAAGGTGTAATTTGATACTTAAATACAATTTCCATCACTTTATTTGGTAGGGAAGGTTCATAGTGTATGAATAATTCTTTCAACAAGTTCGTTTGTAGCTGGATGTTTCAGCATTTTGACAAAAGTTTGTAAGCTGGAGACTTTTAAGAATTGTCACATTTTCTTAAACAAATACATCCGGATACACGTTTCTTGTAAATATGATGTTTATTATTTGCAAACACCTTAATCTGACCATTTTGATATTGCGTCTAGCGTAATCAGTTGGATGAATGTTATCAGGTTGTTCCCACAGATGCAAGGTTGCCTTTGATGCAGTTTTTTTAAAACATAATGTCCTATGTCCTTGTCTATTGATTTCCAGTATACGTAACGGCAAGCGAGTTGTTTTATTCTAGATATTCCGATGTGTGTATAATGATTATGAATATCATGAATTTACGATCCTTGCTTGCAGAGATGATAATTGTTCTTAATATATACATAAACTGAATTGATTCTGTTAATTTATGTTTTTTTTTTTTCGAGTGGGCTTACAAAGCGACTTCGCCGTATTGCGTGTAATTTTGGAACTAACAACATACACGTAAAAGTACAAGTAAAATACATAGAAAACAGAAGATTTTTACATGTCAGCATTTCAAATGTAGAATATTCATGAATCCATCGTGATCTTCTGATGTCAAATGTAAAATCTTGTTCGCTGGTAACATGGTTCGATGGGAAAGGGCTATTATAGCCCCATGACATTATAATTATACTTTGCTAACTGACTAGCTGCAAAAACAGAAATAGCCGTTTGGGAAAAGCAGTGGGAGCAGTGTGTTGCTTCGGCCAGCAGAAATGATCGATTGTTACACTTTTCAGATCCATTTTTGCTGGCTGGCTGGCTTTGTGTGTTGGAAAACATTATTTTGTACCGAAGTCTGAAGGCGGCTAAGAGAACTAATTTTGCGTTTTATTTCTCATGCTATCTCTCTCTTCGCAACAATGTCCCAAACACTTTTTGGGACAGATTGACGGATCGATCTACTTGCCCTTTCCTCACCTGTATTTTTCGTTAATTAAATATTTGGTTATCTTAAGACATAGTTAATTAATAAAAAAATATATACTCTAATTAAGATTGAATAAATCACAACCAGCAGAATAGCAGAGAAACAGTAGATTCATAATAGATAGATATATGTAGATAGATAGATAGATTCGATAGTATACGAATTTTCCAGAAAAGATATATGTACATATATGTGCATCAAGTTTGTTGGAAATTAGAAAAGTACAAAATCTAATGACAGTTTTGCTTGTAGTGCAATGTAAAACGTATTTCAAGCCATAAATAGTAAAAATTTCGATTAAATGTAAATTATCGTCATCCGAGCCTGCTACTTCTGTTATGCGCTGCCATTTTGAATCCTCGAAAATCAAAACAACCACAAAAGATACAAATGTATCTTTGATGCTGCTGCTGGGAGCTGGTATAACTGAACGAATAGCCCAACCATATCATTGAAGCCGTAGCAAAATCGGTTTCATTATGAATAATTATGCAGCTGGGGGTTGAACGCTTAGACCTAGGCCAACGCGTGCTGGCGAGGAGAGAGAGGGTCAGTGAAGCGTTTTATGATTGTAAATTCTGTTTTTATTAACTGGCTTTGGCCGTTGACAGCGGGGTAAGGGTAGGGGCAAGGGTAAGGGTAAGTGGCGGCCATAAGGGTGCGAAGCGTTTCTGGTTTTGTTTGTTGTTTATTATATAATTTGATTAGACGTTAAGTGTTTAAGTGTTTCTCTCTTTTTTTGGGATGTACAGGAGCGGTTTCTGATATTCCAGTCGTTACACTCTTCTCCGCCCTCATCAGAGTGTACATCCACACCCCAGCAGGCCCCTCGACATAGCCACAATATTGACCACAACAAACAAAACTCTTCGAGTGTCCTGATTAATAGCATTGTCCCTGGGTCCAGCGCGGCCTTGACCATATACCGTAGATATATAAAAAAGAAACCTATAAACATCCATTTACGGGTATATGCATTGAATTCTTCTCTCTAAGAAAGAAGAGTACCTGAGTTTCTCCGTCGCAGGACCAACAAACAAAACTGCATATCACTGCAAGTGCGGATCGTGTGTGGGTCCTTTGTTAGCCGTCCCTTGTCCTTTGTCCTTTAACACTGACTTTTCATTCATGAACACAAGACTCTAAAAAAAAATACAAGAAAGAAAAAGTTCCCATTGTTTTTGGTTGATATTTTTTGAGCATTTTGCGGTAAAGTACTTTGATATAGTTTTTCTATACACCCAAATCTTGTATCCCGATAGAACAGTACTTTCTCCGGTCAGGAGAAACAGACCCTGGGGTCTATTTATTCAGCAACACGCAGACTCAAAACCAGAAACCACCTCAAAGCTCATTCGTACATTATTCATGGCTAAATATGAATGTACTCGTACTCGTATATGTACATATGAATGTGGAACTACTTCAGATATAATATAATGAAGTCATATTTGTTGTATCAACAAAAAATGCTTGGATAAACAAACCCTCGACTGCACACCATAAGCATAAGTAGCAACAATGGCAACTACAACAATCAGTCAAAATGCAAATGTCACAACCAATTAATGTCAATAAATGATTAACCCAATCTCTGGCCATTTCAACCCGGCTCGGCTCGGCCCGGCACGGCTCGGCACGGCTCTGGTCGATCTCCCCTTGACGGCGGTGGTGGATTCGCTGACTCCCTGAAGTACCACACCACCCTTCTGATGGAGAAATCCGGTTGGGAGTATTCCTCTTCCTCGGAGGGGATAAACATTTTGTTATGCTTTCATTTGTTCAGCGTTTACGCGAGTTTTGTTCACAATTAAAATGGAATTTCTCCCTCAGCCCAGTCCCAGTCCCAGTCAGGGCTCCCGATACGAGTTTAAAGAAAATTCTGCTTATGCGTAGATCCTAAACTTGTTATTTGCATATGTATATTGATATGATCTGGCAGATCATGCATATATCCCAGAGAGTCCAAAACAATAACTAAGTCAATAGCACGATCCAATTCTAGAAAGAAAATACAAATGGAAAACTGGAAAATTGAAAAGAAATTTCTGACCCAATCGAGCGTGAAATGGACAACAAACGGAAGTGGTCAATAAAGAAAATCTCAAGGGCTCAAACAATTGTTAAAAGGCGGTTAGAAACTACTGGCTCTTGTTCTTTTCCTGCGCACGAGACCAACGCAACGCCAAAAAAACAAAAACCAAATAGAAAGGCCAGTCCAGTCCAAGGAATTTCGGCAAAAATATGAACACAACAGCAGCTGCTGCTGGTGCTCCATATATTAGGTCTGATCCTGCTCGTGGTCCTTTTTTGCACGGCCCGCCAATTAAGCAGAAGCCAACAACTGTTAAAAAGTAGGCGAAAATTCGGATCGCCTACGTGGAGGACCGATAGCTCTCCCGACCCGGCCGGGTCCAAAGAAGCCGGACAACAATTAACGTCAGCAATTGTGATCGGTTTTATAGCCACTTAACATACGATCAACTGCTGCCAGGCCAATGACAATGTAGCACCTTCCAGACAATGCAATGAAAAGGACAATTATAGGTAAATCCTTAAAGTCAGTTAACAAATGATAAAACTGCCGCCATAATTCTATGTAATGTAACCCAAAAACAACACGATTTCTTCTATAGCCCGAATGCCGTCGGCGGCGGCGTCGCTCTGTCTGGCATCATGGCCTGACCTGGCCCAAACACACTGCTGCCAAGACAAAGGCTCGACGTGCGTCGAGTCTCGGATTTGCTTTGCTGCAGGACAGGACTGCATCAATGAATGAAACAGAACTGAATGGACCTGGTCCTGGTCCTGGTTGATGCATGATCCTGGCATTGTTCGACCTTGCACAAGCAGAAGAATGAATCAATAAAATTACGCCAAGGCGAGGACTCAAAGGAGAGTTGGGTTGGTTGACAATACGCTAGGAGCGGGAGTAGGAAAGGGAGTAGGAGCAGGGGACTGACAAAAGTGGCTGCAGAGTTATAGCACTCGACAGTGGCAGCCACTTGGGTCATAAGTTGCCATGAAATTGGCATTAAACGGTCGGGGGCTTGTCTTCTTCTATGGATTTAAAACAAATCGATTGGTAATACATATTACACGTACATGTGGTATAAACTGTGGGGCTTTATACATATTAGAGCTACGTGTATTTCTAAAAACATTGCTCTTCGTTGACGGCTGAAATTGTAGATGGATAATCTACATCAACTAAACTAACAAACTAAACTTGTATGCGGGAGAATATTTGGGGATAATGCGGTAATAGAAAAACCCTCAAATGTGTCTGAATCGATCAGTGCCAATCTTGGACGCTACTCGGGAAAATTTTCACAGAAATTTTGAGAATATCAAAATCGAAAAAGGATGAAATTCGAATTACCACTAACAGAAGCACGAAACCGTGAAGCTCTACTCTGACTGCAAACCAGGAACAATATGTTCTTCAACAAAGAAAATCATAAATATATGTGAAAATGTACAATCGAAAATCTAAAACTATTTTCCAACCCATCTACATTATTCTCACTTCCCGCAAATACAAGAAATGAAATACCTCCCAGAGATACAAAAAATCGAGTATTATTTAGATTCCATGTACTGGTACAGTACTAGGCGTAATTTGATCTAACTTAGCCTGAACAAATTCAGTGTCGTTTAAAAAGCTCTTTGGCAGTCTCAACTTTCAATTAAACTCGAGTCATAATACGAAAACGCAGATGAAGATTCGTTCCAGCCAGAGGCGAGGCACACTCACAGGCACAAAGGGTACGCATACAGATACGGATACATGTGCAGATGCAGATACAGGCAGGCCAGCCAGAACTATGCCTTCCATTGGGAATGATCTGACTGGAGACGGGGCACGACGAGCCAATGGCGGAGCGTAAATGGCAACAGTTGCCGCTAAATGGTGACTTAATGGCTGAAGAGACACACAAACCACCCTCGAATTGGTCTTTAGGGGTGAGTGTCGGTGCGAGTGTGAGTGCGTGTGGAAAACAACCCCCGAAGACACAGGGTCGTTGCCTATATAAGATACGGATAGCGGTCCAGCAGCCAGACAGTCTCGTTCAGCCAGCGATCGTGTTCACTACCTCAGTCCAGGCCAAGCTCAATAAACAGAAAATGTCGCGCTCTTTCCTGATGGATTCCCTGCTCAGCGATATGCCGCCCCTAAGCAAGCAAAAGGAACCTTCCAGCTCCGCTAGCCAAGGAGCCAGTGCAGCAGCCGCCGCGGTGGCCGCAGCAGCCATGTTGCCCACCATCCCCATTCTGCCATATCCGGCCAGCTATGTGGGCAGCTACCTCTTCTCCCTGGGCATCCAGCAGCAGCAGCAACAACATCAGGCGGCCATGGCAGCAGCAGCTGCCCTCCAGCAGCATCCCCATGCCCACGCCCATGCCGGGACCAGTTCCGGCTCGCTCTATCATCCTTACGCCCAGCTCTTCGCCACCAAGAGGAAGTCCAGCGGGTTCAGCCAGTACGAGAACTGCTATCCGTCGCCACCGCTCTCAGCCAACCCTAGCAGCAGCTCCCAGCAGATGCCTCTTCACTCGTTGTATGGAGGAGCTCCGGGAGCGGCCTGCCCTCTGCCCCTCCCCGAACCAGGCAGCTTCTGCACATCGCCCTCGGCGTCCTCGTCGGCTTCCCTGGATTACACCAACAACTTCGATGATCAGCCACAGGCGAAGCGCTTCAAGCACGAGTCCTCCTGCTCCCCCAACAGTTCCCCACTGAAGTCCTCGGCCGTGCCATCGGACATCACCCCACTCATCAGCGACTATGCCGACTCGAGCAAACGGATTCGTACCGCCTTCACCAGCACCCAGCTATTGGAGCTGGAAAGGGAGTTCTCCCACAATGCCTATCTGTCCCGGCTGCGTCGCATCGAGATCGCCAATCGCCTGCGGCTCTCCGAGAAGCAGGTCAAGATTTGGTTCCAGAATCGTCGCGTGAAGCAGAAGAAAGGCGGCTCCGAGAGTCCCACATTCAATCTCTCCACCAACTCTGGTTGCAGTCCCCAGACCTCGCCCCACGCCCCCAAAGTGTGCGAACTGAAGGCGGAAGCGTAATCTTGGGACCGAGTCGAGATCCTCTTCCTGATTGTATAGTAGATCTAATTTTTTTTTGCGCAGGTAGCTAGCCTTAAATAACTTTTTTTTCTTCTTTTTTAAATTTTTTTTTATTTACAATAAGTAATGTTAGTTATTTATAATTAAAATTAACGGGAATAGAAAGTTCCCAGTAAAACCTACTAATTTACAAAATAAATACCCTAAATCAAATAAATGAAATAATTGCACATATATTGTCTTAATTGATTCAAAACTGATCTTGAAAAGGTTATTCAAACCTGAAAACCGAAGATACTCGTTGAAAAATACAGACCTTTGGGGTAATACCGAAGTTTGTTCCCAAATGTTCCAAAAAGTATTAGAAGCATATTATAAGCATGGCCCAGAAATGTACATTCAGAAATTCAAATTTCTGAAGCAAAAATCTATCCATGCCCGAGTATATCTTCATGACCTCTTTGGACGCCTCGAACCTGCGATCACAAGGATGAACCGATTAGATGGTGGTTGCTGTGGAGCAGAGCATCTCCATCAAGTACGAGTTCTAGCCGTCTATGAGCTAAAACTACTAACTATCCATCGCACTGCCGACTTCCACAATGCCCTGGAGAGATTTCCATCGGCTATGCTGCTCTACAGCCAATAGGTTTGACAAATTTTTTGGCATGTTCCTTTATTTGCTTGCCGTTAATCCACTCATTCAGAAAATAATTTTCAAAATATACAGAACCGGAAATTTGTCAGATTTAATTTTGCACACTTCTCAACGTTGTAATTTTTTTTTTGGCAAATAAAATGTGCAAAATTGAGTTGCTTTGATGCTCGTTAAGTCGACAGGCCTGACAAATCGCTGGACAAGTCGTGTCTTTTGGGGAAATCTCATTTGAAAATCTGTCATAGGATGGTTGTTAGCAGGGCTTAGTGAGTGTTATAGGATGGTTGTTAGAGTATGTGAAACATAAATGACTGGAAGGATGTGAAAGACAGATCTACTGCACCGCTTGGAATGAATTGAATCAGCTCGGAGATCATTAACGCTTCTTATAAAATCGTTCTTAGGATCTTTTTTTCGAAAACACTTATTCAATTTTGTATATTCAGTACATACGCTATATAAATGTTTGTCTTGACTAATTGACCAATGACTGATGACTAGCAGTCAATGCACAGTCCAATGTACGAAATTTTAAAAATTTTCCTACCACTTTCATGATTCTGTCTGCTGATTTCAAATCATGGCAGTCGATATTTTTTGAGTCCAGGCACACGTTCCTCGACACTAAGATACCCGGGACTTGATATTAAGGTATCTTAATGAAAAAAGCTGAAAAAGGGAGGGGAGGGCATAGAAGGAGAAAGAGAGAGAAAGAGTGGCGGTGCTAAGCTTCTCTGTGAGAGGGAGACTAACACACACAAAGGTAGAGAAATTGCCTTGCTTATTCTGGCTATAAAGGTTTCAAATATATGTACAAACGGGATAGAATGGTTTTACAATCGTAGATTGTAAGAAATTCTCTGATGGTCATAAGTGCATAATTGCAGTTTTTTCTATGCGGCCAATACTTCGGATTGTTTAGTGATTTGTTTCTACCACGATAAGCGGTCCTTTTGATAAGTAATAGAAATAATTCCAATTTATTTTCTTGAGTATAAATAATACATATTTTAGACCGATTCTATGCATTCGTTCCGCAGAACATAAAAGATCTCGAAACGGATTGTGTGGTCTGCTGATTCCAAGCCGCAATTTTGACAAAAAAGACATTTTTTGCCAAATCATTGGAATTTTTAATTAATCATGGACATCATTTGTGCTGGGGTGGGGTGCGAGTGGGCCAATAGAGCTGGTCTTAGGCATTTCCCACGACACTTCAAATTGCACAAATTAATGATGCCAACTCAGCTCTGCTGTCCGGACTCCGGACTCCGGACGATTCTTATCATTTCGGATAGTGCAGGCAATACCATCCAGCACCGAGTGTGGTGACAAACCCAAAACGAATCAAGCGCATCAGAAACCTGCTCAAAGAACTCTCATTCAGAATTCATTCAACACTGGACAATTATTCAATGAATGCGAACAACTGCAAGGACCTGGAACTGGGACTAACTCTCATTGTGCCATCCCAAGGGGTGCGGTGCTAATAAACGCAATTGCACCTACGCCCCTCTGGGCCATCGTTGGAAATGAGAATGAAACTGAGAATGGGAATAGCACAAAAATAGCCCAGTCGGCGGTTTTAGGCGGAATTTCGGTATTCTATTCTCTTTGCACTCCTTGAAAATTGCCCTCCTGCTCGTACCTGATCCCTCGCCTGGATCGTTATCTACTGGAGTTCTTAGTTTGTGTCCTCAAGTGTGCGCCTCTTCCACTTGAGCTGAAGAGCTCTCAGCTTCCCTGCCTCTTGAGTCTCAAGTACTGCAACAGCAGGTAGGAGGACTCCTTGACTCCACTCTTGAGGATTTTCGCTTGCAAACTGTTTCCAGGAGTGTTGCGAAAATGTTTTTTTTTTTTTTTTTTTTTTTTGTGTTTAATTTGTTGCGTAGGCTGCCGATCCTTATCGGGAGGATTTGATTTGATTGCTTCGAAATTGGAGGCAATATGAAGGAGTTGGTCACGTGAACTGGGTGCCTGGAAAACACTACTCAAATTGAGCACAGATTATGAAATACTAATATCAAAATTTTGATATAGATAGGTATGATCTTTTTCCCTACAAGCCAAGTAAATCTTGGGGATAGAAAGGTTAATTTAACTTTTACCATATGCAATAAATCCAAAGGAAATCTCGAAATAAGGTTACTCTTAAAGTCCACTCCGTTTTCTATTTCTACCACGAAACTATCTCCAAATGAATTTGCATATTGTACATCAGCTACATCCCACTCTTTGAAGCACCTTTGGCCAGATGTCTCAGATAATTCTTGAGTACTTTCCATGTCCCGCTGTTTTTTTTTTTTTTTGAAGCCATACTGTGCTAACAGACAATTTATGAATGAATAGAGACTCAAGTGCAGAAACTCTTCAGTTTAAAGTGTATGCGCCCATCGGGATCGGGACACTCCTTATGAATGAATGCGCAGCGATGCCTTCGTCAAGGCTGAGAAATTCCTTTCTACCTCTCGGCTCTGTTAAAAGATCATTAAGAAGAAGGAAATTCCGTTGAAAATTGGACTGAATGGATAGAGAAATTCGTCAGGTGCTCACTTCTGGATGCGATGCTCGTCTAGACAGCCTGTCGCCGTAGCAGAGGAAATCCCTGGCTGCCTGTGCAACGGTGCAAAGGTTGTGGTATCAAGTGTACGAGTATTTGTGTTCTACCTCCGTTTGCGGCGTGTACTAAAGTGGCGCACAAGAGCAAGTTTGGTTAAGCTTTAAAAGTTGTTCCTGGTTGTTCATTCTATAAAGCTCGTGCATAGACAAAGCTTTAAGCCGTTAAAGCACATGTTGCGAAGCTTTAAAGCTATTGTTTTCGTCATCCTCGCGGCTGGTTGAATTGTGTTGTGGGCGTATGGAAATAACGGGAATCAAGTCTGAGGTAAATCTGAGCACAAAGTCTTCAAATCCTTTAAGCTTTTGAAATGAATAAATTAACTGTAAATGTATTTTATGTCGGTGGGCTTTTGTGGCTGGTCAACCCAAGGTAAACATCAGGAAAATGAGTTTTCCCCTTTATATTTTTCATCTAGTGAAATAATAATATGATTTTATTTTTCCACTGTTTTAGCTCGAAGGAAGTGGGCTTGTTTAATTCTTAGGCTGACCTATATTATACACACGTATATGTGTTTATGGAATTCTTTTGCTACAATCTTGGTGGAAAACCGCACTACATGCTTCTGGTCACGCAATCAGGGACTGCCCATTAGGGATATGTGGCAAACCCCACCTAATTGACCCATTAAAGAGCCCCACAACACACATATACCATCGAAACTGCCCTCATTTTGGGTCGAAAATGTTTCAGCGTTCTCGCAAGGTAATTTTCTGGGCTCCCAAAGTCTTTGCGATGGGACTTTTTCTTTCAGCAATTATCCGTCTATCTAAGATTTCAATTTAGTTAGAATCCCGCTGTCACTGCCCCCTCCACAACGCCTAGACATTCTCACCTCCATCTAATGGGCTCCCTTGAAAGCTAAAACAGCACGTCATCGTCCTTGGACCACTCTGCGTATTGAATTTAATGAACTTTTTGTTAACCGGCTTCTTGGCTCATCCGCACATTGACTTGGCTGGGATCTGGGGCTGGTTCTGGAGGGGTGCGGAATGATGGAGCCATTTCTGTGGCGCCCCACAGACGTCGAGTGGCGCCTGTTTAAAATGAGTTTTGTCGCTCCGTTATGCAACTGGTGACAGAATAAACTACTCGTACAATAAAATAAGGAGAGCTAGCCGAAATAATCTATACTTTCAACTCACAATTCACGAATATAATTATGACTGGGTGGTGATGGTTTCCTGTCCACCCATGGGACTGGACATATATGTATGTACGTATCCTAGAATACAAATCATCTGAAATATATGCATAACATTTTTGTGTGTGTATCGTATGCAGATGAGTATGAATACGGGTTTGGAACGGAATTCATTGACATTATACACATCGAGTGGGGCACGTGGCCGGATTCCAATTATATAAAGAGCTTAAAAACACACCGCACACAATCTGCTACGAGTATCTGCATTAAAGCAGTTCAAATTTGAGCTATGCTGTGTATTCCATTTGGCCCCGAATGAAAAGAAAAAAAACAGAAAAAGTAGAAAAAGTTTACGCCGACACGCAGTCGGGCCTATGAGTGAATGAACTTTTTGATTAAATGATGGAACGGGATGGGACGAGATGGAATGCCGCGAAGATTCCTACGGTAACTCCAAAGAAAATCATGCACACTTCTTGGCTAATCTTTAAGATTAAAGTTACCCTCGATGGGGGCAAAACAAAAGCGATAGCCTTGGAGAAAAACATCTGCAAATACACAACGAAATGCCCAAATTCAGACTAAAAACAAAACGAGACAAAATAAAGCGATAATAAGAACACGAAAGCAACAAAAAGCTTAGTTGTTATTAAAAAAGAGAAGATGGAATAAAGAGATGAAACGAAATCAAGTCTTAAACGGGGACCGGAACTGGCGGAGCACAAGAATAAATACGAGTATGCCAGCATACGAGTACTCGTGCCTTCAGGGCGAAACGACAACGACAACGACAAGAACGTTGACAATTTTCGCCAATGCCAAAGGCCCATCTCTCACCATCTCTCACCAAATCTTCCCACCCTCCCCCACCAACGCCTTCGCCAAGTGCGTTAAACTTTGTCGTCGGCACAGGTGGCCTGGCTGCGGGCTTATAGATGAGGCAACTTGTTGCTGAAACAGACACAGAAACTGACACAGAACGAAGGAAACAAAGATACAAGAGCCAGGCAGGGAGAGAGAGATGGAGACACAGTCAGAGACAGAGAGAGCAACGTGCAGCTAAGCTGTCCCGTCTGTCTGGCAATGGCTGGAGCTGGAACTTTCTGCCCGTGTTGTGCTGTGTGCGTATTGCAAGTGCCATTGGCCTACATGCGTGTGTAAGGACAGGGGCTGTGGTGCCCCCATAAAGGGGATTAAATTGCAAATGGAATGTTTGGAACACAATACTCTGCTTTAATCGCCAACAAAGTATAGTAAATGAATAGTTTACGAATCTTTAAAACATAAACACATCAAAAGTGATTAAAAACCAACTTAGATCACCCTCTGGCGCCTATTGCTAAGCCTCTGCCTCTGTGGATGTATGTGGCTAGTGCGAGTATCTTTGCTTTGTCTGATGCGCTCCACTTCAAGTAGTCTGTCTGCCTGGAAAGTTTTCTCGCCACAAAAAGTATCCACAAACCCACTGACTTACACAAAAATATATGTACAAACACCCTACACTATTCGGTGTGTTTGCCTGTTGCAAACAGAATGCAAAAAAGCAGAGCAGAGCATAGCGTAGAAGGAGCGAGACACAAGACAGAAAAGAGTGAGATGGAGGGGAGGAGGAGTCAAAGCTTCTGCCATTGCCATGGGTAAAATGCCTTTGCAGCTTGCTCAATGTCAGCTTCGGTGCGCTGCTCTCGCTGTGTGTGTTTTTTTCAGGGGCAAACATGACAACAGGTAAACACAGGCCCTGAAGTATACGTATATGTAGCTGTATGTATGTATGTACATGGGTATGCAATGGCAGCAGGAGCAGAACAACAGAAGCGGAGCTGGCGTCAATTAAGGTCGTTTATGGTAACTCGAGTCGCAGTTACGGACGGTCATTAGATGACGAAAAACGCCAAAAAGTATTCAACAAATTGAATCACGGGCTTTGCCAAGGCAACACACACCCGTACATGCATATCTATACGTACATATGTACACATACACACAATTCTTATCTCTTTCAGAGAGCTTTCAAGGTGAAGTCGCTTTCACTTTTGAAAGCTTTCTCTTTTTCGAACTCTGCTGTATGCGTTATTTGATTACAGCCTGGAGTTTGCAGTTTTTCCTGTGTTGGGTTTAATAAATAAGTACATTTCCTAGACCCTAGATGTAGATATTGGAAAGATATTACCTGCTCAAGGTAAAGGGTGCTCAAACCCTTGAAAAACAAACGATTTAAACTCTTGGAAAGAAGCGTTCGTGAGGGAGCGTTCAACAGCTGTTTGGGTCCTTCAAACGCACAAACAAGGCAACAAGTTGCGAAAAAGCTTTCGAACTTCGAACTGAAAGAATTCAATGCCAAATTGGATGAGCTTTCCCCAATTTCCTTCGCCTGTCGTCGTCGTTTCCTTTACGACGCACGCTTTAGGCAAGGCCGACAGGACCAGCGAATATTCGAACAACTGTGTTTTTTTTGCAACTTGTTGTACGCTACTGTAGTCGGTGGCTCCGTAGCTCCGTAGCTCGTCTGTTGCTCGAATCGAGAATCAGTACCCCGCGTACAGCTCCAATGTGAGGAACACATCTCTCTCGGTCTCGTCGTCTCTCCCAGGACATCTCTGTGGCATGGCTACCAACAAAAATCGCTGAACACAAATTAATGGAAGCCAAGAGAAAACTTTCAATTGAGTTTTGCGCTGTTGCTGTTATTCGTGTGCTTTTGTGCGTTCCCGTGCCTGTAACTGTGCCTGTGGTGGTGTGTTCCTGCAATATGGCCAAGTGTTTTTTTTTTGTTGAAAAATGTTAACGAAGTTTAAGCCGAGCGCTCTCTAATCCCCCAACCCAGTCTGCTGTGCGTGTGTGTGTGTGTGTGTCTTTAACTTAAAGAGAACGAACTCCAAGTAGGTAAAAGTACCGTTGAAACTGTTGCTCGGCTGGCTGTGGCTCTTTCTGTGCTCCGTCTCGTCGTCTCCCTTCCACTGAAGTGGAAACCTTATCTCTGCCCATCTATTATTTACTCGTTCATTTTCATAGCAAATCAAATGTGTCGGCAGCCGTATCCTAATGAGAGGCATCCACAATGTGTACCTATGAATATCCTATTTATATGCGAGCATACATCCATATACGTACATAAGTAGATAAATAAATATTCATGGGGTCCAAGCAATAGGCAGGATTGCTCCTGCAACTTGTTGGCTTTAAGTTAACTCGATATTTAATTTAAGAATTTGTACTTTAATAAGTTGGTGTTCTACTATTGGTGTACTCGTAGCTAGATCTCACTCTAGATAGAAGGTATGATGAGGGTTGGGATGTGTACATATATCTTGGCCAAATTTTAATTTGAAAATGTTTGGAATTTCGATTAAATTCCAAACGTCAGAGCGGAAAAAGCGGAACTTGAAAATTCTGTCCTAGACCAAAAAAAAAAAGAGAGAAAGATGCTACGGCTGTCCCTGCGTCTCTCAGCCACAACAAATTTGTATGAGCCTTGTCCTCTGCCACAAGGCCCAAAGCTCCAGATCCCGTGCCAGTCCCCACTGCAGCTGATGAGTCCCCTATGTAGTCATTGTCCCATCTTTAACCTACCATTTCAGGCCTAGTCAGGGGCGCAGACCAAAAAGCAAAGTTAATATAATTATTTATAGATAACGAATCAGGCGAGTGCACAAATTTGTTTGGGGGGGTACACGCCAGGGCGGCCAGACGGCAGCCTCCCCTTGGCAGAAATGAGTGTTAATGGAGCGCCTGACGGTGTGTGGCAGGGGGATACTGGCTGCCGTTAACCAGAGATGATGGCGCACGTCCCTCGAATCGGGAATCAAGTCTGAATATGTTTGGCCTGTCATCTCTTGGCCTCCCACCATATTAGGGGCCATTGTTGCTCGGCTGCTCTAGCCTTGAGTACAGACCCCAGTCCCGGTTCCTTTCCCGTTTGCATTCCCTTTCATCTCCTATTAAAATGGCACACGAAAGGCTTCTGGGACTGGTACGAGTGTACGTATACATATGTAAGTACTATGGTTGCCTAGACGGGAGTCGAGTCCATAAATTATATCAATGAGGGGGGAGCATATAATAGAAAAATATGTCAGCATTCTGGGGATAACAATAAGTGGCAGTCAGAGTCAAGACAGGGGCGAGGCGGGGCGAGGCGAGTGCGTGTGCGTGTGCGTTCGAGAATGGTGGAGAGAGCAGGCCACGCGCTGGCTTCACCTACACGTTCAGCATGTTGCATGTGCCACACAATTTGTCACAATTAAAGAAATTGGGAAAATGGCTGCAACGTCACGGGCCAAGAATAGGACGAAAGAGAAGACGTTCATGGTCCCTCCATGTGGAGGGATCTCCTTGCACCAGATGCATTTGCTTTTCCCTCTTATTCCCTCTCTCGTTCCCCTTCCCTTTCCCTTTCTCTTTCTCTTTCTGGTTGAATGCTCGCATGCAAGTCGTAAATCTCAATTATGTTTGTGAGTGTACGAGTGTACGATACATGTACTATATATACAAAGGAAGAGAACTGAAGACTCTACAGGACTCCTCTCGGGCTGCATCTAATTTGAATCTATGTATGTACAGTAAAAACATTCCTTGCGACCTGTCTCCTCAGGGGACACATTCTGTAGCGTCACACTACACACCTACTACCTTCAACAAGCTTGTTTTTCTCATTTTTAAACAAAGCAAAAAGGGTCATCCTGTGTTTTGTTTTTTAGCTTGCAATTTTAGCACAAATTGTATCTCTCTCCTTAGTACCAACCAATTTGGAATAGCCAATTTTCATTTATACACCCCCAATCCAATTGTTTTCCAAACTGCATATATCTGCATATACTTACGACACGATTTCGTTCTACATACGAGATCCGGTTCAATATGGCCATATCGATTCTGCCGTTAAGATTTCCTCAGTGCGTTGCAAACAACCGGCTAAAATTACAATACCGTGCAATGTCGCTAAACGGCCAATTAGAAAGTCATGAATTTTTAATAAATTAAATACTTTCACCCGGCCCTATCACATGGATTGGGCTAGTGGTGGATTGTTTTTCACCGAATGTTATCGCTTGAACACTCACTCATTAGTCCTTTAGGCTGTCATCTTTTGGGTCCATGGCTGTCCGCCATGGAGAGCTGACACTGTACTTTCATCTGTCAGCTCCCAGCAATTACTTAGATAGTATATAAACACCGACACACACCCTTCCCCGCCATAGATAAGAGTGCTCATGCATACAAAGTGCATATGTATGACTTGATTGCGTTATCCTGTCCCCACTCCCCCCTCTCCCGGCCCAACCGACACCACTTCCATGCGCTTACCCTCGATTCCCTCTTGGTTAGCCAATGCATTTCCGTCCAAAAGCTCAGCTGGCCCTAACTAACGAAGGGTTGGGGTGGGCATATGGCAGGGCGGTGAGCGGAGGGCGGAGAGCGGAGAGCGGAGGAGCTCAAAATTTGATTTATTCAAATGAATAATGTTGCTGTGTATTTTAGTGTGTGTGTCGGAGCGTGTGTCCGTGTGCCCGTGTGCCCATGTATGTGTGTGCAGTTAAATTAGTTTACTTGATTTCCGCTGGACATTTGGTTGGTCGGATTTGACTCGATTGCCGGATGTCGAATTGATTGAAAAATATGGAAAAATATGGAATATATTGAGGGGCAAATGTGCATGGGAAATGCAGGCTGCCAGATATTCGCATAGTAAATTAAGGCTTCCAGAAGCTACTCTGCAATGCAGCACTTAAAAATCCACAGGGACAGCGATACAATTTGAAAGGAAAATGTAAAAAAATTTACACGTATATAAAAAAAGCTGTTTTCAATATCCAGTACGAAAGTTGAACCTAAAATGTGGTCACAATTTCATTATAATACTTTTTTTCATCAACCACAGAAAACAGTGGACGTTCTAGTAGTATTACGTATTAAATCCTAACTATAGGTTTAGTATAATTTTGATTTCGATGATTACATAAGAAATTTGAAAGCATACTACACCGATATTAGGCATTAATAATACAAAAAAATGAAACAGTTTTACAAAAGAAGGTTTGTTTTTTCTTCACTGTTCGGTTATGGGCATTTCCATCCTGGCATTACGATTCATTTGTACTGCTTTAAAGATACAAGCCAAAAAATAGGACCTGACGTTACGTTAAAAAACCCAGAGTTGTTTTAGAGATAGGGGTAGAAAATTGTAAAGCTGTGTGTAACATTTGTTGTGCCAATAAATTAAGTATTGAGCTTTCATTTTCAAAGTTATTAAATGTAAAAACCTTTCCTGTACTTACGTTTCCAAATTCTGGTGTAATAAAAGTAATAAAAGGTCATATTTTCTTGGATTATTTTTAAATAGTTAAATATGTTAGGGAGACTGTAAGGAAAAAGGATTTGTTTAGGGCTCTTGTCGGAGATAATAGTAAAGGAATAAATGACTTCAGTGCCAAAAATACATAATCCTACTCGTAAAAGAGTTAGTTTTAATTGGTTTTCAGTTGGCTAAATTTGTTATAATATCTTCACAGAATTATATGGAAATTCGTTTTAATCTAGTCTTAATTCTAAGAATTGTGGAAAATTCTGCGAAAACTAGACGAAATTGCCATATATTTTCCAGCCACACAACCACTGTGATGCCTGTTTGGGTTGGTCGAAAAACTGATTCAATTAATTGTCCTTCAAAGATTTTCTCGGGTCACTGCATAAATATGCAGAATGGCGCAGATACAGTCTGCAGTTAATTAAAACCGCAATAAATAAACAATAAACAACGTGCATGACGAAGCGAATGATGGGCTGTGCGGGTGAGGGCCGGGCCTGATCCTGTCTTGGAGCGGGCCAGGCTTAATGCATTTATGGTCAGTGCAATATGCAAATGCAATTAAGAAGCATGTGGCGCGGAGTGGATGCTGCACAGCCGGCCCCAGCCATACGTCCACAAAATTGTAAATGGCATCACGTAAAGCCCACAAAGGGAGGAGCTATGATGTGCGGAAATCAAATGAGTTCATACATACTCCTCCATGTACAGTACAGAGAATTTGATTTATTACAAATCCTTTCCTTCCGAGAATTTCGAAATTTAATCCTTTAACTTTTCTACAAGAGAAATGCTTAAACATTTAGGGCTTTCCCCCATTCATGCTGTTCATTGGAACCAAACCAAATTATTTTCATCTTTTTTCTCTACAAATTTTCATATCAAGTTCGTCTCAATCGATTTTAATATCACGCTTTCCTTGACTCTCCCATGAAAAATCACGTAAAATGTTCAATAGATTTTCGCAGGCAATTTGCAGTGACATTCAAGGGAGAGATTGGAACCAGCCTCCAAGTCGGAGTCAGAGTTTGAGCCAAAGCCCGCAGGCAGAATCCAACAGCCGCATACATAACTCAAGCACTCAGGCTTATGCAAGCAGTTTTCCAAAGCCTTATTTTTATAGCCAGTTGACAGCAGCCAGCAGGCATACAGATGTGGAGGTGCAAAGTGGGAGGAGGCAGGGGGCAGGCGGCAGGAGGACGAGGACAGGTCCCGACATCCCGACGAGATGAAAGCCAAAAATGTTGCCCTGATAATGCGGCCACACAGACAGACATATACCAAAACCCGACTCATCGATTTGTCAAAACCTTTTTGCACGGGAAAAGGAAATGGAATGGGTAGATGGGTGATGGGAGATGGCTGGAGCAGGGTGGCAAAAAGTTGGCGCTCTTGTCCCGGAGTAAAAACGGCAATCAAATTTGAGCCAATAATTAAATTGTCCATCAAAAAAGAGACAATGGGAATGGCCTTCAGGTGCCGGGGCAATGGAAAACTGATTGCAAGCTTGTGTTCCGATGAAAACAAAACATTTACTGACAACTAATTAGTGTGATTTTAGATTGGTTTCGACAG